AACAGCCTAAATAGGGACCTATACAGGAAATAGCCGATAAGGTCGCTAATCCGTTGCCAATCGATAACGACCTTCTAGACGTTCAACTACTAGCTTCAAGTAATAAAGATAGCTTTTAGTTAGCCGAGGAAGAGCTAGTATATAATCTAAACGCTAAGAAGGGCGAGCCTAGCTAGCTGCCTAAGTTTAAGCGACTAGACAACGTTAGTAGTCGTTCTATACGCAAGACACGAAGCAATAAGAGCGCTCGTAAGCTGTTGCGTAGCTATCTAGCCGATTGTAGTATTAAGCGGTTAACTCGACGTATAATAGCTAACATGCCGATAGCCTATATTAAGGGCTTTATAGCCTCCTACTATATTGCTAAGCAGTCCGACAAGCCTAAAGAAACTATCCCTATTCCGAAGAGTTATAAGGAAGCATCTTAGTCGCTATATTAGCTATAGTAGAAGGAAGCTTGCGAGGCTAAATACAAGTTACTAATTAATAACTATATATAGGTTTATATATCTCGGTTAGAGGTGCTAGAAGGCAGGAAGGTTGTTCGTAGTCGTTAGGTCTTTACTATTAAGCGAGACGCTAATAGAAATGTAAGCCGGTTTAAGGCTCGTTAGGTTGTTCGTAGCTTTATACAGGTCGAAGGACAGGATTATAATAAGACCTATGCGGCTGTCGCTAAGCCTTGCACGCTTCGAGCCCTGTTTGTACTAATCGCTTATTACGACCTAGAGGCTAAGCAGTACGATATTCTAACGGCCTTCCTTAATACGCTTATCGGTAATAAGTATAAGATCTACGTCGAACAGCTACACGGTTTTAAGGACCGTAGTAGAAAGGGTATGGTTTGCCTATTGCTAAAGGCACTATATAGTCTCAAACAGTCGCTAATGCTATAGTACGAAGAGCTTCGAAAGTACTTAAAGAGCCTAGACTTTATACCGATAATAGCTAATGTGTGTATGTTTAAACACGTCGTTAGCGGCTCTATTATTGTTATCTATGTCGACGATATAATTATTATCGCCTATAGCCTATTAGCACTAGAAGCAGTTACTTAGTTACTAAAGGACCGTTTTAGTATACGAGAACTAGGCGACCTATACTACTATCTCGGCATGCGGATTATCCGTAACCGCGGTTAGCGCACTATTCACGTTGTTTAAGATGCCTATTTGAATAGGCTTAGTAAGAAATATAGTATGCGTAGCTATGTCGGTCTAGCTACTCTAATAGCGCCTCGCTATATTAAGACATCGATTTAGCGTATACCTAAAGGCTATACAGCTAGTGCCGCCTTCAAGACTCAATATTAGGAGGGTGTTAGTAAAGCCCTCTAGCTAGCAATAATTACTCGGCCGGATGCTTGCTATACTACCGGCCTGTTATTACGATTTATTTCTAACCCGACCGAGGAGCATTATACCGCGCTTCTTTAGCTAATTAAGTACCTAGTTAGTACTCTAAGCCGTAGTATGCGCTTTTAAGGCAATTAGAACGAGGCTAACGACCTCAAATTCGCTAGTTACTATAACGCCTTATAGGCTAATAATCTAGTTACTCGTCGCTTTATAGGCGGCTTCTACTTTACTATTGTAGGCGGACCTCTGTTATATAAGTCCGGCCGCTAGACGCTTGTTACACTATCGTTAACTAAAGCTAAGTATGTCTAACTTACTATAGGGGCTAAGGAAGTAGTTGCCTTAGCTCGTTTATTAAAGGAAATTAGCTATAAGGGCTATATTCTTCTAGTTACGCTCTACGAGGACAATTAGTCCGCTATTGCTATTACTAAGTCGACTAGCATTAATGGCCGTACGAAGCATATAGATACTCGAGTCTACTATATCCGAGAGAAGATTACTAATAGTTCTATTATAGTCTAATAGGTTAGTATATATAATTAGATAGCCGATAGCTTTACTAAGCCGCTTAATAAGATTAAGTACGGCCGCTTTGTTAAATAACTAAACCTAGTAGATTGCAAGGCCGCTATTAAGAACGCTGCGAAGCTAGCTACTAAATACTAAGGAGGGCCTTTGTTTGCTTTGTCTGTTTGACCTAAGAGTAGTCTAGTTTGTTTACCTGTTTTGTTTGATTACCTAATACCCTCCTGTTTGCTTTGCTAACTAAATGGCTAATATGTTTGTTTCATTCTATAGCGATATGTACGTGCTAAGGGGGTGACTTAGAGTGTGTGTCCAGGTATTAGGGTCCATCACGTGCCTGATGCCTAAGGCTGCAACTGCTGCACTTCATCTTCGGACTTCTACATAGATTAGTCCTTCTTCCTAATACATCAGTTACATCAAGTAAATCTGGCCTAGGGAAGGCCGGAGGAGATAACAACAGCAGTTCCATGTAAGCTGGGAGGTACATCTCCACAAACAACATCGTGTTCAAACACTTTACTGACGCCAGCCATAGGCTCTTTGGGGTTCATCAATATCGCTCTTTGGATTACGCAGCCTCGTAATACTTGCAAAGCAACACTAGCTACTTCGAGGAAGGTTGCTACATAGAGTCGAAGGCTTGAGTCGAGCTTACCTCCAGTTTGAGAGAGATCTAGAGCGCATCACATTCTGGTAGCTCCGGTCTCTCAACGGCTTCGCGGTACTCGCAAATCGACTCCGACTACATCGAGAAATGCTTTCGTATAGAGCGAGAGGCTACAATCGAGCCGAATGTCCAATTCAGCAGGTCCGCTGGGGTGCATTACATTGCGGTCGCTCCGGTCTCTCTGCAGCTTCGCGATATTCGCAAAACAACTCCGGCTGCATCTAGAGATCCTTTTGTATAGAGCGAGAGGCTAAAATCGAGCCTAACGCCCAATTCAAGCGCACAACGCAGGAGGTGGTGTCAACGCAGCATTTGGTAGCGACGATCGAGGGCAAGGAGCTGAAGCCAGAGGATGACATCCGAAAGAAGCTGGTGGCAACAAGAGCACCCGGCCCGTAAGACGAGCTCACAAGGTATTTATCCGGTTGAGCACCATTGTCGTTGTTGTAAAATGACACCGAGTTGAGAAAGCGAGGGTCAAGAAGAACAGGCCAGTGTCCGTAAGTTATCGCCTCTATCTAATCTCTCTACTAAGTAGGTATTAGTTTTCAAAAACTCGCATTGAGACAGTCAAGGTACGTTATATCTCTTCCACGCAGTATGACAAATTCAAGACCCTCGCAAAGGACACAACGATTGGAAGTGGCAACTGGCACTGCCAGTATTGGGTGCTCGATCTTATAAACTTCCTGGAAGAATAATATATCTCCGACATCCCAGAGGAGGATCTGGACAAGCTTCAAGAGGGCCATTAATCACACTAAGATCCCATTGCGAAGGTACGTTGATGAAGGTAGCCTTTGATTACATGGCGGCTTAGACTGCGCAATACTCCGCGATGTCTAGCTTTATGAGACAAGTAAGCCCAAGACCATCCCCAGGGGCTTGAGGATGGCGACATGCTTCAGTGGCAATTCTGAAACAGGTCTTGCGGCTCTGGGGAGCTATGTCTTACAGTCTCCGCCCGCACTAAGTAGATAGATAGTAGTATATGAACGGGTGGAATTGGGATGGCACAGGCAAGTACAATTTTTATCTCCCCTTTTGCTATTGAGGATCCCTTCTTCATGACATTATCCTTCAACGATTTCAGTCATGAACATTCAAGATCCCTTCGCGATAGCTGGCGTCATTGTGCTATGCCTCGTGTCAATATTGGCCCTTATCCTGCTAGTCTGTGTTGCAAGGCGATCAGGCATGGCAGAGCACAAGAAACAACGCAGAGCAAGCGCAATGCTCAAAGTGATCAGGGAAGTTGGCGACTTCTATCGCCCACCAAGCATGTTTGCGCGCGACTATCGGCCGCTGGCTCAGGATAGCAGAGGATCGTCAGAATTGCAGCCAATGTCAGCAACAAGTACAACAGGTCCAGATACTGAAAGAACACAAACCGCCTACCATCCGCACACCACATTCGGTTCAATACCACCTCAAGCAGCTGGGATCGTACCGCACGTAGTCGTTTTGCCTCCTACTCCCCCACAAGCACAAATACCTGCGAGTCTCAGTGCATCGCCACTCGCGATACGAGTACCATCATTATCTCGCGAGAACCGAAGCAGCAGCGGAAACAGAGACCATCTCCAGGAACCAAAACGAAACAGCGGCGTATCTCTTCAGCATGATCAGGAAGGCCGATTAGCAGGAAGTAGCTCCAGAGATGTGCCATCAACATTGGGCCCGGGTCCAGGCCCAGCTTCCCACGCAAATCATATCTCAACTCTGAAAACAGCAGCTCAGATGGAAGGCAAATCGCCACGAAGCAGCCTCCAATCTCTGGTACCGCCTCGCACCCAGGCATCTCGGGCCCAACCTGGAGCCGATCACAACATGCGACTCCCACAATCTTCAGCTTATCCGCCAATGCCAGCACATGTTAGAAAGCCAAAGCAGCACAGAGGTCCACACAGCCAGCAGCGCATACAGCAGCCTGGCAATGCCGGCAACAGGGCAACGTATCCACAAGCAACACCGCCACTGCCTTCAACTCAAATGCCACCTCGAGCAACACAGATCCAGCATCCGGCTGTACTTCGTCCTCGAGGCAGTCTTGAAATTGTAGTCAATCCTAGACCGCAATCGACCACAACGCGATCAAAATCTAGAGAAAAGAAGCTGACAAGGGCTGGCCCATCGCGATTGAGCTCAGTACGTGAGTCTCCTTGCTTTGAAGAATCACCACACCCTCCTTTGTCACCTCTATCAGCAGCACCACAACCTGCTTCGCAAGACCAAGCTACCATGCCTGGTCCCTCTCGGCTTGCTCCAGTGGAAGTCGATGTACCAAGACATGAACGACTCCCATCGAGTCCGACACTTGGCTCATTTACATGGGAAGGAAGATGGCGGAGTGCAGAGTCGTGGTTCGATGATAATAGGGAGGAAGACGAGGAACTGGCTATAGCAATAGCATTTTCTCTTGCAGATGAAGCAGATGGGCCTCGATGAAGGGAGAAGTCGGGGAATGTGGTCTCAACTGTGGCGTCGCTGACCTGTCGCAAAAGTAAGCTGTGTCGATTGCTGTGGCCGGTGCTGCTTTGCGTCAACGGCTCGTCTGGGTGCACTGTGAACCTTGAGGTCTGGATGTGCCGCATGTGCATACTGTAGGCTTAGCCGGATCTTGGCAGAACCTGAGGCATCCACGGAGCTTCCCTGAGATGCGATGGCGTATAGAGCACTGAAAAGGTCACGAGTAAGCACTTCCCATTGCCGGTTCGGAGGCTCTGGATCATCTCCTTGTATTCGTCGGCGGAAGGCCAGGCGAAGGCTATTCCAGCGATCGGTAATCCTGTTATTGCCTCCCTCCTACAGTACTGAACGTCCCTCAGCCGTGGGCCGTGGCTGGAGGGGCGATTAATAGATACGGCATGTGCAGGGTTGCGTCCGGTGATTCGATTTCACGCGGCGGGGGCCCGCGGGCCAAAGCGGAAAAATAATAATGCCACCGATGCGGGAACTACCGTCGGCTCCACTTATTAGCAGCGACAGCGACTTTCATCGAGACTCGAAGCGTGATGGGATGCCTCTGCCAATCCAGCAGAGCAGGCCTCTGCACTTGTGATGCGATGAGTGGGATAGCGACAGCTGCACCTCTACTGCTACTACTCCGCCGCCCTCTTCTGTGAACAACACTCCAAGCAGGACTCAGTACTCTTGGAAGGCGATTGCGCGATGCGACAGCCTCGGCGACCTCAACAAGATGGATATAGACGTCAGCTGGCTAACGAACCCTAAGTCGATGAGAGGTATGCAAGATATGCACAGCGTAGCAGAGAGACATTGGTTGAAGCACGTATAGGCCAAGAACATCGCAAGACACCCTCGACCTCGACCTCGACCTCGACCTCTACGACGCCCCGTCCTCTTAAGACGCCACCACAGACCGACAGTTATGGATATGGACATGGGCAGAAGAAGCAATCCGCCTCGCCCCCACCGAGTCTACAGCTAGTGCAAGATGGGAGTCGCACGTCTTACTTCCCAGGACCAGTCACGCCGCCTGCCTTATCTGAGCCAGTCAAGGATACGACGACTGCCACTCCAAGCAGCAATAGCTTCGCGAAAGGACACTCGAAACGACCGAGTCTACTGAACCGTAGCAGCCACGAGAAACTGAGTGGCGATGGAAAGAGTGGCCCTCGCCGTTCCTCATGGATCTCCAACATTAGCAGCAAGTTTTCCTCAAGTACATCGCCGCCTGAACGTCCGGGACCGGTGCCGACGCTGCCATCTCAAGTGCAAGTAGATGGAGCATCTCCCGCTGTCAACGGCGAAGCTGCCGAGCCGTACGTTCCATCGGCGCCCAGGTCTTCATCGTCCTCGTTCTTCTCAAACTTGACCCGGAAGATATCTGCTAATTCTCAAGTTGGAGTTACGCCGAAGCTACAGGGCAAGGGAGGTATGTGCGAACGTAGAGTTCTAAATGTGGACCCCAACCGCGAAAGATGTCTTGTGCCGGAAATGGATCCTGCTAGACTCAGAAAAGTCTCCTTCTGCGTGGACGTTGAAATTGCGGGAGGGCCAAAGTATAAGGACGAAGAAGAGGACGACGAAGGGAAGCAGCAGAGAAAGAAGAATGCGAAGATTAAGGAAAGGGCCGAAGGCGAAGCACTGAAACATCCTAAAGCATTGCAAGAAGAGAAGGATGAAGAAGGAGAAGTCAAGAGCGAGATCAAGCGGAAACCGCTACCCATCCCGAAAGACAGCAAGAACGGCAGTAGTGAATCTTTCGATGGGCAGACCGGCACGAGCGTAAGCCCACCAGTTGGCAGTCTGGACGAGCAGAGTAGCACCAGCAGGAAGAAGGAAAAGAAGAAGCGATCTGAAGAGGAGCGAAAAGAGCGGAAGGAGAAACGTAGAAGACGCGCAGAAGAGAATGGCTCGATACCGGTTGAGCTGTCCATGGACGCCGATAACGATCTGGATACCGATACGTTTCCATCTTCTGTGCCTGCGAGGAAACCCATACCCACCAATGATCCTGCACACCTAGCAGTCGACAGCGCCTCGAAACGCGATAGACCTACGACCGATCCGGTGCGCATCTATCGAAGATGTTGTCAGTTGAGAGAAACACCAATCTTGAAGCGCATCACCGAGCAGCTCATGTCCCCGACCTGCTGCGTTCCTCTAGAACCTGGAGTCGTGCACTGCTTAGACCTAACAGGCTCTCGCCTGCAGCTGGCAGACATGATCACTCTTGGCGACTGGCTTGCTGTGGTACCTGTCAAAAAACTACTTCTTGAGGACGCCGATCTCAGCGACGAGGGCCTCCGCTGCATCTTGGCTGGTCTCCTTGCAGCGACGAAACCACGACCTACGAAGCGCAAGCACTCGGAACCACGGCATCGTGAGGTAGAGCAATTCAAGCCTCACCAGGAACGAAGTGGCGTTATTGAGAAACTCCATCTCAAGAACAACCCGCGCATCACACGCACTGGATGGAAACACATCAGCTTGTTTCTTTACATGTGTCGATCCATTAAAGCCATTGACCTGTCGATGATCAACTTCCCTGACACGATGCCGGCAAGCACACATGCGACACCAATTAAGAGTCTACAGCACGCACCTCCTGGGTCTGGCAACGATCTCGATGCCGCCGAGGTTCTCTATAAGTGCATCAGTCAAAGACTCGGTGGGAGCAAGCTCGAAGAATTGATCATGTCCGAGTGCGGCTTAACGGCACCTCAGATCAGAAAGATTGTTGATGGCGCTGTTATGTCTGGCATCAACAGGCTTGGATTTGGAGGCAACAACTTGGACGACGAGGGTCTGGATCACATACTGCACTACTTACGCTCTGGCGTCTGTGGTGGACTGGATCTTGGCGGCAATGATCTTCGTGGAAAGCTTGGACTCATCGCAGAGGCTCTAGAGGACAGACCCGGCACATCGTGCTGGGGTCTCAGCTTTGCAGGCTGCAATCTGGACACAGCGTCTGTGAAGCCGCTTTTCTCGGCCTTGGCGCGTTTACCAAACTTCAGATTCGTCGATTTCAGTCACAATCCAGACCTCTGCGGGCAGGACAATGGCACAATCTCGCTCCTCCGGCACTACATTGGTCGGATGAAGTACCTGAAGCGCATCCACCTCGCCGATGTTGGCATGAGCTCGAAACAAGCCATTGCTCTTGCTGATGTGCTGCCTGAAGGTCCTGCCCTGGCTCACGTCAATATTCTGGAAAACCCACAGCTCACCGCGCTTGCTGCGGCTAAAGACGAAGAAAGCCAAGAAGAGGCATGTGCGCTTTATGCTAGCTTCATGGCTGCTGTGCGGGTTTCCAATACCTTGATCTGTATCGACATAGATGTGAGTAGATTAAAATCCCGCTGCTTTCCGCGAAGAAGAGACTGACGTACATCAGGTGCCGAGCGCAGACAACAGCGAAGTCGTCAAAGCGCTTGCCAAGCAAGTTGTTGCCTATTCGCTGCGAAATATGGAGCGCTTCGCCATCGCTGAGGCCACCGGCGATCCACCACTTGCTACCGCAAGCGCAGCTGCTTCACTAGCTCAGCCTCATGGCGGAGAACAGCAAGTCAAGGAGATCGCCGTCCCAGAAGTCCTCTATCATTTGGTTGGCCACGTTGAAGGCGGCAGCCAAAATCACGACAACGATGCTGCAGCGCCAGATGGAGACTACATTGTTGGTGGCACTGGCGTTGTCAAAGCACTTCAATATGTTCTTGGCGAGAAAGCTGACGACTTGCGTCGGAGTAGTATTCCGGGTTCTCCAATCGCAGGTATCAGGACCCCTCGAGATCGGCCCAGCTCATCTGCAGGCTTCCAAGAAGAGCAGCGCGGCAAAGCGAAGAAGATGTCCAAGAATCTCTTGGAGAGCGCAAGGAAGATTCGGACACGACTCCAGCCCGCTCTGGTGAAAGAAGCAGCGCAAGGTGGGGACGAGATGGCATATCGACGACTGGTCTTCCTGGATCAGACTTTACAGAGCATGATCTCTCGCTTCGAAGAAGAATACCCCGAAACTCGCATCACACCTGCGTCGCCTAAAGCACCATCCACAACATCATCGACCGAACCCGCTCCTCTCTCACTCGACACCAGTGTCGTGCTCAAGCACTCCGACGATGAGGAAGACCTCGACGAGGAGCACCACCGATTTCGCCCTGCTGTATCACGACACAACAGCGACGTCTCCCTTGCTTCACGCGCTCTTGGTATGGAAGAGGGTCATCTCCATCGTCTCGGCCAACGTATGCGTCGCGACGTCGTCGACTCGCCATCTGTGGACGCCGTCAAAACTCCTTGGACCAAGGAGGAAGAAGTCGCACGACTCAATCAACTGCAAGACAGAATCGAGAGCATATCTGGACCAGAGCTCAAGAGTCTTGTTGAGCACGACGGCTGGGATTCTGCTTTGAGGAAAATTGGAATGAATTTGAATGATTTGAGACAGTTGCAGGAACAAGATCCGCAGGCATGGGAGGAGTTCTTGGACTCGCAAATGAAGGCGCGAATGAATGTCGCGCAGGACAGGCCGACGCCTTGAGGAACAGCAGACCTGACTGACTGACTGACTGACTGACTTGATTGAGTGTGAAGGGATTGCATCGCACCCGCACATGCACATGAGAAAGATGTGCTCATTTTGTATTTCCTATTGTATTTATTTCTCTCTCGGACTTAGCGAGCGGCGATGGCATAGCCTGGGGCATTGTTGTTCGTCCTGTCGTTACCAGCATACGACGAGGGAGATTTCTGCAAAAGTATGTGCAGAACACATACGACGGCGCAAGCTGTAGATGTATATGCAATGAAATGCTCGCCTCACTTGATTCAGTATCAAGGACAAGAATATGGAATGAAGAATGAACAGGAAGAGCAGTGGAGACCACGGAAAGGTTTTGGTATCATTTCACATTCACAGTCCATCATCGATCAGTGTGACCAGGACCAGACCAGACCACAGCTAAACGCCGCCCATGCTGCTGCTGACACGCAGGATACACAATACGCCTTTCCGTAAACTCACGTCGAAAATTGCTCGTTGCCAAGCCAGGAGAGTACCACCTACAACTCCTGAGCAAGAGCCTGGATCTTCTGGGAGACACGCTCGCGACGCTCCTCGCGGGTGAGCTTCTTGTGCATGTGCTTCTTGGTCTCAGCCTTCCACTCCTCCTTGCTCTTCTTCTGCTCGCCATCATCCTCAGCCTTCTTCCATGGGTCCTCACGGATCTGCTTGTGGGCATCGGCGTAGAGCTCCTCAAGACCATCAGCCTCGATCTCGTCATCGATGTAGCCCTTGAATTGAGACTGGTAGCGCTCCTCGTCATCATCGGCGAGAGTCTCCATGTACTCAGCGACGTGACCACCGAAGATGTACTTGCGAAGAGTCTCTGCATCGAGCTCCTTGGTCTCGATATCGTAACCTGGGAAACGCTTCTCGCTGTGTGGAACGTAGAGTCCACCGTCGGAAGCACCCTTCATGGCACCGAAGACACGGGCACCGGTGGAAGTGCGGGTGAGACCGACATCGAGGAAGACCTTGAATGGGCGGCGCGTCTCGCCGTCAACCTCCTCTGGCTCAGTGAGGCCGAACTCTCCATCTGGCTCCTCAACACCAGTGAAGGTATCGTCGAGCTCGAGCTTGTTCAGGGCGCGGCGGGCGATGAGGAGACCGACGCAGTAGGCGGCGGCCCAGTTGGTGAGGCCGTGGGTGATGCCGTAGCGCTTGAGCTCGTGGCCGTAGGCTGCGACGAAGACCTTGTCGCCGGTGAGCTCAGAGGAGACGATCTGGGCGATGATGTCCTTGTTGGTGAAGCGGATGACCAGGCGGTACTTTGGTGCGTTGTACTTGTTCTTGGCCTGGGTGATCAAGCGCTTGCGGGCATAGTAGTCGGTCTTGCCTGACTGGCGGCGCTTGTACTTCGTCTGGTAGCGACTATACACAGCATTGTCAGTGTTCTGCGGTCAGTGAGAGGAGTTGTGCGATGCTGTACTCACCTGAAGTAGGCGTTGTTCTTGACCAACTTGGTCTGCACATACGTCCACGGTCAGCAATTTGCGCTTCAGATCCCTAGCTCCGAAGCATCTTGCGTCGACCTCTCAGCTTGCCAACCCATTGACGGGCTCAGCAATGGCTGTATTAGGGAGACAACTTACGAAAGGCATCTTGTCGTTGGGTGACTCTGTTGTTCGAGCGTGACGAGAAAAGTCGAGGCTGCAAGCAAGCTCGGAATGTCAAGTGCGCTTGCCAAGACTCGCACCTGCCTGCACAACGCGGGTAGTTGCCGCAAAGGTGGTCGACGACGCTCTCCCAATGCCGACATCCCACCATCGCATCTTTTCTCTCGTCGCATGATGCTATCTAGCTTCGCATATGGCGGCGCTCTATGCGACCTACTGTGAGGATTTCCATTGTGGTATGCGACTGCCGAGCAGCAGGATTGACTCAAGACCGGGCATTCAAGGCAAGACCACGGGAAGCGAAATGACAAGCGTAGTCAACATTGAGCGGCGGAGTCATAAAGATCATTCGAGAGAATGGGTCTACATCTTGACTGAATCTGTATAGGCGAGACCTGGCATGCTTGAATGCGCAACGAGAAATTCATGGCCCTCAGCCGTCACTGGCAGTCGCCGTGTACTTTTTGGGCCACGTAATCGGCCATATAGCGTCAAACACGCGCGGTATCGGCTTCGCATGAAGCATCCGGGAACATCGATTCAGGCTCTGTCAAGATGGTCATCTATACTTCACTGGAGCAGAAGAGGCAGAGGAAAGTCCTTCACCACCCGTGCCAAATACGCCAGTGCCACAGAGTATTGCAATCACGCTCGATCTAGAGACCGGAAGGGCTTTTCGTTAATAGCACCACAGGAGCATTGATACTTGAGCAGCTTGCGGTTTATTTCGGAACTGGTGAGGTGAGAAGGCAGTCTTACGATCAGCGATGGAGGCTCTGACTGAAGAACATGCAACCGCATAATCGCCTACCATCTCGTACGAGCAGGGCCATTCCATCTAGCCGATACAGCAGATGTCTCAACGTTCAACACCTGCTTCAATCCTCAATTGCTCAACCATTCCCGGTCGCTATTCCCATATCACTTCGCGTCGACATGTTCCAGCCGAGCTTCGCTGGCAGCCGCATATCGTCGTAGCGCAGAACTAATATTACCGAATGATCGCTTATGTGCATCTGATTGTATTCGGCATGTTCGCCTGGCAAGGCTCTGGTGGACTCGCTGCTTTGCATGTCGCTTATGTCAGAGCTGTAATCTATAATCCTCATGCACAAGTCCATGTGATCTGGTTGCGGAGACACTCGGCACTCTCATCAGCACTTCCAAGCCTTCAGATGGACATGCTGGAGGTCGGCATTGCGGTCCTCGACTGGCCCATGCTACAAATTTTACCGCATGTCCAAGAAACTTCGACCGTTGGCGGATAACCGAAACAGCGGAGTGACCTGCCCTGCGTGGTGAGTAGCAAGGATACAGGCCGCGGCTACGCGGTTGTGGCTGACAATGGCGACAAGGCTCATGCAAGCCTGCGTTGCTCATGCGAGGTGGCGGACCGCCTTTTCACCTCATGACTGTACACTGGATCCTCAAGAAAGGTTTCATTTTCCGTGAAGTGCCCAAGGGACATTGGCAGGTCTTGGGATCTCGTGCATCGCATGAAACAGGGCCTTTCAGATATCAAAGGCAGGGAAGCAAGCAGGCACAACGCGCTGAATAATTGCCGAAGATCCTTGCGCAGATCTTCGAAAGGGCGTTTGAGTAGGACATGCACGCTGTGAAGCAGCGTCTTGAACAAGGAACGTGCCAGGCAGTACAAGAGCAGCGCAGTATTAGGTCGGATGACGCTGCTAGAACTGTGGTATCAAAGACTTTACGTACTGTACGTACTGTAGCTGCGATAACGGCGTTGAATGGAGACAACAGACCTGTACCGCAGCCGCCACAGCCGCGCGCTTGACCGCTTCTCTTGCCAGTGCTTTGGGCCCGTGTGATTGTATTTCCTTGAAGAAAATCGCGGCATATTAGCGTGTTGGCTGCATTTGACATAAGTACCCCGCTACCTTGGATGTATTACCTACTGTAGTATCTCCGAGCCGCAGCGTCATACTCGTCAGGATAATGGCACTTTAGAATCGATCGCCAAGCGGGCGTCATGTGGCATTGAAATGAGATGGTGGCGCTCACTGAACGAATAAATATTTGATCATGCCCACAATAATGAAAGCTGGGAAAGAGCAGGGCAAAGATTAGTCACTAGGCAGGAAGGCCCAGCTTCGTGGAACCCGAGACTTTCTTTGACCAGGAACCAAGCAAGCAGCAGCAGGTGATGTCCTCTCGAGCGCATCCACACGCGCCTTCACTTCACTTACCGCTGTCACCACTCTCACGTCGAAGGATGCCTTCGATCCGCCCAACATCACCTCTGTCTCCAGGCATTGCCTACAAGACATCCTCGCATTCCGACACATTACAACTTCCACCTCAACGCCCAACAATGCATCAACGACAGAACAGCAGCCAAAGACCTGCTGTCCTCAAATTACCCTCCTTCCACCCAGCAAACTACCCGAGTAGCAAAAACTCAACACCAGACGGCAACTCGCACGCCTCATCGCCTCACGCTCCCATCTCACCTCGTACCCATCAGAGCATGTACAGCGACGCACAAAAGCAACTGTACTTCAACCAAAGAGAGATGCTGAGTGCCACGCTCAAAGCCCCGTCGCCTGGCAAGCCCGACAGCCCGCGCTTGGTTCCTCTGGGAAGTCCTGGACCCGTCACGCCACTGGAATTAGAGAGAGGAGAAGGCTACATCATTGCTGGAGCGAGGAGTAATCGCGCGAGCAACGACACTCCAAACGAGGAATTGGTGGAGAAGTTGATTCGCGCAGAAGTTCAGAGGCAGCATGGAGGCAATCACGCTCGGTGACGTGGTGAGGAGACTTCATCTGTGCATTTCGGAAGCATAGCATTTGGTTCGGACTGGCGTTGGTGGAAACTTGGGAAGAAAGGAAATGCGGCGTTTTTTATCATCTTGTGCTTGGAGGCTGCGTAACATCACGCGCCGATGGGGTGTCACGATCTATGTACGCCGTCACGGCCTACGTATGGGAAAGTGCACTGAACTGATAGACCACTCGCAATTCGCGAGATGCGGTAGTGGAGAGATGTTCTTCATCTCTGCTGCAGCCTGCTGCATAGATAGGTCTATATCAAAGAATATTATATTCAATATTCGATACTCTGTTTCCCTTGTCATCGTAATTGTCTCTCTCACGGAGGCCGGAGAATAATAATGGGTTCGTTGTCCGAAACATGGCATGCTGCCCTGCATAAAATAATAATACCCCGCGACATGAGGCGTTGAAAGAACATAACTTTCATAACAGCCTATCTGAAGGCATAAGTAAGCAATCACGTCGCTCTGCCACGAACTCAAGCAAGGTATCAATCAATCAATCAATCAATCAATCAATCAATCAATCAATCAATCAAACAAACATCTACAAACAGCCATCCGCACCCCCACTACCTACCGCTTCATGAGGCCCTTGGTAGGCGCATTCGGCGTGATGAATCCAGTTCCCGGCAGAGACATGCCAGCATACAACGACCCACGACATCTCAACCACTCCGAAACATGACGGAACGGGGTGGCACGTTTGGAATCCTACGCCAAACCACCATCCGCATCCGCATGCCATTCGAGTTCTCCGACGATTTCGGGCAACATGTCTTCGACGTCTTCTTCTCGGACACCGAGTGCTCCTGTGATGAGTCGCTTGTATTCTGCTTGCTTGTCGCCTAAGCCAGCCACTGAGAGGTTCTGGACGATGGTCTTGAACAGCTTTCGACGTTGTTCCACCAACGAGTGCAGTTCGCGAACTAGAGCGAGTTTGTGGTTGACTTGGTCGTCGTTTTCGTCGTCCATCATTAGGTCTTCGTCAGGTGGGCCAGTATCGTTCTTTTCTTCCCGATTGAGGATGTCTTTAAGTTCTGCGTCGTCTTCTGCTTGGGTCAGGTCTTCGCATTCTTTCATGAGTGCATCGAGTTCTGCTAAAAGTTGATCGTCGCCTTCTGTGCCATCGAGCTGCTCCATTTCCTTCGTTCGTAGCTCGTCCATTTGCCGCTTTAGAAGGTCGAGTTCTTCTGCTCTCGTAGTCGCGACTCGTTCAGCTTCGACCTGCTCGAGCTCTTTCTCGCTGATTTCTGCTTCTAATGTGCTCGCAAGTGATTTCATCTTGTCGAAGATGTCAGGAATGATGGCAGATGTCAACGCGAGCGCTGCCTCCGACTTGTACACACTTGAGGATGTGCTCTCAAGTGATGACTGCAGAGCTCCATTCATTGCTGACTGTGCCAGCAGCGGATCGAGCATGATGCCGCCATTCATGTCACCGAGACCTGCCATGTGAGACTGCACTGGACCGCCAGGCATCATGCCTCCATCCGGATGGTCGCCTTGGAAAGGAGAAGATGAGAGTTGGCGCTGGTTATGCCGCTCTTGCCGACGACGATTGAGCTGGACGATCAATTGATCTGCCGTTTCGCCAATGTTGTTGGGAATGTCTACCGCCGCGTTTCTTCCGATGAGACTTCGCACACATTTTCGAGCGCCGTTTCTCGCTGCAATCGTGATGGCAGTATCGCCGTTTTGGTCTTGCATGTTCAAAATGCGCTCAATTTGATCAGGATTGAGCAGGTCGGACATCTTGGTAAGGATGCAGTCCATGTAATATCGAGCGCACGCGTACTTGCTCTTGCGTTGTGTAATGCCAGCGATGTGATGGAAGACACTGCTCCCATACCATTCTTGCATATTGACCGTTCGAATAAGCAGCCCAGCCAGCTTTTCCATGTTGTGCTTGTCGTAGTTGTTGGTGAAGAGCACTGCCCGCATCAATGGTGTCTCGCCGCTCTTGGACGGGACATCAATGGCAGCTCCTCTCCGTATGAGGTCCTTGACTACTTCGATGTCGCCCACTGCTGAAGCCCAGTGAAGTGCCGTATGGCCCTTGTCGTCAATCGGCCGGTTCAGATCAACGGTGGGCGGAGGAGCCGGGGCATTGGGTAAGGCGTCCATAGAGTTATCCGCAAGCATGAAGTAATCCAGCAGCTCATCCGCCCACAGTTGGTGCTCCTTGTCGGCTGGGCTCAAGGTGTCTTCTACTCGCCGCCGCTTGCGAGATCCGCCAGTATACTGCGCTTGGTCGAAGTCGTCAAATGCATCCGACACAGTAGTCACGTTGTCTGGAGTACCATCATCATGCATGTCCATGTGGTCGTAATCAGGGACATTCGCATATGCTGCGCTACGCTTAGTGCCAGCTCTGGCAGGCGGATCCATATCTTCCTTACCCGGCTGTCTTCTGGGCTGAGCTGGTGCTCGGGGTGCTCGAGGCTTATTGGAGGCGGCGGTGGCATGCTTGGGCGCAGGTGGTGGAGTTCTATCGCCCGGGACAAAGTCGAAAATGGGCCTGAGCTTGTCCAGAACGCCATTCTTTGCTGCCAGTTCCCGGCCGTCTGGAAGCGGAATCCATGTGCCTACAATGCCATGCTTCGCGATCAGCAAACTGTAAAGCGCATCTCTTGTCTATGCCGAGCGAGCGATACGGCGCACCTTGATACTTTCCGTATCCACCCTGCACCTTCTCATGCACTCCCTTCTGCACTTCTCTCTCAAGAATTCTCGTTCGCGCGGGCTTATCGTAGTCGGCGACCTTCAGGATATGGGTGGCATTGATCCAGTCGTCGGAGCGCCGGCGCATAATATGGTTGCCGTTGACATTGTATTCGTAGACGGGTACCTGGCGTTGAATAGCGTGTCAGCGGATAACTAGAAAACGCAGTACGAATCGCATCGTGAGCGCGCATACATTGCTGTAAGTCGCGCTGTATATCTTGTCGCTGGGCGGCGGCGGCGGCATGGCGGCGAGTGTCTCTGGCTGCTGCTATATAGATATGTCGTGCGTGTCACAGCTGTCCCGTCGCGACGAGGTCGGACGCGTCTTCGCGTGGCACGGCACGGCACGGCACGGCACGGCGCGGCGAGCTCGGCAGCCAATCGGCTTTGATGTGCTGGAAGTCATTCTTCTCGTATTCACGCCTTGGCCCACCCAGCCAGCTCAAGCCGGAAGAAGACGCCTGAGGCATCTTTAAACTTCCAAAGGCTCACCGAATCGACTGTATGACTGCTAGGCGCGGCACTTGGCACCACATACCACCGAGCACTCCGATTTCAGTAACCCTCCACGCCCGCAGGGTGGGATATAGAGGCTGTGGCTCAGACTGGAGTCCCATTCCGGATCACCTATTTCCATGCCCTTTGCTCACTCTGGGCACAGCCACAGAATGGCCACATTGGACTTGATCGATCACTCGCCTCAGCACCCTGCGCCTGCTGATCCCATCACGACCGCCGGCAATGTCGTCTTGATTGACAACTACGACTCTTTTACCTGGAATGTCTACCAGTATCTGGTCTTGGAAGGGGCGACCGTAACAGTTGTCAGGAACGATCAGATTACTCTGGAAGAACTTATCAAGTCTGACCCGACCCAACTGGTGATCAGTCCTGGTCCAGGGCACCCAGAAACGGACTCTGGAGTCAGCAAAGATGCCATCAAGCACTTCGCCGGCAAAATACCTGTGCTCGGTGTCTGCATGGGCGAGCAATGCATCTACTCTGTTTTCGGCGGCGTAGTGGAGCAGACAGGAGAAATCCTGCATGGAAAGACTTCTCCATTGACGCACGATGGCAAGGGCGTGTATGCCGGACTTCCACAAGATCTGCCTGTCACAAGATATCATTCTCTTGCCGGCACACATCCTACCCTCCCAGAATGTCTCGAGGTATCATCCTGGATCGCATCCGGTCCCGATAGCGGCAAAGGTGTTATCATGGGAGTGCGTCACAAGGAACTGCTGGTGGAGGGTGTTCAATTCCATCCGGAAAGTATCCTTACCGCTGAGGGCCGGACTATGCTCAAGAACTTTCTGCGTATGCAAGGCGGCACCTGGGCTGAAAATGCCAAGCTGAAGACTGAATCGCAGCGAGTTGTCACAAATGGCACCAAGACCGTCTCGAACGGCACTGCTTCCAATGAAGACAAGAAAACGTCGATCTTGGAGCGTATCTACAATTACCGCCGTGTTGCCGTCGCCGCTCAGAAACAGATCCCTTCACAACGCCCAGAAGACCTACAAGCCGCCTATGCTCTTCAGCTTGCACCGTCTCTGATATCTTTTACAGACCGCCTGCGTCAATCTCCTTTCAAGCTCTCTCTCATGGCAGAAATCAAGCGTGCTTCCCCTTCCAAAGGCATCATTCAGATCTCAGCTTGCGCGCCATTGCAAGCCAAGACTTATGCACTGGCAGGCGCAAGCACTATCTCGGTGCTCACAGAACCAGAGTGGTTCAAAGGCAGCATTGACGACTTACGAAGCGTACGCCAAGCCCTAGAGGGCATGCCAAACAGGCCTGCTATTCTAAGAAAAGAGTTCATCTTCGAGGAATATCAGATCCTTGAGGCTCGGCTTGCCGGTGCGGACACAGTCTTGCTCATTGTCAAGATGCTTGATGAAGAGACTTTGACAAGACTGTACAAATACTCCCAGTCTCTAGGCATGGAGCCTGTCGTTGAAGTCAACACAGTCGCGGAGACAGAGATGGCGGTCAAGCTTGGCTCAAAGGTCATCGGCGTCAACAATCGCAATCTCACCAGCTTCGAAGTCGATATGGGCACCACTACTCGTCTCATGAGTATCGTGCCAAAGGAGACCATTCTCTGCGCGCTGAGTGGTATAGCGGGACCAAAGGATGTCCTCCCATATCAGCAAGCAGGTGTCGGAGCAGTGCTTGTTGGTGAAGCATTGATGCGTGCGCACGATACTGCCAAATTCATCTCGGAGCTTCTCGGTGGCAATGGCAATGGGGCAGCGATAAAAGCCAAAGCTCAAAAAAAGCTGCTGGTGAAGATTTGTGGTACGAGAAGCGCGCAGGCTGCCAAGACTGCGATCGAAGCAGGAGCAGACCTAATTGGAATGATTATCGTCAAAGGCCGGAAACGATGTGTGTCAACCGAGACCGCTCTCGAAATATCTGCGACCGTTCACAGCACACCAAAAACAGCGACACAAGTCACGGATGATACGCCGGAGGCAGACGAAAAAGCGACAAGTTTCTTCGCGCACACAGCACGACATCACATTCAGCATCCTCGCCGCGCACTGCTGGTCGGCGTCTTCCTTGACCAACCTTTAGAGTACGTCCTCGAGCAGCACAAACTCCTCAATTTCGACATCGTTCAGCTTCATGGCATAGAACCCTTGGAATGGGCACACCTCATACCAGTGCCTGTAATTCATAAGTTTACGCCCACAGACTCTGGCATTGCAACAACAGGCTATCATGCAATGTCACTGCTCGATCCTGGGTCAGGTAGTGGTCAGCGGCTTGATCTGGGAAGTGTCAAGAACTTGCTCGAAAATAACGAAGGCCTTCGTGTCATTCTCGCCGGCGGGCTTAATGCGGAAAATGTGGTTGATGCTGTATCCTCGCTCGGCTCTGCAAAATCAGGGATAGTGGCGGTAGACACGAGCAGTGGTGTGGAGACCGATGGAGAGCAAGATATTGCCAAGATACAGGCGTTTATCAAAGCAGCGAAAAGTTTAGAGCTTTAGACAAGATTAGTAATGAGACCTCACATGGACTTCATCGGCTCCAATACCGGGCAAGTCTTGGTCTTAACGTCGCAGAGCGCAACTGCGGCTCGGAGAGTGTCCAAAGGTGCCAGAGGAAGTCAGATGAAAGTTCCATGTTTCTGGCCTGAGCCACAAAGTGCACTACATGTAGCTATTGAGACTGTGCGGCTCTGGCTAACGGTAGTGCACGGATACAAGTAACGTGAGGCCGAACTTGCCGATTGCCTGCCTAGCAGGTGCACCGCCGTTTCTTCACTTTCTTCACTTTCTTCAATTGCTTCAATTGCTTCAATTTCTTCAATCGCTTCAATTTCTTCAGTTCCTTCAGTTCCCTCACTTGGTGGCCCGAGCGCGTGGATGACGACTATTAAAGTCTCTCGCTTTTCCACAACCTCTTACACTTTACAATACACCCACCGTTTGCCATATTTCCACCGCACCTCAACCCATTTCAACCTCGAACACCATCTGACATACCCACCCTAGCATCAGCACACATCACCTCTTATCATACTTCCAATTCAGGGGCGCCAGTCGCGATACCACCGCTCTGAATCAACATGGTCCACAGCGCGCTCAAGAGTTGCGTCATTGTCACAGTCGGCCTGCACGAGGACTGGAATAACCAGAAAGTCAAGGACTGGGTCAGCCAAGCCAGCGGCAAAGTCGAATCTCGCGTGACGGAGGCCACCACCCACCTAGTCGTCAGCAAGAAGGAGTGGGAGAAGAAGGGCGTCGTTGTTCAAGATGCCCTCAAGCGCAAGGATGACTCGCTTCAAGAGATTGAGATCGTCTCGTACGACTGGCTCGCTGACAGCTTGCATGCAAAGTCGAAGAAACGCGAAAAGGGATATCGATTTGTTCTTGCCCGCAGCAAAGGCAAGGGAGGCGATGAGCCACGCTCAAATTCCGGTCTTATGAAGCAGCTCTTCGATGACCACACTCTGGGTCCGACGCCTGCTGAAAAGGGACTTATCGAGAAGCGGGCTGTAGAGAACGCAGAGCTTGCGAGGAAGCGTGACGAAGCCAAGATGAAGGATTTCGAACAGAGCCGAATGACAGTTTCGGAATATGCTGCAATATTCAAAAGGGGGGCCCAGAAAGCAAGGACCCATCTTCTTAATGAAAACCACCACATCTACCAAGACTGCACTGGCTTCTGCTACGATGTCACCCTTACCAAGGTCGACGCCAAGCACAACACTAATGAGCGTTATTCGCTGGTGGTACGTCGAATCGGCTTCCACCTTCCAAATATTGGCTAACACTAATCACTCCAGCTCCAGATCTTCGAATCCAACAATGTGCCGAACACCTACGCTCTCTGCGCCTCTTTCTCGGGCACGCGCCTGCAGCAAACCAACCACACCATTGTCGCCATCGGATCGCCATGGCCAACTGTGTATCGCGCCTTCACACAGGCGTTCTTCGAGAAGACCGGCGTTAAGTGGACCGACCGCGTTATAGCCGCGACGGAGCGCCAGCAGAACGAGAGAAAGAGACGCATAAGGGGCTATGCCGCCGAGATGGTGGGTGGACCACAAGCTGCGAAGCGCGTCGAGGACTTTGACCAGACCAAATTCCAGTACACTCCGCCAGCATACGGACCAAAAGGTGAGGGTGCGGAGATGCCTAAGGCTAAGGATGCCCCAGTCGACCTCACTGGCGAGGACGATGACAGTGGCACGAGATCGGCTAGTCCAGCACACAAGCCGGAATTCGGTCCGGAGGAGGTCGAGAAGTTCAAGCAAGCCGTTATGGATGGAGAAATTGACCCTTACGAGGCTCCATTCAGCTTCGGAAAGGATGGCTTCGTTGCAGCTGAAGACGATACTACGGCTGCTGCCACTATCGGCGACGATCTCGATTTGGAACTGCCAGACATTCCGGCCGACTTCGACTTCGATGCCTTCGAGATGCAACATGATACGGAAGCAGCAGGGCTTGATCAGCATGATACAGAAACCGCAGCCACTAGCAGCGAATTTATATCCCGCCAAGAGCGCTCTCGGGCTTCTCAGAGTCTAGGCAAGCGGAGGGACTTCCCGACCGCCAGCACCGCAGATGAGTCGGAGAAGCAAGAGCCGGCCGAGAAGAAGCAGAAGACGGGGCTGGAGGAGGACCTGCCGGACAAGGGCCCAGAGACCCAGTTCCGCAAGGCAGTTGATGCGATGGCGGCTGAGCAGGAGGCGCTCCATGAGGCGGAGGGTGACGATGATGCCAGTGGCTAGGGCATGATACTAGTCTAGCATTGAGACAGCGGAATGGCTGTGAGTTGAGATGAGCGAGATGAGATGTGAGAGAAAGGCCTGGGTCCTCAGCTAGGATAGGATCTGCTCCCGTCAGTAAGCATAGTCTGCGCGGGTCACGACAGTACCGTGCCAAGCTATCATATTCGAGTTCTGGAGAGCGAACTTATGAATCTCCCTCACTTGGTATGTGCAAACCTCCATTTCATCTCATGCGTTATGTGCAATGCGCTCGCTTTGGGTCTAATTGCTCCTCGCTCCTCCCTTCTCGGCTCTCAACTTCTCCATCTTCTTTACTCTCAGCTTGAACTCCTCGTACTGGCACTTTTCGTAACCGTGTCGCTCGTCCTGCGGAAATCATTGCATCAGCACCTTGCGTCAAGCGTTCATGATTCCAATTCCCCCTCTGGCCTTGTACTCCCATCCGTGCTTGAACTTACCATACACCTCCACGGTAAGTAGTAGTTATCAAACCGGCACTTATTCAATGGGATCAAAAGATGCGCGCAAGAATCTCTGTATGCGAGTGGGAGCTTCGCGTCGGACATTTCTTTTCTGGTTGCTTCTGTATTCAACGCGCGCATTCTCAGCAATGCGACCCATGCCATGCCATTGGTAAGGGTGGAACGTACGTGTGCCATGGCCTCCGAGACCAACTGCCTCCTTGACGGACTCGGCCGTATCTTTTATGCTCTCCGTGACCGTCATTTTGTATCTGCGTGTGTTGTGAATGAGCGTGGGAGTGAAGGTGTTGTTGCTGGTGAAGTGGTGAAGTGGTGGTGGTGGTTCGGCTTGATCCGAGAGCGAGAGCGAGAACTTCGCGTGTGAAGTCGCGTTTCTTGCCGGAAACATTAAAAGAGCTAGTCCAACATCGACAACTTCGACCTAGACGCCCAAGATCCGAGATGGACGGTCGCTTGGTACATACACTCGACTTCATACGATAGAGTCGTTCCGATAGTTCTATCTCTTGCAAGAGCGACCCGATCTGCTCTGGCGCAAAGCAAGCATGGCGAACGGAACAGGATCAGAATCCAGCTACTTCCCAGCCCTCGACAAGTGCCTCGCCGGCGAGGTCCCTCTCATATCATGGCGCACAGCATATCGCGCCGTATGCGACGAAGAAAGCGCAGTAGACAGCAGCCAACTCGAGAACTTCTTCAACGACAACGAGACTATCAATTTTCTAAGCACTGCACTCGATCCCTTTCCAGAGCCGAATGCTAGGACAGCAAGCGAGCTAGATACCAAGACTGCGCCGATCAACGTCTCTCAGACTCAGAATGGCGACTATAATCTGGAGCAAATCAAGGCGGATGCAAAGTGGCTGTCGAAAGAGATGAAGATTGAGGAGCTGGCTGCTTTGCGTGTCGCTATCATTGAGTGGCAGGAACGACCAGCCGATCAGTTGCTGAATACTGCATTCAATGGGACGAGTGGACTTTCTGGGTCGCTGGAGCTGGCCAACTCAGCTTTGGGCAGAAGTGTGGTTGATTCTGCTATGCCTCTGGCAGCCGCAGCACACCCGCCTCTCAAATTTGACGACGAGAAAGTGCGGAGAGAGAGACTGCTGAATGTCCACTTGAGCGAGCTGAACCATCTGCGCAAGATTAGCGCTGATCTCGTGAGTCGATCTGCGCTTTCGAAGACGAGTTTGCAGGGAGAGAATGTCGGAGCATTCAGGCAGCCCGAAAGGCCTTCTTGGATTGACAATGCTGCAGCAAAGGTCGCTGAGAGCATGTGCCCGGGCAAGAACAGGACAGTCAGCGAGGCTTTTATTGGACGATGTATTGCGAGACTAGACAAGATTTTGGATCAGACGGAGATCCATACATCCTGGCCGAAGATCTTTGCGGATGATGAGAAGGCTCCAAGCTATATTGATTCGCTATACGGGGAGCTAGTATGTGCGCTCAGACTGCTGCTGGCTGCATTGTACTCCTTCGATGGCATTCCGAGCGGCATGAGTGTGCGAGCATGGTTCAGCTTAATGCAGAAGCATGAATATCTACGAGCAGGCAAGCCGATGCTTGTCAATGTGGACGTCTCGATCTTGCAGCTCCTCATCTCGATCATCTCGGTGGATATCTTGAAGGTTCAGCTAGCAGTTGGCGAGATCATGAATGCTGCCGGCGTGGAATCTGCGACACTGAGAGGCAGTCACTACGTCAACGATGAGCGTTGTCTTTCGGAAATCAACATCGATCTGCACAAGGCGGCAGTCAACCAAGTCAGCATCGCGGCGCCTGCAGTGCTTGCTTGGAGTATCATCACTTCAGTAATCCGCGACATTGCACAAATACACCAGGATCTACGAGAGTCGCGAGAGGATGGCGAAAATTTTGCCCTGGCACGTCGTTCCTCAATAAGACGAGCCTCTAGAGATGGTTCCTCGGAGTTTGAGAAGCTCTATCTCCTCTTGTCCAGCCAGACCGAGCTGGAGGACTATCGAGAAGATCCGCCACGACATTTTCTTGGAGACGCGGTGGATGGTATGCGTGTTTTCAGCCTGATACGAGTACTAAGTGACACAGTCGGAGCTGTGTACAGCTCGGTGAGCGAGTCTGATACGGCCTTCATTTGCAAGGAAACTTTACTTGATTTAACAAGAGACGGAATTCCTTTCGTACAATACGATGCCGAGATCATGGAGGCAATATTGTCGTTTGTCACACCCTCTTCCCAGTCGCCACCTTCGAAACAGCAGGCGGCAGTGCTGGCTGAGAAGCTTTTGCTTGACGAAGACCAGCTTCGGCCCAACATTCTCGAGGAAGCGCTGAGACGATATCCTTATGAGCTCAGCCCAATGCTCAGATTGTGCACAGCTCTTGCTGGTGCTGAAAGCAGACATCACCCAAGCCAAGGTGTTCCCATCGTCGCAGAGCAATTGCAGCGCCTGCATTTCTTCACACAGGAGACTCCCACCCGTTTCCACGACTATGAGCTCGAAAACGAAGATGATGGCATGAATTCTATGAAACTCACCGAAGCACTACCAGTGTTAATATCACACTCTTCGGCGGCATCTCATGGACAACAACGACAATTGACGGCCGGCGGTAGTGCTGATATGCCTGTTGAATGGAGCATCCCGGCTGATACACCTGGTACTATCACTCGCGAGGAGCGGCCTCTTGTGCTCACCTTTAGGTACGAGCACTCTGCCTTGGAATACTTGAGTGTCCTGCTATCCACGTTCGTTGCGAGCAGTGAACTCTCGCCTCTGACTCAGAACGCCATACTGGATTGTTTTACCGCTGCCGACATAATCTCACTCTTTACGGCACTGCTTTCGGCCACGCTGGAACCAAAACCGGATGCAGAAGATGCCAGGAGGTTGCTCGAGAGCATGGGAGCGGCCCTTCGACAGAGTCAGGATATCGTCTCAATCATCGCCGATATTTTTGAATCAGAGCTTCTGTCCCATCTCGACCAGGTAGCACAAGAAGGTTCACTGGAACTGGTGACAGCTTGCGCAGAGTTCTGGATTGTGCTTGCGAAGTTTTCCCCAGAAAGAGTATGGGCAGTGCTTGCTAAGAGCAGTCTGCTGGGCATTATCGACGGTGCGACATCTCTCGCATCTATTGTCGGTGGGTCCGAGGTTGCGCTTGGCCAATACCACTTCCTGAAGGCATGTGTCGAGCTCCATGCCCTGCTCCTGGACGACGCCATTTCTGGGCTCTTGAAGCGAAAATTGAAGCCTCAAACCAATTCCCGCATGCAAGATGAAGAGGCTACTGAGACCACTCCAGAGCGAACAATGAGTGCGGTGCTCAATGCATATCAGAGAATACTGCTGGATGCGTTCCAAAACTTCCCAGACTGGAAATTCGTGAATGCTGAGGAGCGGTGCACTATCACAGTTTGCATTCTCAAGTCGTTTACGAAACTTTTAAAGAGCACATACGGCATCGATGTGGCCAAAGAGCCATCGAAGCGACTCACATATGTTCTTGCTCCCGCAGCAAGCTCTCTGCTTAGCACTTGCTGTCCAAGCGCTGATAGCAGTCCGCTGATCAACACTTTTAGCAAGACGCTTTTTGAGGCATTGCCTGTTGCGGGAGATGGTCTACCTGTGCTCGGACGGAGGCTTCTGATCGAGCAAACCTGCTCGCTATTCGATTTCTTGACCGTGCTGCTACGCACTGCTCAGAGTGGTGTCGACCTGCTTGCTGTCAGAAAAGCAAAGTTCAACAGCTCTATCATGCAAGACGAGGTGTTGGAAGAAGACGATGAGTTGAAGGCCGAAATGAGACGCCAAATAGGTAACCAACGAGCCTCAATGCTGGCAAACGGCGTACTTAAGAGTATGCCCACTCTGGCATCTCTTTTCGCAAGCGATCATGCCTTCAAGAGCGGACTTTTTGAGCTCCTGTCCAATCTCGTCAAGTCAGTCAGTGCAGCTAGCCATGACCCTCCGTCAATCCTCGCACAGCTGGACCCAACCGCGGCTAAAGCTTTCCTCCAGGTAGTGACCCAACTTGACCGGCCACTCTGTAATCTGCAGGTCGAGCGCAAAGTCTGGGACTTCTTGTCGGTGGTCATGGATAGCAAGCAGCAGTGGTTTGCAATCTACCTTCTCACCGGCAACTTGCCCAAAAGCCGCTCTCATCGCCGCAACTCGGATCCAATCAAGGGCAAACCTATTCTCAGGTATGTGCTGGATCAGGTTGCTTCGATATCGACTCTGTCACCAGAGCGTGCTGTAGGCATGCTTCAATTCCTGGCTGTTGCACAACGGATGTGGGTTTGGGCTACAAATGAGTTGCGATCGCACCCGGACTTCTTGAAGAATACTCTGGCGTGGCTCGAGAATCTGCAAGAACCACCAAAGAAGCCCAGTGCTGCCATCATGGTCATCAGTGCCCGAGAATGTGAGATGGCCTCTTACTTGTGCGAGATTCTGGCGATCAACCTGCACACCAGCCTCGAGATCGGTGACAAGACTGTTCTGAAGGCTCTCGTGCCCAAGCTAGGCTACCTCAGGAAGCATGGAGCTGGCGTGACTGCCTTCAATATAGATCTGCATCATGGTCTAGCCAGCAGTCTGAACAAGGTCTTCAGAGAAGCCGAGCTGGAAGATTTCAAGCGCACTTCAGTCAATCCTGCGCCGCTCGGGGAAGACTACTTCTACGACAAGGATATTGCTGCGTCAGTCTTCCAGCACTACAAGTCATGGCATGGAATTGGCGGCAAGACCGATCAAGGATATGCGAGCGAGTTCTCCCGCGCGAATGCAAATATCAGCTTCCTTCACGCGCAGACTGCGTTGCTAAAGAGCTGGAAAACGCTAGCTACTACACTATGCGAATGTAGTGACGACAATACGACGCTTCAGGTTGAGCTTGCGAAGACTGCAGAGAACTGTCTTCTCTTCAACGCGCAATATGACACGAGGCAGCCAGGCGTCGCGGATGTACTGCAGATGCGATTAGATCTCGCATTCGTGCTCGTCTCGAAATTGGTCTCGCTCAAGCTTCAGGACGATACCATGAAGGCCCTTTTGCCAGCTGCGTGGGATCTAGTCTCGCGCTCGCCGGTAGACTATGATGTCGCTTCTGCGCCAGAAGACGTGCGATATTATAGGCAACTCCTGCAGACGTTGTACCTCACCGTGCAGCCACACAACTACATCAAGTCGAAGAACGAGATGCAATATCTGCCTCCTGCCACAGCATCATGTCTCGTAAGCATCGTCAACAAGACAATCGCTCCAGGCTTCAGAGCTCTCTGCGGCAATCTTCACAACGACATCACCCTCGCCCTTCCCGCCGACTTCGCCCTTCTCACAGCTCTCCTGCGTGCAATAGTTGCAGTTCCTGGAATCAGCTCAGTCCAAACGATGCTCTCAGATATCATCGCCGACTCCTCCCTCATTCGCGGCGCCTTGAGCCTCTACAGCTGGGCGGATCAGCTATCCGAAGCCACGACATCCTCCTCCGATCCCATATACGGCGAGATTGCAGTCATGTTCCTCCTCGCTCTTTCCACGGTTCGCCCAATCGCTGAGCAAATGGCTCTTCAAGGCGTTCTCACCCACCTAGCTTCCGGAAATTTATCGAATTACTTCCGCAAGCCTGGCGGGAAAGGACCTTTTGATGAGCCTCAGCGCATGTTCGTGATCTGGACCGAAGGCTTCTTGCCTCTTTGTCTCAACCTCCTCGATGCCGTCGGACCACCAATTGCCGCCGAAGTCTCCGTCTTCCTCAACTCCTTCCCAGAACAATTGCGGAGAGCAGAAGTGTCTCTCCAAAACGAAACTCCTTCGACTCGAAACCCAAGAGCTGGTGCCGTCACTCTCGGCCTCATCGCCGAAGCTCACAGCCTAGCCATGATATCTTTGATCTTGAAGTCGGATGTCGCGCGAGGTGCAGCCGAGGGCATCGATGCTAATGCCGTGCCCGAGTTAGACTATGCTGTGGAGGTTGTAATGGGGCTCGTGGAAGCTTTGAGTCGGAGCAAGAGGAGTCTGAATGATCGCATTACGGCTGTGAGTCCTTTGGAGGAGAGGTGGATGAAGACGGATGTGACTGGCGCCAGTGACAATTTGCTTGTGCAAAAGGTGCTTGGAGAGGTTGGGAGCTTTTTGGAATGTTTCGCGGGAGAGGGAGATGCATGAAGGAGAAGGGATCGCATTTTTGTTTTTGAAAGCGAGGCGTTGGATGATGTGTTAAAGGCAGAGATCTCGCATGGTCTGCAGAGATGGAAACGAAACAAGATGTGAAATTTTACTTCACGTCCTGATAATCTATGGTACCATTGACTTTTCACCATCTTTCGAACACGATATTGACGTTTGCGTAGCAGTTAATTCTAGTAGTTTTGTGGAGAGTGAGTCTCTGAGACGTGCAGGAATTTGAGAGGATAGCCTGATGAAGGAGGAAGATCGCAGCCATCGGGATTGGCGAAGACCATGTTGGCATCGGAACACCAGTTGCCAGAGTAGATCCAGGCATCGGTTTCGGTGGTGCCGTCAGAGAGGCTAGAGAATATTGGTAGCAGTGTCTCATGTAATGGTCAGGTATCTTGGGGAAGCGCGAATCATGGCATTGGTCAGGTTGGAGAAGCCTAGCGGTAGAATTGCAAAGTAGGCAAGAAGGCAGGCCGTCGTGGTTTTTACTGGGAGGCGGAGATGTGGACAGGATGGGAAGAGATGCGCTTCTGAGAAGGAGCGGAGGTGGTCACTGAATAATAACGGTGTCGTTCTGTTTTGACCAGGTGCCCTGCAATAGCTTAGTACTACTAGGATCAGCCCGGGAGAAGTTCACTGTCTTTTCACAATAATGCACGTGTGATGAATGCCTCTTTCCAGTCGTTTTCCAATTCCGACTGAGCCAGTAGACAGTGAACAGCGGCATATGCAAATGTGTTTGTCATGGAATATTTCAGCTCGTCTGTAGTTATGATGAGTAAATGTAATGCAGGTCATTATTAGGCAGATGAAATTTGATGCTGATGATGAGATGCCAATATTATTATTGCCAATGCTGACACCAATAATGCTGACGCGACAAGCGTAGCATTTTACTTTTTCATGAGCTTCGGAAGTAGCTCGACCTCCGTGAAATTCCAGATTGGATACGATGCTGCCTTGACCATCGAGAATCCGTTCCAATACGTATTACGATGTCCCTGCAATGCTAGCCACTTTTTATAGAACCCGTCTGCCACATCCTGACTGGAGACTGTCAGATGGAACGGATTGTGCGAATTGCATTTCACGACTTTCGTGGGCGTGCTGGGGTCCGGCAAGCCCAGGCCTTTGCGAAGCCTGGCTATTGTTGCAATGATCTGCTCTTTGACTTGCTCGATAGTGAATGGTGTAATGCTGCCGAAATAGACTTGAAACGTGCCAGGAATGCTGGCAGTGCCCTGTAGAGTGTAGACAGACGGAAGCGCTGCAAGCCCAAACGGCGCCATTGGATCGACGTTATTGAAAGTTCCATTGGCCGGTAGTCCAGTGTTCGTGACAATGGCATTCCAGTAGTAACTGTTGTTGAATCGAGCGTAGAGCGCGTGCTCCTCCTGATCGAGATCAAGGAATCCTAGGTTCTCGAGCTTAGGAGGTATAGTCATGACCAATTTTGATCCTCTGATGAGCTTCGATCCCGAAGGAGTTGTCACGAACACTTCGACACGACCCTGTGTTCGCACGATCTTCTCCACACGTGTATCCAGAAAGACGTTGTTTCCAAGTTCGTCCCGTACCTTATCATACAGCGCCTGGGTGTTACCTGTAGGGCTGACGAGGAATGGAGCATCGAGAAGAGCCCGAGCTTGGTGGACATCGAATGACTTGAAGATGTATATTGCTGGCAAAGCCAAAATATTGCCCTGTCCTTGACCAAAGTTGGCCGCAAATTGTGCTACAAGTGGCAAATTGTGCTTCTGGACGTATTCTCCAAAAGGCCGGAGCAGCTCTTCGGGCACTGGATATGGAGGGTCGAAAGTCGAAATCAGGCCAGGATATTTTTGAAGTGCGGCAATCCAGGCTGTAAGATTGCCGACAACAGCCTTTGGATCCAGCTGAGTTGCTGCTGCTGGAAGGACGGTGCCGGATTGAAAGTCAGCAGCTCTAGCACCAGTTCCAACCTGTCCTGGTAGGCTGATGAGCGGCTGGCCGTAATGACTCCAGAAGTTCGTCACGACCGAGATGTTCGCCCAGACAACAACACCATAGTCAGTTGTCGCGCCGGTGGCTGGGTCTTTGTAGGTATTGACATGACCTGAGGTCGAAAATCAGCTTGAGAACAAGGGATCTGGGCGGCGCTCTCATACCTCCAAGCCGACCGTGCTTCTCAATCAAGGCCACCGAAGTTCCCTTCTGAAATAGCCTTGCCGCGGTGTATGCACCACTCCCGCCGCCGCCGATGACTATCACATCTCGCTCTATCGTCTCCACGCCTATAGCCTGGCCCAAAACCAAGAGCGAGGACAGACACAGCGAGGTTTTACGAGCGAGGCTGCCAAACATGTCGACGTTCAATCAGGCTCCAATCGCCGGTACAAGATTGCATCGGGACGCGGACGCGGGCGAGCCTGAATATATGTCCACTCATACGGCCACAGCCACAAATTGCAATGTCCCTGATGATCGGCAATTTCTTTCGGTGACTTCGCCTTGTGTGGGTGTCATCTCAATGATCTCATGCATTACATTCCAGCATGGGTGGACTATAATTAGCAGAGACGATTAATCTTATTGTCTCGCATGGCCCTGTGAAGCTTAAGGTGGCTCGGAAAGCATGTCCACAGACTACAGAGCAGGCACTGCTCCGGCTCTTCACCCTACGGCGGCGTAACCATCGCTCGAGACATCGAGGGCTCGGGATGGCGCCAAGAGGCAGTGAATGCAGCAAGAAAGTAGACATGCGTGCAAGCTTGTGCCTGGAAGTTGTAGAACCAGTGTCGTATGAGATGTAAGGGTACGCTAATAATAAATCCCTTGGGCAATAATGAACGAGGCCAGCAGACATGCTTGTAGTGACCGGAGTCACCGGACGCTCTGAGCCTAGTCGAACGTAAGCACGTGTTCGTGGACGGTGCGATTCTGATGACCAGCGTCCGCCGCCCGAGCGGTAGACGATAACTTGATACAGGCACATTCTGCTTCTCCTGTTAGATAAAACAGCAGTCGCAGGGCACGGAGGCTCTTCCGTAGGGTATTATAGTACCGCCGAAGATTTGAAAGAGGGTGTCTTCTATCTGGCAGATACACTTCTACATGCGTCGAACCAAAAACACCGAGTCGCTTGTGAACGTAGCAAGAGCAGAATGCCGTGCACCCGCCAATCATGTTTGCCACGATCCACAGATCCGGCCTGTTCGTGGGAGCTGGGATGAACGCTTGCACGACGTGCCATATCGCAATCGCCGCGTAGGCCGAAAGATGGATGTGCTTTGACAAACGCAATGGACCACCCTGCTCGGGCGACTTCTGGTAGATCGTGAAGCTGAATGGAGGCAGATCCATCGCGTATAGCCATGCTCCCAACAAAGGCAGATAAGCCACTTGTAGGTCGTCATCGGAATGAGTGGCAGCAGCACATTCTTTGATAAGAGCATAACAAGAAGCCCCACGCGCAGGTGTACAGCTCAAACCAGCTCGCATTGACCATAGTCCCCATTGTCCCCAAAATCCAACTATGATATGCGCTCAACGGCGGATAGTCGAGCCGCCACCATTCGCGATCATGGAAATACCAATGAGATGCCGGTAATCGAATGGTGATTTCCATCCAGTGTCTCTGAGCTTCAAAGTCTCCATACATTGGTGCTTTCCCTTGACCAGAATGACCCAGGCATGCGGCAAATATTCGAAGCAAGAAGCCCACTGCGAACAACTTGCTGATTGAGCGCCATCGGCTTGCAAATGGAGGGTTTGGTGCAGTAATCGCCCGTTGTGAGTACGTTGCTCTTCTCCTCGTGTTGGGTGTATGCGGTCTGGCGGATCGATCATGAGCTCCGGCTTGGCCCATCTTGATATCAGTGGTCGAGCTGAAGACTGTAGAAGCTGTTCTGCACTGCGACAACGTGGGCGATGGCCTTCAAGACCAAGTCAAGTGCTTGCTGTGCTCTACCACGTGCAATTCTGCTGCGACAGGTGGAGGGCTGGGAGGCTGAACGCCATCTTGGCAAATGCGCCATACATTATACTTTTTGGCATTTCGAAAGGAAGCACTGCAGACGCCACAGCCGCGAAAGAGCTCTGACACCCAATGAAGGGCAGAAGTGTAGAGAAACGCATGATGGAGGACAGAAGGTGACCTATGGAGGAAGAAGAGGAGTGACAGGATGGTAAGTTACCTTGGAAGAGAAGAATATGTCTCACTTATGAGGACACGTTCCCACACTCCGGCCTTCTTCGAGTGGCTCGATGGCCAAGAAGGAGATGCAGGATCTGACCAAGTTAGTCGATGCTGAGACGCCTACTGCACCAAAGGCCTCGTCTACGCCATCTGGGTCCTACTGAGGACGAGCATCACTGAAAAGACCAGCCATGCTGGTATGAAATTGGTCCGCTTCAAACGCCATGTTGGACATTGCTTGCCTCCATTTGCTCTTCTGGGCTGGTATATGTCGGACTGGCCGACATGAGAATCCATGCAAAGTCAGCCATTGCCAGCAGAGCAGTACGTCCAACATCCTGAATCGTAACCGTGATACTTCACAGCATTGTATCATTCGTCAGATCTTGAATAACGAGTATGCATATTGAGCCCAAGAAACCAGATATGTTCCAGAAGCATGCCTCTTTTGCCCAGCTCAGCTGATCGTGCACGCATATGCTGTCGGTCGTCAGAATATGGTATGGAGACAGGCCGGAAAGTTGATTTTATGCATGTCGAGCTGTCAACCCCAGATGCTGGATCTGACACTAATGCAGGTACGCCACAGCCGCGTCTAAGGACTTGTCGACTCGGGCAACCTTAGAATTGTCGAAGCGGAGGAGGGCGACCCACTTCCACGTGCGCTGTGACAGCGTTTATATTCCTTCCCGTCTACCGCTTTCGCTATCGATGTGTGCGGGTGGTGTGGTGTGATCTTTTTGGCTTCCAGAGAACCACGTGCTGCGATCTCAGACTTGTGGCTGAGCAGCAGTGTCGTAGTGCCCATGCAGCTTCTTACCCGCTTCCACCTCACACCCGGAGTCGGTCGTGGACCATAGAAGGACGGTTTCGGCTGTAAACTTTGGCAAAACAACGAAGCCAGGCCTTGGACACAACACTTGAGGCTGCTGAATTCTCTGGGCTCTCAAGAGTTCGAAAACTTGCTCTAGTCTCGCCACCATCCTCGGATAAAAATCCCATATGATTATCTTTCACGATGTGTTGGGGATATGCTTTCATGAAGTCTTTGACGTGGCCCCACAGACTTGGTACAGTCTTTTTCAGCTCGTTTATCGAAATCACAAATCCGTATTTCTTTCCATTCTCCGCCATTAAGCGGAAAGGGTCGTAGTCGATGTCGCAGAAAAGCTGTATAGACGGCTCAACTCTCCAATACCATTCATACTCCAGAACGAGTGGATGCTGGTAAAAGAAGCCCGATTGGTAGCGGCACATGTGCCTATATGAAGCTGAATCGCCATATGTGAGGTCTGCCATTTGTTTCCTTGCTTCTTGTGCTTTGGTCTGGTTGATGAAAGCTGGAAAGCCCCAGTGTTCCGAATGTATTCTGCCAAATTTTGCTCGGCCTGATGTAAATGCTGTCGCAATTGTTTTGAATTCTTCCGTGAACTCTTCGTCATTTAAGAAGACCCAGTCGTAGTTCCAATTGCGATTGAAACGATCTTCTACATCTCGAATGCTGTGCAGCATTCCAGAAAGCTCGCTATTCCGCACGAGCGAAACGAACGTGGCATTCATGCGCTCACGCCCAGAGCTAGATTGAAGGATGAATTGTTCTGTCGGCTTTGGCGATGTTGGTTCGTTTCGTGGAAGTTCGCTAAGCGAATCTTGCGTATCTTTCGCTCTTGCTGTCCATGTACTGACTATGACACTCGACTCGCGCGCACTTTCGTACGTCGATGACCACGCTAATGATATGTATGTCTGGAAAATGCAGAATGCTATAGTGAACAGCAGCAGGGCACGAAGCGCGGATCGTTGCGGGCAAATGTTCATGTTGGTTGTGGAGTTGTTGCAAGTCTTGGAAGAGTCGCCAAGTACAATAGCAGGACCAGACGTAGTCTGCCCGCAGCTCAGGATACCACTTTCGCTGCCATGCAAAAGAGTTTGGAGATTGTGTCTCGCGTCTCGACGGGATGTGATCTGAGCTCAAGCTCTCGGTCCAGATTCCATGGATGCATTATGAGGCTTGCCTCGCTAGGCAGTCATACCGTGGCCGAAGCCAGCTCGAGCTGTACCTTTCATCCTTTTGGCGAGAAATTATGACTGCAGAGTACGATGCGCGACGTCGAATTCGCTGTCGATACTGCATGAACATTGTCGAGATCATCGTGGGCTTTCATGTCCTGGCATCGATTCATTCGCCGGTCGCATGTTGTGCTTCCATCTGATTTTGCAGAAGAAGTGGACGGCCATGATATCCACGATGCTCTGGATGTTGTGCGCGAAGATATTCGACAAGAGTTTTCAGCTTGCCGCCAAGCATTCAGCCAGGTGTTGTCTCCCCGAGCCTCAAGGTTCGCAGCAGAAGCTGTCGTATGCATTGAATTCGCTAATGGCACATTAACAGCACAGTGAGCGCACACTCTTTTTCGACAATTCGCTCAACATGGCCGTCGCCGACTCTGCGTCGCCAGTCCCGGGCGCAGACTTCTTTTTCAAGGGCGAGTCTGGCCGCAACACCAGAGGCCTCCTTCGTCTCATCATCCTCTGCACCATTGCAGCAGCTGCCATCGCCGCGCGACTGTTCTCCGTCATCAGATTCGAATCCATCATTCACGAATGTCAGTCTCTCTTCGAGGGTGGAAGTGAGAGGACCAAGGCTGAAGCTGACACCTCGCGCAGTCGATCCATGGTTCAACTTTCGAGCAACGAAATACCTCATAGCCAATGGTTTCTATAAATTCTGGGATTGGTTTGACGACCGTAAGAGAGAAGGCATATCAGAAGACCGGACAACAGGCTGATTGAGATGATCCAGGAACATGGCACCCTCTTGGACGTGTCACAGGTGGCACGCTCTACCCAGGCCTCATGGTGACCTCCGGCGTCATTTACCATGTCCTTCGATTCCTTACCCTACCCGTCGATATCCGCAACATCTGTGTGCTTCTTGCACCAGCCTTCTCCGGCCTCACGGCCTTCGCCAGCTACCTTCTTACCGCCGAGATGAGTGACAGTCCATCTGCCGGTCTGCTCGCAGCCGCCTTCATGGCTATCGCGCCAGGATACATCAGCAGGAGTGTAGCTGGATCATATGATAACGAGGCCATCGCCATCTTCCTTCTCGTATTCACTTTCTATCTGTGGATCAAGGCAGTGAAGGTGGGAAGCATTATGTGGGGAGGTCTCTGCGCACTTTTCTACGGATACATGGTCAGCGCATGGGGAGGTTACGTCTTCATCACGAATCTGCTCCCACTGCATGCTTTCGTGCTGATCTGTATGGGCCGCTTCAGCCCTCGTCTGTACGTCAGCTACACCACCTGGTACGCCCTTGGAACCTTAGCCAGCATGCAGATTCCATTCGTCGGATTCTTGCCGGTGAGAAGCAGCGACCACATGGCAGCTCTAGGTGTCTTCGGCCTCGTCCAGCTGGTCGGCATTGCTGAGTGGATTCGACCTCAGCTGAAGTCTCAGCAATTCCAGACCCTGCTCCTGACCTCGGTCCTGGTCATCTTCCTGGTTGCTTTTGGTGGTCTTGTCCTACTCACTGTCTCTGGAGTCATCGCGCCGTGGAGTGGACGATTCTACTCACTTTGGGACACTGGATACGCCAAGATTCACATTCCAATCATTGCCTCCGTCTCTGAGCATCAACCCACTGCATGGCCAGCATTCTTCTTCGACCTGAACTTGTTGATCTGGCTTTTCCCCGCCGGCGTGTACATGTGCTTCCGTAACCTCAAGGACGAGCATGTATTCGTGGTCATCTACGCTGTGCTCGCCAGCTACTTCGCTGGAGTCATGGTACGTCTCATGTTGACCTTGACCCCAATTGTTTGCGTCGCTGCTGCAATGGCACTCAGCCAAATACTGGACAATTTCCTTGTAGCCAAGCAGCCAACCGAACCCTCCTCAGCTCAGTCGAATGGAAGCGCGAAGGGACCATCTGATTCCAAGGACAAACTCTCGTCTATCGTACCAGAGTCGCTTCGTTCCACGAAGTCGCCGCTCGTTGGAATCTACAGCTACCTTTCGAAATCGCTCATCACAGGTGCCATCACCTGCTACCTACTGCTATTCGTACTTCACTGCACATGGGTAACTTCGAACGCCTACTCCTCGCCATCAGTGGTGCTCGCCTCACGTTTGCCTGATGGCAGTCAACACATCATTGATGACTACCGCGAGGCATACTACTGGCTGCGACAAAACACCGAGCCGACCGCCAAGGTTATGAGTTGGTGGGATTACGGATACCAGATCGGTGGAATGGCAGACAGACCAACGCTTGTCGACAACAACACCTGGAACAACACTCACATTGCTACTGTCGGAAAAGCAATGTCGAGTCGGGAGGAAGTTTCGTACCCGATCATGAAGCAGCATGAAGTTGACTATGTCCTTGTTGTCTTTGGTGGTCTCCTTGGCTACTCCGGTGATGACATGAACAAGTTTCTGTGGATGGTCAGAATTGCTGAAGGTAATTAGCAACCAAGTTTTAGAATGCATTGCGAGCACCTCACTTACAACACCTTGCAGGTATCTGGCCAGACGAAGTCAAAGAGCGCGACTTCTTCACAGCTCGCGGAGAGTACCGCGTGGATGATGAAGCCACTCCAACCATGCGCAACTCGCTCATGTACAAGATGAGCTACTACAACTACAACACTCTTTTCCCTGCCGGTCAGGCCACCGACCGAGTACGAAACTCGAAGCTACCAGCCGCTGGGCCAGAGCTTTCTACACTTGAGGAAGCATTTACCAGCGAGAACTGGATCATCAGAATTTACAAGGTGAAAGATTATGACAACCTTGGCCGTACGCACCAGGATGCGACGAGCTTTGAGAAGGGCAACAAACGAAAGAAGGCAGGCAAGCGTAGAGGAGCCCGCGTGCTTCGCGTTGACTAGATGTAAACCAGAAGCCGCCAGTATGTCTAAAAAACAACAGCTCAACAAAAGTTGGGGCTCCTTCGGGCTTATTGTAGTATAACTAGACTAATTCACGGCCTTGTAAGAAGGGTCCTTCCGAAAGACAGGCACTTCAGAAGTGCGAGCAGAGACCACAGTAGCCCTGGTATTTCACATCTCAGTCAAAAGGTACAAGGATGAAGACGGAAAAACAGGAGGCCATGACGATCATTTCAGTCCAATCGGCGGCAGCTCACGTGTAGTAAGTAGGTGAATGCATCTCCCGCAAGACGCCTTCCCTCCCTCCAGCACGATGGTGACTCTGATCCCAGCTCACAAACAACGCGGTGATTCAACGACCGCATCTAAATACCCTCCAATGCAACCATCTATAATTGAAAAGTCGCGTCGCTGCTGGCGGAAGAGAAGTTGACCGTACGAACAGCACAAATTCAGGGATACTCGATACGACAACAAGCGGAGCCGCAGAGAGCTTCTGAGCTTGGGGAGGAATGGTGTGAGATTTAAGCTTCCTGGGCGAGATCACTGTGGGCATCCATCATCGTCGTCAACGACAGGTTTGAGTGATTCTCTAGATGCCCGAGCATCAGTTCTGGATGAAGGAGAAGGACTAAATGAAGCAGGTAATGATCTATGTTGCAAAAGATCCTTGAGCGTTAGAGACGATGAAAACACGAACCAGAGGCCGCTTGTTGTCAGTAACTCGCCCACACTGCTTTAGTCTCGCCGGATACTTCAACTTGTGCGTCTTGATAATCCTCGTTCTCGTATCCGGCCGTAGCTACGACGAAACTGTCTTCAACCCTCTGTCGCTACTTCGTTCTTCTCGCCATTACCCCTTCAGCGCCATCGCTCAACACCCACCTCACCACACCCTGATACTGACATGTCCGCCCTCATCCCGAGAATCTACAACCAACCTCCCACCATTACGCCCCCTCACCCTTCTTCTTCTTCTTATCCTCAATCAACTCAATATTCTCCTCAGGAATCTGATCCTCATAATGCTCCACCAACCAATCAAAAACATCATCACTGACATCCCCTTGCACAGTAATTTCCTCCCCGCCAGCAGCAGTCTTCGTCACAGAACTCCCCGTCGCGAACTTCTTTCCAAACTCTTTCGCAAGTTTCTTCAGATCCAATCCAAACTGCTCCAGCCCGGACACCTCGGTGACAAATTTCCGCTTGTTACGTTCGACGCGTTTGATATAGATTTTCGAAGTCGCGCGTTTCTCTGCGTCTCGGGCTTCGGCTGCTTCTGCTTTTGCTGCTTTCTTCTGGGCGTCCTTTTCGGCGCGTTTTTGCGCGTCGACGCTCAGAGTGGAGAGATTGGCGGATAGGGCTTCTTCGGAGTAGAGTTTGGCGTGGAGGTCTGCGTGGTTCTTTTGGAGCCATTCTTCGCATTTTTTGGTTGTGCCGCCATATTCACAGTACTGGAAAAAACCATTAGTAGGATGAAGACAGCTGCGTAGGTTGAAATGCGTGTTTGGCTGGGAGGCAACATGCGGAAAGGAGAAGTATGTGACGGTAGCGTGCGGGCAGGCGCCATACCTACTTCTGGAGGAAGAGTGCAGATTCCACAGTATACTACTGATCGCGGGGGCTTGTTACCTTCAGCGGTCGCCGTGTCTGCCATGATTGGGAATTGTTGGCAATGGGAAAGTGATGTAGCTTCAAACGTTGATGGAAGTCGAACGACCCCTCCAAGCGGGGCAAGAGTGCCAGGCTTGGCGTGGAGATGGAAATACAGCCACGCCCTTTTCACAGACATCTCTTGCAGGCCTCCTGAGGCCGGATGAGCACGTCTAGTACGGTGGAAATCAAAATTTTGACACTCGATGGCACAAAGGTTACGGATGATCTGGGACAGAGGTCGAATGACTCTGGCGAGAGGGATATTCGCTATTTGTGGTATCTTGAAACGCTTACATTATCAGGCCTCTGATCAAGCCTCAACCTCATGAGTATGCTATGCCGCCGTCTGTACCTCCTCATTAGCAGTGTCTTGACTTGGTCTTGGGAACTCGTCACTGTCGCAAGCTGTGGTGCCAGAAATGGTCTGCTCATCGGTGTCAGTGTCCAAGCGAGAGTTGTTTGCCTCGTGCCGTAATGCTGCTTCCGAAGATCTGGGGTCTGGGTCCGCTACAACGCCAGCAGGCATCAGAGGAGGGCCATCTTCATCACTATCAAGCTGGAGCAGATAAGTCTCCCAGAGTTCAATGAGCTGTGTAAGGGTCAGAAAATTATCGAGAAAGTCGTGATAGACAGAGCGTACCTCTTTTTGCGCTTCGACAGCACTCTCCAAGAAAGTCTCCACGCCGCTCTTGAAGTCTTCAACCTTCTCACGTTCGAATCGGTCAAGCTCGGTCCGCATCAACCTTCCCATGTCCTCGAACAGCAGACGGCTAGCGTGCACTCTCCTTTCAGCATCAGCAAGATCCGCTTGCATTTGTCCAATTCTATCTTGTTGTGTGCGACCTGCGCGAAGGAGCTTCTCCTGCTGCTTCTTAATTTCCTGAAGCTTAGATTCCGCTGAGTGCCATGAGTGGTATGCCTTTTGTCGCTGTTCGAAAGCCTTCTTCACGGATCCGATCAGGCGGATGTATTCGTCAATCACAATGCCTAGCGTTAGGATATCCTGCATCGCTTGTCGCTGGTAAAGCTCCTGGACACGTAATTGCAGATCTCCTAGGGCATCGAGAGGTCCAGAAAGGCTTGGTGAAAGTTCCACGGCTGCAAGATTATGAAGAGAAGCGCTGAACTCTGCACATGACTCTGCCAGTCCTTTCCGCTGAGCCACGACAGTATCAGTACTCTTTTGCAAAGCCTTCAACTGGGTCTCCAGAGCATCCAAGTATATTCGGCGATCGTGAAACCAGTCATCATGCTCCACAAACTTGCCTCCAGAGCTACCACCAAGACCTATACTTGACATGATGCCTTTCGACTCGCTGCCGCCCAGCAGAGGATCCTTCCCTGAGTGCTTGATGGCCACATTAAATGATTCGCTTTCCAAGAAAGTCTTGAGATCGCCATCCATCTGAAGGACTGGGTGTGCAGCAATCTTGTTGACCATACGCTCGAGTGCCATTCGTCTTGATTCGATGAAGTTCGTATCAAATCTGCCGACAGCTTGCTTCTCTGGTGGTGGAGGCACAACCACGCCTGGATTTGTGTCGTGCAAGCGCTCGTACAACCACAAAAAGTCCCGATATCTCCTCGTCACTGTCATCGTGGGGTTCATGAATGCTTTGGAGGTCGTCCTGGTGATGACGCTGTACACAGTGTGGCTACTCGCAGCATTGCCGACCGTGTGTGGGTCCCCCACTGTGATAGAGAATGTCGGCTTGGCTGCCTGTTCGACGGGCTGCGAAGGCTGTGTCGGTCTTGCGCGTCCATCGAAAGAAGTCGGCTGGACCGGAGGCGGTATTCGTGGGCCACCATTGAGCGAGGAGTCGTCGATTACATCCGCGCTCCAACTTGAAACAGCTGAGGCAGCAGTGGACGGCGTGGAATTGATGGGCTGTCTTGTCCTTGAAGCTGGCTCTTTCACCGGAGGTGTTGGGGCACTTGGCTCTTCTGATGGTTCTATGCCCAGAGGACCCAATGGGCCCATAGAATCATCGAGGCTTTCGAGAGTGGTGGATTGTGTGAGATTGACATGGCCGCGGCCTCTACGGGTCTTGCTAGGTGCTGGTCTGACGCCGGCTGCGATATTAGGAGTTGACTTGGAGAGGTTCGCGGGAGCTGGCGATTCTGCTGGAAGCTTGTGAGCGAGTGAATATCGTCCATGTGTTCTGCGACTTACGAGTTGGTGATGATGGAGCCTCTTCAGCTTGCTTGGCTAGGTTGTGGTTGGAGTGTGACCGCGAAGGCACATCTAGATACCATATTAGTCTATTTGCCAAACACTCTGCAATACCTGTCTCGTAACTAACCGTCCCAAGGCGAACCCCCTTCATCCATTGCCGCGATGTGCCACGGATCTGAAGGAGTACTCTCGAATGCCATCTTGCGTCCAAGGTTTGACGTACTGCTCGCGGCGTCGCTTCGGAATGAGCCGAATTATGCAGGCAGTTCGATTTCTCCACTCGTTTCCCTCATTCGCCTTTGCGCGGCTGGACAATTGACTACTGTCGACAGCGATGCAGACCTGGACGATATCAGTGTCTGTCGTTCCCTGCGTTCAACTTGGCTTCAGCACGAGCCTGGAACTTTGACTGCGCAGGGAACATTGCTCGGCGACGTTCATGCATGTCACTTCCAAGCTTTCCGCGGCGATGAAGCAGCATATACCCTGGAACCAAAGCATGGACAACGCACTCCCTCTCATCGTCAATATGGTCATCTGCAATCCTCCCCTTGATGAATATCTTCTGGTGCTCACTTCGATGGCTTGAGACTCGCAGTAACGACGCTATTTCGTACGGGGACACCGCCGTGGACTGCACAGCCAACCGCCATTTGACTCACCAAGTACGAGCAATGGCGGTGCCTAAGGTGGCCGCATGCAGTGAATGCTATGTATGTCTGCCAATGTGTTCAATTTAGTTTCTCTCTACCACCAACACCCGTTGTGAGCACCCATCGGCTTCCAAGTCATGGCGAAGAAGAAGCGAAGGCCACTGCGAGACCAAGACCCAAAGCTCGCAAGAGAGCAATCACCAAAATCATCGCGAGAAATCACTATCCTTCGGCCTGCGCACATAGCTCGAAGCAAGCGGCCAGTATTGAGGATCAGTGAGACGCTATCATTCGAGCACAGCATCACGACACTCGGCGACCGTTTCAATGCCTTGCCGGCGGAACTTCGAGCTCACATCTTCTCCTTGCTGCTGGCCCGACCAGTGAAATGGGATGTTGAGCACCAGCCACAGTGTCCAAGACGCCAGTCAGACTATGACATTACGCCCACTATGGGGAACAGCAACCAATGCTCTGCTGCTGCATCTCAAGTCGAGTGGCGGAAAGGCAACTGCAACATGTTTCAGTCTCCGTGGCGAAGCCAATGGGCCGAAGAGCCGCAGCATCCCTATGTATGCTCAATATGCTACGACCATCGTCTTCGTACTGGGCCCACTCCAACACCTAGGACCTTACCATGTCTATGTGCTCGACGGCCGGAGCTTCAACTCCTTCTCGTATGCAAGAAATGGTATCAAGAAGCAGGCACAGTACTGTACACGCAAAACACATGGGCTTTCGAAGTAAGTATCCGACTTTCTGATAGTGAAAAGTTGCTAAAACCTTGAAAGGACAATACCACGTTCACATCTTTCGTCACCAGCCTGGACCCGGATTGGCGCAAGATGATTTCCAAAGTCAGTCTTATGACCTGGGTCAAGGATCAAGAGCTGTACCCTACGACTGCTAGCACTCTGTTTATGGGCTGTCATGGTCTTCCATATGACACCACTTGGGAGAAGTTCTTCCAACGACCCGAGTACACAGGTCCAGGTATGTGGGCACTACTGCGGACGCTACCAGCACTATCACATCTGGAGCTCGATGCGCTTTTCTTGGCTTCTGCTAGAACAGTCAAGCGCATGCTCAGGCTTGGTCTACGCAACCTCAAGCAAGTGAAGTTCGTTCGAAGGATGGAGGATGTGGACAATGCATGGAAGTCCGGAACTCCATCTGTCTGGCCAGCATTCTCTGGGAGAAAGCTGATCGTGGGAGGCTTTGCTGAAGAGGTCGCTCGTGGGATCAAGGGACAGAGGCAACTGAGACTCAAGAAGTTCCGCGCTATCAAGAACTCTGTCGACGAAATGCAATTTGAGTTCATCAAGCCTCGGGAGGAATAATGTGGGAGGAGTTGCTAGGTGGTGCAGACACCTGTTGAGGCTATATGCGTAGATCGGTTCACAAACATGAAGTGTATCTGCTCGAATACAGTCTCAATGCTCATACCCAATGTTCTTGGCCTCGTCACGTCACTGTATTCGCAATTCAAAGTCCGATACGAAGGATGAACCCGGCTTTGAGCTTGGCCCGTCGCCCGTCACCCGTCGTCAGGAGCCATTTCCTTCCCTCGCCACACGCGCGTGGCAGCAGCGCTGATGCATCAGCTCATGCAGGCACGTCTGAAATCATGCTTACTATGAAACACTGTGACCATGGCACAGCCGGTAGGATTCGAAGCTTCGTGGAACTGATGTGCCCTCAGCATTCGAACCCTCACTCATCATCGCGTTGCCCTGATCGATATCCAACATGGCAGACGTATTCCCATCGTTGACGAAAGTCTGTGAAAGCAAGCCGTACAGTGACATCGATTCAACGCGGCCCGAACTGTCTGCGGAAGACAAAATCGTGGCTATCGCCGGAGACGGAGGCGCGATGGGATCAGCAATCGCAATTGCCTTTGCGAAAGCAGGCAGTCAAAAGATGGCAGTCATTGGGCGCCGAGAAGGACATCTCCAAGAGACGAGGAAGAAGGTCGTACGCGAAGTTTGCAATGCCCACCGGCGACCCTACGAACGCTGACTCTATGTGAGGAGCTTTGGGGAACGTACGGCAAGAGCTTGGAGAAATTGATATTCTAGTCGCGAATAGAGGATACTTATCCAGATTCGGGGCTCTTGTTGAAGTAGATGCCAAGGAATGGCGCATGGGGTTCGAGACGAATGTCTTTGGTTTGAACTGGAGCAGGGCGTCCATTTCGGTTGCTGCCAGAGATGCTATTGTTGTTGATATCAGTGCCTGTGTGTTGCATTTAGCTGCTATGAAGACTGCTTCTGTCGATGGTACTGACGAGAGCACAGCAGGCGGAAAACATGTGGGCAATGCAGCAATTTGGGGTCGCCAACCATTTTGCCGCGTACCGTCACGCAACCCATTGCGTCTCCAGCCTTTGCCGTGCGTGTCACACTCACCGCACTGGAAATTTCAGCACCCCAGGAAGTCCTCACGCGATGCGGATAGCGACCTCCTCGCATCGTGGGCATTGATGAACACAATACTGTACTTGCGCCGTGTCAGTCTCCTCGGCGACCGTGCGACCTTTGCCAGGCCTCTATGGTCAGACCTTCTCAGCCCATGTTGCACGGCGTAGTAGCCTCATTGTCCCGGTCGAGCCAGCGGCCAGTGTTATTGTATTCGGGTCCCAACAAATTGCGTGGCCAGGGCGATTCTCGAGTCAACGAACCAGCTCAACATGCGCACCCCTGGCCTTGTGCCTGTATATGCATCCACTAGTGCAGAGACAAGGAACGCTCCCCACACCAACGACGACGACTTCTCAATCGGGCGAGTGATGCTTTGGGAAGCCCAGCCGCCAATCTTTGCTTTGAGAAGGACATAATGGCGGAAGACTTTTGGGCAGACGTGCACCGGAGCCGACATACCATATGATGACTCGCGAGAATCATAATTGCCTGTTCCTGAGAGCAACCGCTAGTCGGAAGGGAGATCCCGCCCGGCGGCAATGCCATTGCCTGCGCAGTGCACGGTGCAGATCGCCAGGTTTCAAGTTCTCATCCTTGCTGCAGCCCCTAGGCTCGCTAGCTCGCCAACGAACTTCATCGAACTTCAAAAGGGCGGCAGTCCAGCATTCCTCTGCTCGCCACTCTCGCTCTGAATTTCATCATTTGCTCACTGCATCGCGCAGCTCACCTTCGTTAACGAAGCTTCGCCAGAACAATCACTTCACGCCAGACCTCGCAACATCACAGGTCACCTAATCAACAACACCACTCATATCAACATGCGTTCCGCACTCATTGCCCTCGCCGCCGCTGGCGCTGCATCCGCACAGGTTGTAAGCCAGATCGCAGTATGAAGCCAGATCGTATTTTCTTAGCTTGATACCTTCTAACCACTTTCTAGGATGGTCAGCTGCAAATTTACACCGAGTCGTCTGCCCCAGCGCCTGCTCCATACACTACCTCTGCTGTCGCGACGAGCCCAGTTAAGACCACTGCCCCAGCGTACACCACTCCAGTTGCCTACACCACTCCAGTCGTCAACGCAACAACTGCGCCGGTCCAGTACACCACTGCACCAGTCATCAGCAGCGCTCCATACCCAGCGGGCAACGCCACTACCCTCACAACATCTGGAACTGCTGTCACTTCCGTCACCACCACTGCGCCGGCTTCCAGCTCAACTAAAGCAAACCCTGTCGGCTCTAGCACTACCTCCGCTCCAGTCGAGTCATCCACTGGTGCTGCCAGCACTCTCCACATCAGCTCTGGTGTCATTGCTGCATTCGGCGCCCTCTTTGCCTTCCTTGCTTAAGCGAGTCTCCCTTATGAGACCATTCTAATTGTACCTCTGTGTCTACTTACTTGCGAAGGAGTCTTAACGGATGGGTACAGTACACCATACATCACGGTCGTGCTGCGCGGCAATTGGGATAGCTCGAATTTTGGCGAGCTGGTAATCAGGAATGAGCGCGACGCAGAACGAAACGTGTGTTATTAGTGCTGCATAGACTTACGACATGAAATACAACTACTACTATAACTACTATACCGCCTTCCCTTTCTCTTATATCTAACTTTATAACCGTTCTAGGCTTGGATAAGCCTACATGTCGTAAGTATCGGTAAGTTGAGAATCTAGACCAGTCTAGGCTCAAGAACTCTGACAATGTCAAAGGACTCATGCCCGCTAGGAAACGGGGCACCGAAGATAAATCTTTGGTACAAGGAAGTGGGTGGAAGATAGATCGAAGATTGTACGTCTTTGATCTAGTCGATAGGGCAAAGTTATCGAAGATTGCGTCTTTGATGTTGAGAAGATATGGCAGAGTCATAGAAGATTGCGTCTTTGATGAGGTGAGAAAGGTCATCGAAGATTGCGTCTTTGATAAAGGGAAGATATGGCAGGAATGAAAGTACGCCCGCCGACGCAGAACTATTTACGTCTAACCACCTACGCGATTGGCATTGCACGCAGTCGTAGTGCTTCGCCGGGCTATCGACGGTGATGCCCGTTAGCTGCTGGAGCCTTTCCGCTGTCATTCGGACGACGCCTCCCATCGTGGCGGTTGGTGTGTTGAAGTTGTGTGGCGATGGTGATGTTTGGTGTCGTTGTTTTGGAAGATTTTGGTGTGGTTCAAGGTTGTTTTGGAAGATTTTCAGCATCGCACTTGCCCTTGGATTGCTTCAACGGCTTAGTTCAACGCGCGAAGCGGATGCACAGGCCATCGAGATTCTTCTCCCTCAAAGCTCTATCACGTCAACTTCACCGACGCTCGTATTCTACCTCTTGCATTTACCGTAATAAAAACTAAAGTCTTCGTTGCTCCCTCATCCATCCCAACCGTATCAAAGACTGGAATCTTCGATACTTCACCGCAACAAAGATTGGAATCTTCGTTGCTCCCTCACCGTATCAAAGACTCCAATCTTCGATACGGGGGGCACAGAAGAAAGACTTACATCTTCCTTCTTTTCCTTGGCCCCCCATGGAGGGTCAGTGATAATGTCCTGGCATCAGAGGGGGGATCATCATGATGAATTCAGGTCGCAAAGCAGTCTGCTGACAGATGTTCTAGTAATGGTAGTACGCCAAGCTCGGAAGGCCGAAGCTCTGCATGTGCCGAACCTCTTTCCATCGACCCGGCAGACTCTCGCCAATCCAAGATACGAACTTTGTTGACGAGTCTCGGCAATTTCATACAAGAGGTGTCGCTCAGATGGAATGTACAGAGTGAGGCTCAATGTCTCGAACACCAGGCAAAATGGAGGACAAATTTACACATGCGCTGCGCTGGAGCGTCGACGATTCACATCAAAGCGTTATCTTGAGCGAGGATGTATTTGGCCTCCGGCTTGGGTCTCTATGAGATTGGAAAGAGCATTGGGCTAAGAAGTGGTTTGTCTGCGTCTTGATTGGTGACGACGGTTGTTCCGATATGATGCTTTGACGAAGGACGATCCTTCCAGACTGATCTCTATTCATTTTACAAGACCAAGTCTCAAATGGAACGTTGATCGAGTCTGCCTCGTCCTTCAGAGACGGAGATTTCCCAGGTGCAAAAGGTCTCTCGTTGATAGCCGCCAAGGATGAAGAAACTGATTGCGCCGACGTTCCAACTTCTTGTGGAGCAGCAGCTGAGGAACGCAGCTGCCATGTGACCGCGGCGAGGTCACTACGCACCCGAAGCATACGCCTAGAAAACCACGGTCCATATTCTTCAATTCAGCGCGGTCGGCCTAATGCGAACGTCTCGAGCTTCCGCTGCACAGTCCAGATAGTTGCGGCGACCTCTATCGATGTGAGACGCGAGTGAGCCCTCTCAGTCTTCTTGAGAGCACGTGGAGAATCAGTTGGCTGCTATTCCCGGCCAAGCGATCATTATACACCAGTTCCGGCGAAGCCTGATTGCATCAATGTTTCAAAATAGAATGTGCAATTCTGTAAGTGGTGAAAAGTCAGAGTTTCCGAAAACTTCTTGCGGTGTATGGGTTCAGGTTGACCGGAGTCCGCTGGTAGCCAGATCGCAGCTAGAGTGATGCATGAGTGTCCAGAATCCTGCTAACTGCGGTCGGAGCAGTGAGGTCTTGTTGGGTCTGAGCTTGGAGTAAGAGGAATAGTAGTGGCTATATACGAGGGAGAAATTGTCCACGCGTGCAAGAAAACCCGGGCCTTTCGAGGCAGAAGCTCCACGTGTGGCTCGCCGTCGGCCATCAGGCTGCCATTACATAATACGGGTAGAGCATGGGATGTACATCAGGCGGCCGGCAAGAGACCCCGGTGCTCGAACATGTCCCGAGCTTTTGGTGATATTAAAGGAGGTTTGGGTAGTGACGTCCAGGAATACTTCGAAGACTGAGCACCACGAGTCGATGCGGATTACGCATGATTCCAATCGCATCTGCTCGCTCTCCCCGTGCCATGTCAATGTATGCCTGTCTCGTGGTATGGTGTGATAGGCTCATACAGGGGATGATTATGCCCGTAAGGCTGACGGAGACAGGGCAGGCCTGAAATGATGAGGAGCAGGCCCATGCCTGAGCCATTACCGGTGGTCTCACGCGGCGAGGGAAGACTGGTCATCATCAACAAACGCTCCGCGTAGGGACGCATGCCGCGAGCTGGTAATAAAGGATGAAGCCGTCGCTCTTCTTGCCGTCATGACACAAGCCAGGCTCGCCGTCCTTTGACGTTGGATTAGAAATTCCAGCCATGTGCAGCTAATCGCCACAAGCTTTCCCAAGCTTCCACCCAAGAGATATCACGTCGTGGGTGCCAGGGTGGTGGCAGCCAAGCGAGCGCAGTAGTAGAAAGCTTGAGCGTGTGGTTGTGCCACTGCCACTGCCACTGCCACTGCCACTGCCACTGCCACGCGAGGTAGTTCTATTCATCAATCGTGTGCCGGCCTCGGAGTTCGCAGAGGCCAGAGGATGATATGCATAAAGGTCGGCTCAGCGGCAGGATCCCGCGCTACTGCTGTCCACAAGGCTCTGCACGTTTTTGCGTGCGCAAATTTGATTGGCCACGTCGACTTCACTTGCGAGCTCTCCATCTCGGCCGCTTTCCTCGATGCTCTTTCGAGTCTGTCACTACTGCTGCGCTGACTGCGTGCTGCGCGCTCTTCAGCCCTGCAGCCAAGCCGCCATTCTGCACCAGGCGAGGGCGAGCGCGAGGGCGAGCGCGCGTCGGTCGTTGCTGCCTCCCTTCAGCCATGGCTCCAGAAAAGGGCCGGCATGATATCATGCTGGCCAAGCACCTCCAAAATCAATTCCTGGGCCGACCCACGGCGCCGAGCAATCATTATTGTGCGATAGCAAGTGGCATTATTGCCTATCTTCGCTTATTACCCTCTTCCCTATATTGAGTTGGCCCGGGCGTTGGAGTCAAATTTCCAGTGCCAACTTGCACCAGCCGCACCGCACCCCAAAATACAGCTGAGAGTTGCCCTCGCCGACGTCGACGTCGACGCACTCATCCCGCCCGCCGACGTCTCCCGGGACTGCTCTCCAAGTGCGGCCTCTCAAGCACAGACAGGCATATCCATTCGACTCCTCCGCCATAATCCTCTCGCGTGGGCCCTGCGCATACCGATAGCCACGCACACCAAACTGCAGCGCCGCACATCCGCCAGCCTGGCCTGGCCATTCACATCTGATTCGACCTGAACGTGCTACCCAGGAGTGGCAAGCCTGTCTGCTCCATCCTTCACTACACACTACACACCCACCTTGCTCGACCCTGTCAGAGTTTAGATCGCTCCGTTCGATCGTCTCCATCGTGCCGCTGCCGACTGTCCAAAGCTATATACAAAGCTTGTCGGCCTCCACTGCTTTGGCCTCCACTGCTTTGGCCTTCACGCTCGAGTCAGAGTGCCAAGTACACTGCACCTCACTTCAAGTCTCACCACCCCAGACGCCACGATGGGTGACCAGTCCATGCGAGACTATGGCATTGCCGCACCCCATGGACCTAACATGGGCGGCCAGCATGTCGCTACAGCCGATTTATCGAACATGCACGCCAACGAGGCATCTGTATTCAGATCGCTACTGCTACCCGACGACAGCTACGATGAGAATGGAACATACTGGGCCGACATGCCGATCGGAAAGCGACTCAAGTTCGTCAATCACATCGACTCGCAAGAGGCCAAGAAGGAACTCCAAAGCATTGGACGAATGGTGAAGGCCGATCCACTTTCGCCAGTTGGCTACTATATGCGAAATATGGTCATTCCTGGTATGGGTTTGCTTCTTGAAGGGTAATTATTCATCGGAAACCAATCTTATTGTAGTCAAATGTCTAACATTCCCAGTTACGTCCTGTTCTCTATCGGCAACGTCAAGCCCTTGTTCCAGGCTGCATTCCCAGGCTGCTGGAAGAAGAACACGGTCTGCGACATCACCTGGATTCAAGCTGTCGACTACCTCGAGATCTGTGGTATCATTGTTGGTCAGGTGGTTGTCGGAATCCTTGGTGACTGGCTCGGTCGACGATGGGGTCTCATTCAGGACGCCGTCATCATGTTCTTGGGACTCATCATGCTCACAGCGTCTTGGGGTGTCACACTCAATGGATGGGTCATCTGCTACGTCTGGTCGCTCTTCTTCTACGGCATTGGAGTGGGAGGCGAGTACCCCATGACTGCGACTTCTGGTATGGAGAACGCTGTCGGCTCTGGTAAGATCTCCACCCGTGAGGATCGCCTGCATCGTGGCCGTAAAGTGACTTCGGCATTCTTGATGCAAGGTTGGGGACAGTTCTTCAACCAGGTCATCCTGATCTTGCTGCTCTTGATCTTCCACGGCGGAAAGTCGAGCGCTCCCTATGGAAAGACCCTCGTGCAATGGACCTACCGTATATCCTTCGCAATTCCTGCCGCTGGCACACTCTGGCTCGTCTACTACCGTACCTATAAGATGCGATCTGCTTCGAAGCAGCTCCAAGCCGCCAAGAAGAAGCAGTCAGTTACCGGGTACGATGTAAAGTCGATGGGCCTCACCTTCACCTACTTCGGTGGTCGTGTTTTCGCAACTGCTGCGGCTTGGTATGCCAACGACGTCTTCTTCTACGGCAACAAGCTCTTCCAAAGTGAGTTCATTGCCACAATCTCCGGTCAGACTACATCCGTGATGGTCAACTGGCTTTGGAACCTGCTCAACATCGGTGTCTCTCTGGTCGGCTACTACCTCGCCTCATTCCTGATCGATAACAAGAATTACGGTCGCAAGTGGATGCAAATTGTCGGCTTCATAGGAGATTTCATCTGCTTCGTCATCCCAGCTTTCAACTACCACTACTATGCCGAAGGCGCTGGTGTCCACAAGTTCATGGCCATGTACTTCATCTCGTCCTTCTTCAACCAGTTTGGGCCGAACTCGGTCACTTTCTTGGTCGCCGCTGAGGTCTTCCCGACGCCAGTCCGTGCCTCCGCTCACGGATTCAGCGCTGCCTGCGGTAAGCTTGGCGCTCTTACAGCTGCAGTGTTGTACAACTACATCGACATCCCGACACGCTTCCTTGTGGTGCCATGGTTCGGTCTTGCGGGCGCTTTGATCACTTTCGTCTTCCTTCCAGATACCACCGGTCTTGATCTGAAGGAGCAAGAACGCCGATGGGCATACATTCGCGCCGGCCGTGAACACGAATACCATGGCGTTGCAGTTCACCCACAGCATCTCTCTCTGTGGGAGCGCATGTGGGGTCTCAGCAAGAACTACAATGCTGAGGAGGATTACAAGCAGCGAGTTGAGGAGATGCGCACCGATTGGGAGGCCGCGATGGCGAAGCGGGCTGCTGAGAAGGAGCACGGAGATGATGTTCCCGACGCAGATGACTGGAGCTCAGAGGTCAGCACATTCTTTGAGCGTACAAGAGGCCAGAAGAGTGGACAAAGCACATTCAAGCAGCAGCAGCAGCAGCAGAACGGTGGTGGGCTCAACGGGCATGCCAATGACTCACCGAATGGCAACTCCATCGAAGAGGAGAAGGAGTTGAAGCAGTAGTTTTTGCACTGATGTTCGAGGCATTTAGACCGTAAACTAGCGCTGGCTAGAATTACATCGGTGGTGTATTGCATATGGTACATGAGGTGTCCGGCAGACTAGACTGTATAGCAGAACAATGGCGCTCGTGGCTGCATTCGTGATGACCAACGCATGTATATGAATTGCATCCATAGTACCAAGTCCGGAATTACATCTCGTCAACCGTCGCTCGATCTTCGAAGCGTTGTAGCATATGCAGCGTCCTCTCATACGCATACATTGTGACCGCACTGCTGGGCGCTGCTTTGACGAGACTGACACTCAATCCCCGATACAACCCGATCGTGCCTTCCTTCTTCAGTATCATCCTCAAAGTGCTCAACACTCCCCTCTCGTAGACTGGAATCTTATTGCCTCCGGCGTATCTCTGCCTGGTAGGGCCTTGCACTTGTAATCTCTTCCTGACCGTGTCAAGTGGGAACACGGCGCTCTTGCTCAGGATGCTTGCCATCACTCCCGCCACTGCATCTCCAGATCCGAAGGGTAGCTGCACGCTCGCCAGTGGCGGCTTGAGAGATTCGTAGAGAGCGAAAAACAGGCCCATGTATGGAACAATTTGTCCAATACCTGCGTTCAGCCCGCGAAAGAATCCAGCGCTACCTTCATTCCGCGTGATTTCTCGGACACTCGCTATCAGTCCATCGTAGACTCTCTCAGTCCCTTGTGCTGCGAACCGCGTGCGCAGCAGGTCGAGGGGATAAGTCAACGTCGTTGCCGCAGTCCCAGCAACAGCACCTCCAATGAAACTCTTCGCCGAGCCGGGAATGCTGAACCTGCCGTTTTCTGTGATCTTATCCAATGCCTGCGTCGTACTCCGATATGTCAGAAATTGTACTGCGCCGTAGCTCAAGTACAACCCTTCTGCCGGGATATTTCCCTTCCAGAACCCCGTGATGCCTTCATGCTGCCATATGTCCCGTACTACGCTGGAGACCCCAGCCGAAGATCGTGGCCGGAATGGTTGTGAGAGAGGGTCGGCGAGGGAGTGGTAGTGAAGCTGTAATCGGATCTTGATCACGTCCAGAGGCGCGATACAGAATCGAGATATGAGACCGGATATGGCGCCGGCGACGACGACTTGACCGCGAGTGCCCTCATCGCGGAGCTGTTCTGTCCCAGACATCCATTACCAGCTCTTCGCCGGAGCGATATGGCAGGGTGTGCCGTGCTGTGCTGTGCTTGCTGGGTGATTGCCGACGCAAACAAAGGTGGATGTGAAATGTAGCTCCCAAGATTGGCTTGGCTTGACCTCGGAGCTCTCCATCTCCAATGCCTTCCACATCCTCTTCCTTTCTCTCTACACACGCAACCGTGATGGCATTCTCACGCCGTGTAGCACGGCAATGCCAGAAAAGGCTGTCAAGTATTGCAATACGACAGATCTCCTCAACAGGTCGCGCTCGACAGGCTACACAGGAAGCATGCAATTCGGAATCTCAGCCTCGGCACGAGAGAGGCCTCGAATCCAGGAAACCATTTTCGCGTATAGACCTTCGGAAATTGCTTGTGGAAAGGTCATCAGAACCAAGTCGCCCAGGAGTCGATGACGAATCGCTGGTCAGCATTTCTTATGGAGAGGGAGAATATCGACTTGCCCCAGTAGCTCTACGAGATCTATGTCAATGCTCCAAATGTGTCGACTCCTCAACAAGGCAGAAGCTGTTCTCCACTCCGGACATTCCTAGCGACATCAAAGCAAAGGAAATAACCCATGATTCAGGCAACGTGAGCATCAAATGGCAGAACGATGCGCCTGGTTACGCAGAAGATCATGTCACTACTCTACCATTGGAGGGCCTCAGGCGATTGTGCAGTCGAGGGAAGATGACACCAGAGCCAGCACCTATACCTCGGACTTACTGGAATACCCAAGCCTACACGTCAGAAACTTCGGACTTTGACTATGAAGATTACATGTCATCCGATAGCACACTCTATTCTGCAGCCCGACAACTTCATACTCATGGTCTTCTCTTTATGACGAATGTGCCAGAAGACGAAGAATCGGTGGTACGAGTCGCAGAACGGATTGGACCTCTCAAGACTACCTTCTATGGCAAGACCTGGGATGTACGGTCTGTACCAGAGGCTAAGAATGTCGCCTACACGGCCCAGAATCTCGGTTTCCACATGGATCTCATGTATATGAAGCAACCTCCTCACCTTCAGCTATTGCACTGTATACGTTCATCATCAGCGGGAGGCGCCTCGCTCTTCACAGACTCATTCCTCGCGGCCAGAGATCTCTCTGAAGCGGACTTCCATGCATATGCCGGCTTGAGCTCTCAAACGGTAGAGTTCCACTACGACCATCCAGACCACTACTATCACCAATCACGTCGAGTCATTGAAGAGTCTCCAATCCGACATGGCCCGTTCAATCTGCGGAGCCATGTTGACCTCAAAAGGGTCCAGAACAGATATCCAGCACTGGAAAATCTCCAAACCCTCACTCCAATGGATTTCCTGGAAAGTGTTGCCTGGTCTCCTCCCTTCCAGGGCCCGTTCAAGCTCCAATCCGATCTTTCCCTTCACACTTTCAACCTACAAACTGGCCAACTCCCCGGTCCCGATCTGGGCGCGAAGCTCTACAACAAGAAACTCGTCCAATGGCACGCCGCAGCGAAAAAATTCAACGACCTCATCCATCGTCCCGAAGTCATTTATGAGAGATTAATGAAGCCTGGAGAATGTGTGATTTTCGATAATCGAAGGGTTTTGCATGCGAGGAAGGCTTTTGAGGTTGGTGATGCGGGGAAGGAGAGGTGGTTGAGGGGCGCGTATGTTGATAAGGATCCTTTTGTGAGTAAGTTGAAGATTTTAAGGGACAGGTTTGAGAGGCGTGAAGTTGAAGGGATGGGGTCGGAGGAGTTGGAGAGGGCCATGTCGGTCGATTTTTGAGAGTGAGCATTTGCATGCATATAGGTAGGTGTGTGGGAGGGTTGTGGTGTAGATGATGCATGCATATTAGTGTCATTTTTCGAGGTGAGCTGATGCCCAGGTAGCCAGGAGACAGGGAGAGCCAGCAGTCATGCAGAGAGACGCTTCGAGTTTACGCGAAAACATATTCTACCGCACAACCATCTCGAGACACGTGAGGGCACTCCATCACTGTGACAACAGCAGACTCATCAACGAAGGCTCCCCATGCAATTCAACCGCTCAGGGATCACATGGAAGATTACCCTTTACCAGTTGTTGGTAGCCTGGTAGTTGTTTGTTTTAGACAGTGTGTCAAACTGCATGTATGTCTCTCATAGCAATCACCTAGATAGTTAAGAGGAGCCCAGATGCCCTCTCCGACAAGCAAGCATCTTTGCATCTTCACACTTCTTCCTCCGCTCTACTGATTCACAAGTCTTGAGTCTTTTCCAGATGAACTGAAAAGAAAACAGAGAAGTGCTATTGCATAATCCCCACGCCAAATCAGAAAATCATCTTGACATTTCTCAGATGCGTCTGCTTCATCGGCCGGCGCCAAGCAGCATCCTGATTGCCACGAGTCCATCGATGTGGATGGCCTGATTGACCAGGGTGGCGAAGACTCGAGCTCAAGTGTTCCTGTTGTCAAAGTGCCTGAATCTTGCTCTGGGTCATGAGGACTCTGCGGCGTGGCTTGACCTGGTGGAGGTGGTGGATGGCACTGCAGAGCATCAGCACCGAATTCGAAAAGCAATTGCCAAGTGGATTCATCGCTGACACAATGGCTTCCTCGTCGCTTCTGGAGTCTGATGTAGAATACGTGTATCGATCCTGGAGTCAATTTCAATCTAAGATTTCAGATCACTAGCGATGGCTTGATCGATTTTGAGTCAAGAGCGTGTCAAAAGAAGTAAAACCAAGGCTGTAGTTATACAGTTCATGATGCTTTGAACAAGGACACCGTCGAGCTCTAACAGTGTTGAAATGGCCATTCCCACACCAGAGCTTGAACCAGAACAGCTGGAGTACTCAGTATCCGTTGACAGATAGGTAGAAAGGCTGTACGCGTGTCGGCGAAGCTTGGAAGTGGTTGTCAGGGCATGTAGGGTCATGAAAGTGCAAAAGGTGACACCTAGTTCAACCCAGCATATCTTAACGTTTACACGCTTGATGATGACGATGGTTGAATGAAAGAAAGCTAAGAAAATAGAGAGAGTAAAGAAGAGGTAGAAGTATGAATCGGAGAGTGCCAAGTTCGTTGTGCATGGACAAAAAGGTGAAGCAAACACAAAAAACATATTGACAAGAGCCTCTGGGCATTCTGATTGATATGAGAATGAATCCCACAACGTAGCGCGCTTGAAGAACGTGCAAAATAAAAGAAAGCCAAAAAAGATAATGACAAGGATGGGATTCTACTCACTGTTAGAATACGACAGGGTACAGTGAATGTCTTGGCACCTACCGAACCCATGCAGGAAGATCCTATGAGAATGCTTCTCAGTTGTATACTGAGTAAGACCGAGATGATCGAGTCTTGAGTCACACCTAAGCTATGTTAGGATCAAGTTACAAGGAAAACCACACAGCGGAACGTACGCCATAACCACTCGGCCACCTTGCCAATTGCATGAAGAAACGCTGTCCTTGAGTGCAATGCATTTGATAAAGGGGTGGGAAAATAGTTGTACTATATTGGCTAACCATTGTGGATCACATGCTTTTCTTGGCGCTTCCAGCTGGTCCCAGCCCCACACACCATATATTCGCGTACGAAGGCAACAATTAGGCAGAGTAGAAACTCATAGCCATTGAAATGAGTTGTAGAGAAGAGCAAAAGTGGAGATGGCTTGAAGATAACGTAGGAGCAGACTCTGAGGCAAAAGATGTTGTACGTCATGCATCGCGGGGATTTGCCTTTGCAAGGACCACAATCTTGGGTGCTGTAGATCATAGAGAACTACAGTACTCCTTGGTTCGAACAGCAAGATCCGTTATATTAAATGCGGAACGTACTGCGAATTGTGTACGTGAAAGTACAGAATCAAAGTCGACTCGCAAAGTCCATTCGCCCGCATCGAGGCCGAGCGGAAGAGCACGGCGGATCTTTGCAGTGGAGCAATGATCAGTCACGATTTCAAAGCAAAGGCCTCGATGACCTTTCTTCGCCTGAGATCATACACTGTCCTCAGCAGACATGACTTGTGATGGTTGCGAATTTCATTATTGCTGAGAATTCTGTTTACCACTAGCCTTTAACTCAGTGCCGACCTCGGCCAGAAGGCGCATTGTGTATTGACCTTGCCCGTTCCACTAACTTATCCTGCTCATCCGCGTTTCTAGACCTCACTTCCAACTCATTCGAAACAACAATCACACTCACCGTCGATTACCCGCCATTGACATTCTCGAACATCAACCGAGACATTCGCACCCAACCGAGACATCTCACTCACGTAAATCACACAAAAGACATTATACAAACGTCGCACATCGACTGCAAAATCGAAAGTCAGCGAACAGGGCGCATCATATTTGATCACATACGGCTGGGCTTGCAGCGTTGCGTTCAGGCCAACCTCAAGGTCTCCAACGTCGCAAGCCTGCGTCTGGCGGAGTCAAAATGATTCCAATACCAAAACCAGAAGATTACAATGTCTCTTCGGAGAACGGATTTTTGCCTACGGAAGCGCCTCTTGAGCGCCTGCCCGACGCATACTATGGACCATGGGAATATGTTGTGAACAATCTGCAAGGTCTGGTCCTCAGTAAGAGACTGCGAGAGACTATAAATAAGATGGAAGTGCTCTCGACCGAGCGACTGTTTGGGGAGGCTCAATGGCGTCGGGCATACAGCGTGCTTGCATTCATTGCACATGCATACATTTGGGGAGACGACAAGCCTGCTGAAAGGGTGCCGCCACCGGTCACCATACCATTCTTGCAGACATGTGCTCACCTTGAGCTTCCACCAGTCGCTACCTATGCCGGGCTCGTGCTCTGGAACTGGAAGCCGATTTTCGATGCTGAACGTGCCGACACTCTGGCAAACCTCGACACCATCAATACTTTTACTGGCTCGCTTGATGAGAAATGGTTCTACTTGATTAGTACCGCTGTCGAATCCAGAGGTGGTCCTCTTATTCCCCTGATGCTGAAAGCTGTCGAAGCTGCGAATCACAACGATCGCAATACCGTCACCGAATGCCTCAAGCAATTCGCAGAACGCCTTGATGAGCTTGGAATGACATTGTCTCGAATGTATGAAAATTGCGATCCGCATGTCTTCTACCATCGCATCAGGCCCTTCCTGGCAGGAAGTAAAAACATGTCCGATGCTGGTCTCCCGAATGGTGTGATCTTCGACAATGGAGGTCCAATCAACAAGCAACGCTACGTGCAGTTTAGTGGCGGCAGCAATGCTCAGTCAAGCATCATCCAGTTCTTCGATATTGTTCTCAATGTCAAGCATCGGCCCACGGGAAGCAAGGCCGACTCAGTAGTGGCTGAGAAGGAGAACTCAGCGCCAGCGCCAAATTTCATTCATGACATGCGCAAGTATATGCCAGGCCCTCACGCTCGCTTCCTGGAAGCGGTGCAACGTGTGGCGAATGTTCGTGCCTTCGTTGAAGAGCACCAGTACGACCAGGCCCTGCAGACAGCGTTTGATGCTTGCATTGCTGTCCTCTCCGACTTCAGAGATCGACACATTCAGATGGTCACTCGCTACATCATCATCAAGAGCCGAGAGGCCAAGAGTGCTGAGAGCGAGAAGGATGTTGAGATGACGTCGAAGAAGATAAACCTTGCCATGCGTCCAAAAGATGAGAAGGAAGGCGAGCAGAGCAAGAGGGATCTGAAGGGCACTGGGGGCACTTCACTCATTCCGTTCTTGCGTCAGGCACGAGATGAGACCAACGAGCCGGCGGTGGAGGCATGGACTCGTCGCATTCTCAACAAGCGGCGCGGGATCGTCGCAAAGGATGAGCATGGCGAGGTCATGCAAGGCATCTCAACTGTTTGGACGATGGACACAGGAAATGCACTTTGCTATTCATAGACTCGCCTGTGGCGCTGCGAAGCACTGCACTTATTGGTTTGCATATCTGACATGATGATGTGCATATAAGAAGAAATAGATGATCATGATAAATCCGTTGCTATTCTCACTCCCGATGCACTCTCATAGCAACGTCTGACTCGTTATACGGGTGCATTCCCGTTGCCTAGCAGTTGCACGCGAGTTCTCTGCCCGTGCAAATGAGGCTTACTCCTGCTACGGCTGACAACAATGAATTCCTTCGTCTCTTTGATCTCGTACTGTACGAAGCAGGCTGGCCGTATCTCTAAGGTGCCTCTCCGAACAACTTCGCCACAGCTGAGCTCTTACAGACGTGCATGCAGACAGCAGATCCCAGGACGGGACAGGCAAGCAGTATAGATAGCATTTCATGTATCTCACATTGTTACTCGAGGCAACTGCTAGTCGGCGTGATTCTGCACACGGCAAGGGCGACTCGGAGGCTAGGAAAGCCCCTGGAGGGCGTCAGGCTGTGGATATATGTGAGAAGCGTGTGTTTTCCGTGTCTGCTCGCACCTTCGCAGGGTAAGGTAAAGTGGTCGACCATCGTGGTGTGAGAGTGTGGCTGGCGCAAGAATGATGGCAACGGCTTCTTCCTCTCCCGGGCGGAGCAGAGCCGCGCCGGCCCAGCACTGCCACCGCACCTCGCACGAGTCCCCGCTGGGCGCTGGCTGGGGAGAAACATGCGATGTCGTATGGTTCGATTTTGTGACGCGAAAGCTGGACGAAACATCACCCACCGACCGCTTGTTCCTGCCCACGACCCATTCCAGATAACTACAACACCGTCAATGTTCAACATGTGAGCAATTTGTGCCATCTGAACCTCACACCAGGCGAGCATGGCAAACAGCGCTCGTTGAAACTGAAGCTAAACTCGGCCTGACGTTTCAACTTGCATAGAATACAAGCCAACGCGACTCGAAGATGGATACTTCTTGGCACGGAGCAGCGCGCTACTCTCACCAGCAGTCTGCTCCCTTACCAGCACAGCTCGACGCCGGCGCCAACAACGACGACTGGGAGGAATGGCTGCGATGGGATCCCGCTGCTGAACCCATCTCCCCTGACGACACCTTCAATTCGGCCTCTTCCAAGAACGACTCGCCCATACAAGACGTTCCCTGCGATGCGCCCTTTGGCAAGATTGGCGAAGAACCACTCAGACCTCTACACATCGTCGGCAACGACTCCCTGGACTTTGGAGCCAGTCATGACTTCAATACTGACTTTGCACTGTTTGGCACCGGCGACCTCAATGCCGGCTTCGACTTCGACCAAGCCGCTTCTGTGGATAACCTCGTCCCCAGCATACCTAAACTAGACACCCATACAGCAGCATGGGCATTGCCCTCCACTGGCCTGGAAGAACCAAACGTCTCTTTGTCTGCCATTTCAAATGAGAGCTACCAACAGCTCCACTCAGCTACCTCCCTCACCGCAACTACGCCAAGCTTACACCAGAGTCCCCAGTCCGGCTCGGCTACACAAGACCGTCGCAGTCTATCATCACTTCCTCCTGATCCACCCAAGAAGCGCGGAGGTCGCAAGCGCAAAGCAGAAACTCAAGCTGAGCCAAGTCGCGAAGGTTTGGAGAATGGGGACTCTCAGGACGGCGACGAACCACCGATCAAGAAGACCTCGCACAACGTCATTGAAAAGCGTTATCGCAACAATCTAAACGACAAAATAGTAGAGTTGCGCAATGCCGTACCCAGTCTGCGCGCAATGGGTCGCGCGAACAGTGGCAAGGAGACGGAGGATCTCGAGGGCTTGACCCCGGCCCACAAGCTGAACAAGGCCACTGTCATGGCCAAGGCGACGGAGTACATCAGACATTTGGAGAAGCGCAATCAGAAGATGCAGGAGGAAATGGCTGCGCTTAAGGCTCAACTGGAGAAGGTCGAAACTACCTGTGGCAATTCCCGAGTCCGCCACGAAAGCAACAGCCCAACCTCTACGTCTCCGCGGTCGAGTGAGGCCTCATCTCCGTCGCAGGGTGCAGTGCCTAGCTTCCTCAATGTGCCACAAGATCAGAACAGATTTGGCCAAGCTGTGGTGCAGCAGCAATACATGCAGCAACAGCGAGAACCAACATACGCTCGTCCCCCTAACCCACCGGTCGAGGCACAGAATCAGCGACCTCATGTCAATGGCAGAGGTGGCATCGTGAACAAGGTCATGCTCGGCACCATGGCTGGAGTGATGGTAATGGAAGGCTTCACTCCAGAGCAATCAGGCGATGACTCGTCTGCTCGCCAGCTCTTCTCGCTCCCGACAGCTCTCCTCAAGCGCGCACTGGATGGCTCGCAGCATTCGTCGTCGGCTGCGATATCTCGCCAAGCTGCAATGCCACTGCTCAAGCTATTCCTTGTTGTCGGCGCCCTGTTCTATCTGCTGGCACCCTTCCTCATGTGGACACCGCGGCGGAAGCAGAAGATTTGCTCCTCTGTGCAGCTACCCAAAGCACCGTCACTTGCATCACCTGTTGAGGTGCGGAGGCAAGCGTGGCTCACTGCCATTCAGAGTGTCTGGGTCCCGAAGCATTTCTTGCTCGAAGTTGTTGCTGTTGGCTTCAAGATGCTGCAGCTCAGCATTAGAAGACTAGTCGGCGCCGAGATCTTCACTCACATCACTGGAACGAGCAAGGAAGAAGAGGCCGCTCGTGTCAAGGCATGGGATATCGCCATCGATGCGCAGCTGGCAGGTGGAGATGCCCAGGTGTCATACTACCGTCTTCTGCTTACGCTCATGGAGAGCGGTACACTGCCAGACTCCCCAGCACGTCTTATGCAGAAGGCTGTCCACTTCCGCGTCTTCTTCTGGGAGATCGCAAACGCTGGCTACGGCAATATACTTGGCTTCAAATCTTTTACAGAGAAAGTGGGCAGGTTCTACTGGGAATCCGCACGCCGCATTCAGAAAGAGCTTATCCAGGGCAAAGCCCAAGGTCGACCGACCGAAGAAGATGAGGTCGAACTCTTGCCAGATCACCTTGCACAGCTAGTCGAGCTGGACTGCGATGAAGTGCTGAGCGACGAGATGATACAGAGAGCGTGGAATCTCGCATGGAACAAGCCTAGCGCCAATGAGCTTGCTCCAAATGCAGCCAAAGACAGTGTTGTCGAGGATCATGCTATCCGATCACCGCTCGATGCCGTCGCTGCTTGGTACACGAATACAACAATTGATGACACCTTGGCCGATGCTTTGAGCGATACAGCTTCCACCATGGACACAGAATACTATCTTGGACTGGCTTTGAGCGTGGCACCTCCTGCTTCAAGCACACACGTGCGCGCTTTGACTGCAAAGGCAGTGCTGTCTAACACAAACCGCGAGGCCAACGTTGTCGTCGCACTCGAAGCGCTCCCAGTCATCTGCCCTACCGGCGGAATGAACCTGGTCAGCCACGCGCCTGCCTCGCCAGACGTCTTCACGGCATTGACTTTGGCAAAGCTAATTTCGCTATGCTCTCCGTCATCGCCGAAGACAGCTCGCAGGAGAGCATTCACGGCACTCAATAATATGAGTCTGCCGCCTGCGCAGTTCTCATTGCTCACTGCTGTGGCTGCGTACAGACTCCTCCGACTACTGACGTCCAATCAATCTCGTTTGAATGATGCCCGGGTTGGACTTGAGGACCTGGCTGGCAGTCTCCGTCTCTGGGCCGGCACCCAGGCTGGTCGGGACAGTGGCTTGGGCCAACAAGGACGTGCGAAGATGGTCAAGCTATGCTTGGTCATCACAAAGCAGCTTGGCGGATGGGAGGAGAAAGATAGCGGATACAGTTCCGCTCGCAGCGCGAGCTCGAGCCCTGTGCGAGAGGGCATTGTGATCACATAATGATTGCCTAATCACCTGTAGGGCGTAATTCATAGCAGAAGGCGCCGGATGCGCCGCTCGAGAAATTAGCACAGACCAACATCATGACTAGAAGCGAACAGTGTCACAAAGATGCCTTCACACTACATTGCACCTGGCTACTTACTTTCACTTGATATGTCGTGATGGTTCGCAGATCATTCAAGCTTGTGCCGCGGCTTCTTTCACATGTGACGTCTTATTAGTCAACTACCTGCACCTGCACTTTCTTCCGAACGCGACCTTGTGATCCTGCAACAACAACAACAACAACAACAACACTGGCCTAGGTGTTACCACCAGTCTCGACAGACATTTGCACTATGTGAATAAGACGCGCCTCCTATCACGAGGCTTCTTTCACAATATGGACGGTGATGTCATTTCGAACCGCGATGAGCCCATCCCTGTCCTTCGCATACCCACCAACGAAGACGAATCGTCTGCCTCTGTCTCCGATAGCGAGCCCACACTAGGACGGCGAGATAGGATCAAAGACCGTGCAAGTAGAGTTTGCGACAAATTCGACGAGTACAGCAGTCCCGAAGTACGACAAAGCCTGCAGGATAGACTCTTCGCCAGTGTTCTTTCACAGATCATACCCACTGACGCTCCAGATGGCGATGACAAGCAGACGCAAGGCTCTAAGAAGGACAGACGGTCGAAGAAGTATGTAGACAAGCCAGAGTTTGCCATACGACTTATGTCGTCAAATTTCAGACGATTCAATGCACGAATTGGTGTGGTATTTGTGATGGAAAACAGGCTGATTCACCTGTTATCATGGCGACGACCTACGGCTACGCTCTCCTTCCTCGCCGTATACTCGCTCATGTGCCTCAAGCCGCATCTGCTACCTCTGGTTCCGCTCACGATCTTACTATTCGGTATCATGATCCCATCCTTCCTCGCGCGACACCCTACACCCGCGAACGATCCACGAATCGAACCCAGCTACCGTGGACCACCAACAGCGCCTGCAAGTCGTGTCAAGCCTGCCCCGGACCTGAGCACTGATTTCTGGAGGAATATGAGGGACCTGCAGAATAGCATGGAGGACTTCTCTCGGCTTCACGATGCAGCGAACAAGTACATTACACCCTATACGAATTTTAGCGATGAGGCAGTAAGCTCGACGCTCTTCCTCGCCCTCTCCGCTCTGGGCATCGCTGCCTTCGTCGGGAGCGCGCTTGTGCCATGGCGCGTCATTGCTTTGATCGCGGGGTGGATAGCTACACTGCTCGGTCATGCTAGTGCTCAGAAAGTGCTGTTGTCTACCAAGAATGTCAGCAACTTCCGCCAGCACGTGCTGATGTTGCAGAGCACGCTGCGCAATTGGATAGAGAATGACATCCTCATGGACGAACCACCGGAGCTACGACAGGTAGAGATCTTTGAGCTTCAAAAGCATCATGCTGGCAGCGACACTTGGGAGCCTTGGCTTTTCTGTGCATCACCATATGATCCACTCAGCCCAGCACGCATTGCTGGCTCACGACCAAAAGGCACGCAGTTTTTCGAGGACGTGCAGACGCCGGCTGGCTGGGCTTGGAAAGAGAAAAAGTGGAACCTCGACCTGCTCAGTCGTGAATGGGTTGAAGAACGCATGATCAGTGGTGTTGAGATTGAGACTGAGGGTGAACGATGGGTGTACGATCTGCCTGATGAAGAAGTGGAGCCGCTTATGACGAGCGCAAGTCCTGGCAAGGGCAAGGTCAAAAGAGTGAAGAGCGCTCCCAAGAGCGGGTGGGAAGAAGGCCGCGGGCACAGCCAACGAGGTGGATGGCGGAGACGCAGATGGACCAGACTTGTCGAGAAGAAGGCTGTTGGCAGCACGGGTGACAAGCCGAAATAGTGAGGATTGGTCAAAGTCCATCAACATTGATCGTCGGACACTGATGGAGCACTATGCCGCATACGAGCTACGCCCCGTGGCCTGTATACAGTAATAACAAGCACGCCTATGCAGCTCGAGTCCGGCAGCATCGTCCAAGTCCAACATCGGCTGTCCAAGATACAATAACGTGGCATGGTCGTGGTGTGTCTGCAGATACACGACGCTAGTGAGGCTACTCAGGTAATGAGTTCATCAAGCAAGCAGCTTATCGCCCTCGCGTGACTGCTTCGACACCCGCTACACAGTCGGCCCGTCGTAACATCGGACACGGTCTCTCCTTATGTATCACCAAGCGAGTGCCAAGCCCTGCTTCTAGAAGCTTTGCCCAAGCTTGGTGCCAGCGCCGGCAGCGGCCCCTCGGCATCCCCAGACGGCGACGCTCTCAGTCTCAGCCTCCCATCAGTACGCCCCGATTTAGCGAGATGGCGGAAGGGGGTGATCCCTGAGAACGGGATCTAACTGGTCAAAGCTAGCGTACTGTCTAAAGGAATTATCCGCATCTCGCTTAATCAGGGTGTACAACATGCATTCGACGCCGGACTGCGTGCTCCCATGCATGTTGCCGGGTTGCCCGCGGTCTGCTTACTTGTCTGACCACTCAACCTCATCACATGATGAACTCGTCTGCTTCAAACCACCGCCGCCAGTGTATTCCACCATTGAGTGCATCCTTCTCACCTCGCACATCACGTCGCAACAGCACGAGCACCAACCCCCAGTACGCCGATACGCAAGTTGCACTTTTCTGCCCTTCTTATCTTTGCCAGCATCAATTCACAGCTGCGCGCAAATGTCGGCATGCCTTGCCTGCTTATCTCTCTCTACAACCATGCGCGAGATTGCTGATCCGTGCTGCTCTGCCTGTCCCTGCACGAAGTCACGCAAAGCCGCCGGACCAGCACTCATAAGTCTCATTAGCTGCATTTCGCCCTGGCGGCGCTCGAAACTATAAGGTGGACCATACATCTTCAGTCAAGTTCAGTGTCCCTCAGGACCCTCACTAGGCTGTGTGGCTTGAGGGGGATTGCAGGGTAGAGCGGCATTATCTGGTGTGCAGCAGCAGTGCTCGAGGTTGTACCGATGACCGACTGGCATAGCCAGCCGCACTGATGAATGCTATAAAGCTTCACGAAAGCCTTGTGCTACGTGCGCACACAGAGTGCACGATCACTTTCTTTGAGAGGCGTACACGTGGTTGAAGGTTGGGTGTCACAATTCTGGAGAAGGCTTGACCGGTCTTCCTTGAATACAAGCATTCCCTGAGAGCTTGTGTCTGTCTTTGTGTCTGTGTTACCGGTCCGTCTTTTCCAGCTATTGGTACACTGTGGTACCCTTCCTCGAACAGGCCATCTTGCCGTCTCAGCTCACACTGGAAACTATTCTGGGAAAACTTTCGAAATCGATCTCTTGTACTTATTATCCATAAGGCTTCCCTGGCTTTGTCGGCCTTGAACCAAGCTCGCTTCACCGACAGCCGAAATGGCGGACACAGAGAAGGGCGACTACGTCGTGGGAGAGAGGTCCCCTCACGATGTTGCAATTGGAGAATTCGCAGACGCCCCCAGGAAAAACAGTATCAATGAGGCGGCGGATCTCTATGGGGATGTTCAGACTGCCGAGCGTATGTTCGATGACAACCATAATGCTACTATTACAAGAGGAACTGCTGAACACCAACAGAATATGGCTATGTCAGCCGTGGACTCAAGTCAAGACATATTCAATTCATCGCTCTTGGAGGAACGGTAAGCAAGAAGCACTTTTGGTTGGCGGAAACGAAAGCTAATCCCGTCAATCTGCTAGATCGGCACAGGTTTGTTCCTCGGAATAGGCAAGGCTTTCGTCCATGGCGGTCCCCTTTCTGTCCTCCTCGGTTACTCCATCACGGGTGTTGCTATCTTCGCGATGATGCAGGCGCTCGGTGAAATGGCTACATGGCTTCCTCTGCCGGGTGCTATCCCACAATATTGTGCCCGATACGTCGATCCAGCTATGGGTATGCAGATGTCAAGCAGGAGAGATGAGTCGAAGATCAGCTAACTCTTCTTCCTAGGGTTCGCGGCAGGTTGGAACAATTGGTACTCCAGCGCCCTCACTCTGTGCGCCGAAATCTCAGCTGCAGCCGTGGTCATCGGATTCTGGAACGACAGTATCACTCAAGCAGCCTGGATCACCATTATCTTGGTCCTCATCGTCTGCCTTAACATCTTCGCCGTGTCAATCTACGGAGAAGCAGAATTCATCTTCGCCTCGATCAAGATCCTTACCATCGTTGGACTGCTGCTTCTCGCCGTGGTCATTGATCTCGGTGGTACCGACCAAGGGCGGCTCGGCTTCAGGTACTGGAAACACCCTTACGCGGCTATGAGGGAGTATGTTGGTACTGGGAATACCGGCCGATTTGCAGGTTTCTTTGCAGTCCTCGCAAACGCGGCTTTCGCATATGGCGGTGTGGAGACGGTCGCTGTTGCTGCTGGTGAGGCTGAGAACCCCAGGAAGAACATCCCTAAGGCCGTCAGGCGAGTCTTCTGGAGAATGTGAGTACTGCCGTCTTTTGTGCTCGATATTTGCTAACGATAGCGCAGTCTCTTCTTCTACGTCCTCGGAACGCTCGCCATTGGTGTCACTGTTCCAGCTACTGATGACCGTCTCTTGAACGGAGGCCCTGGTGCGGGCTCGTCTCCTTGGGTCATCGCCATTGTGCGCGCTGGTATTCCAGTCCTGTGAGTCGTGCCGATTATCATGCCATGAGCCATATCATCTGCTGACCTATCTTTCCTTTCCTCAGGCCACACATCATTAATGCCGTCATTTTGACTTCAGCATCCTCGTCTGGTAATGCGTTCTTGTACACTGGATCCCGATACCTCTTCGCCCTGGCTCAGAACAAGCAGGCGCCTCGGGTGAGTTGCGGGCCAAGACCAGATATTATCGGCAATGAGTACTAACATGTCTCTCCAGTTTTTGCTCTACTGCACCAAGAAAGGTGTCCCAATCTGGTGTGTGCTCATCACCGCATCCATCGGTCTTCTGACCTACATGACCGTCTCTGCCGGAGCCTCGAGCGTCTTCGACTGGTTCCAGACGTTGACGACCATCACCTCGCTCTTCACCTGGTTCTCAATTCGTAAGTCATCCGAATTTCGAAACATTCTTTCACGATATTAACGTACCTGCCCATAGTCGTCGCCTACATCAAATTCCGCCGCGCCCTTATCGCGCAAGGCGTCTCGCGCAACGATCTGATTTTCAGATCCCGTTTCCAGCCCTACTCCGCCTACATCGCCCTTGCCTTCTTCATCGTAATCATCATCTTCAACGGCTTCAAAGTCTTCACACATAACAAAGACGGCACATCGAATTGGGACATCCAAGATTTCGTTACAGCTTACGTGGGAATCCCAATCTACGTGGGGTTCTACTTGTTTTGGAAGATCGTGAAGAGGACCAAGTTTGTCAAGAGTTCGGAGGCGGACATTTGGACCGGAAAGGCTGCCCTTGATGCTGAGGTCTGGCCTGAGCAGGAGCCGAGGAATTTGTTGGAGAAGGTGTGGTATTGGATTGCTTGAGCGTGGGAAAGATGTGTTGTGTGCAGATAGATGTGAGCAACAAGATGATGCTGGTGGTCTCCTTCGAGAGCCAGTTTATGCTGTCAAGACGAACTTTCCCAACGTCCATCCGCAGTCCGTTCCGCCGTGAATTTGTGAGCCGATGTCGATGATGTTGTCCACGTGAAGACGCGAGAGTGTCCACGACTTCTCCACTCGGGGATCATCGCCCAACGCCATCCGGCCATCGTCGAGAATTTCCACAGAATTGAAGCTTGCCGCGCCAATCCTCTGAGCATCTATGCTTTCGGCCGGCACGATCGCGAGGCCATCAGCATGCTTGCGCTGTCAGCTCCGTGAGGCGCTCCCGAGTAGCCGTTCGACATGGCGAACGATGAATGCGAGAACGATACGCGGCTGCAACGGATTTGCAACGCATTCTCAAGGTCTACGAGACGAGGATCAATCATATGCCCGGCCATGGAGGTGGAAGCATTATTATCCTGATGGCAAAGTGGTTGGAAGAGGTGGCAAGAGACAGCGTGTGGTGTCGGAAAAGCTGAGCAGAGAGTCGCTGAACAAGCCATCGAGCGTGGTGATCCTGCGAGATCTGCCGAAAGATGCATCTTCTCACGCGACGCCAGACACAGATGTTGCTGGTGCATCAGAAGTCTCGACGAGGCATCCTCGATTGAGCGCGAAAGACATTGAGAACTCGATCCTCACCAAATATAAGGCGCCCGACACCGAAGAAGTCAATGCCTCCATTGCTGAAGTCCAGAGCAAGCTGCGCAGCACCATTCTCGACGAGAAAGAGTTCGATGAGCTGGCTCAGAGGTTGAGCAGGGCTTATACATCACCACAGCTCTCGCGCTATCTTTTCGCGACATTGAAAGCGTCTGCGGGACGTTCAGTGAGCAACACGACAGTTGGCAGTAATATAGAGAGTCAAACTCCTATGCAATGGCAACCAGGACAAACACCATTAGCGAACCGACATCAGGTCAAGGTGCAGACGACGGGACAGGGCAAGAAGTTGAGGACCATCGAGCAGATTTTGCGTCTCTGCTGGGATGTCAGGGTCACGTCTGAGGAGCAAGAGATTGGAGAGCTAGAATTGAAGCTGGAGCCATGGCAGCTATCCATGCTTTTCGATCTCTACGAGAATGACGAGCCGTACTACAAAAGCTTGATATGGACACAGATGCTGCTCCGCACGACACAGGTACAGCAATACCGACCTGACAGCATTCTTCGCATCACCGGCCGCCGAACAGACGCCGAGGATGCGGCGTGGCAGCTCAAATCTGCATTGATGAATGTCCAGCCGCTGCGCATGGACGCTGCAAAACTCATACCGCAAGGGCATGCTGGGGCCAAGAGCAGCTTTATCGATGAAGAGTTGGGCTACGTGTCCAATCTGACCAAATCAGTCCTCTCGCTGGAACCAGATGGGGTGGTTGTCATCTATAACAGGACCAACGATGGCAGGAACAATGCACGACGGCTCTTACTATCGATGCTCAGGGTCTCCGTTTCTTCGTTTCGCGAAGTTCTCCAGCTCTCCGAACCTTCTGCACCTAACACCTTTTCCCTACCGAGTGAGCCTTCCACTAGTGGCTTGCATCGAAGATGGGCTGGTCGAGATCTCGTTCGCGAGATGGCGTCCACGCACAGACTCCCTGATGCGATGAAGTCTCAATTGGAAGAACAACAGTCAAAGTCAGAAGGTGTCGGTAGTGACGTACGAGCCCAGGCCATTGCGGCGAAGCTACAAACAGTCAATCCAGCTTTGTTGGTCAACAGCCCCCACCCATTTCACGCAGACTCATATTGGGACCCAGCCCTCGACCAATTATCATACAACTGGTCGTGCAGTTTCAGCAGACATTTGCAGGACTCGACTTCAATTTCAGATGATGCATCTTCCTCGGCAGAACCGGAAACTTCACGCAATGTCTATCGATCCACCATACCAGGTCTGGATGCACTGCTATCGTATTTTGACACAGCGACCAACCCGAGGCCCCTACACCTTTCGAAACACTGTGTCCCGATCAGTTATGTAGGCGAAGAAGAGCCTCTGGTCCGAATCGACTGGGCATTACCATACCTATCGGCAATCCTACTACCGCTGCCGAACGAGTCGTTGGCTGTACAGCTTCCACGTATTGAGCTTCGATACAACTTCACCGAGCCGACGCAACCAGGCAGACCAAGAGACCTGTTCCTCACTGGTCTCAAAGCCGACATCGATCACCAAAATCTGATTGTACCACTTCCAGACCATGCTGTAGACTTGAATTTCTCGAGAAGTGTTTCGCTGGTCGCTCGGGCCCATCTTGCGAAATACGACAAGCACATACTCTACTTCACGCAACAGATTCAGAGATCCATCTTCACCGGCGATGGTGTGCTCACTGCGCCAACCGAACTCACATTACGCCTACCACGCTGGCTAGTTCATCCTGATGCAGACCGTTCGAGCGGCGCGGAAAAGGAAGATATTTCAGTTACATACCTTTTCGAGCGATTCAAACAAACACAAAGAGTGGACTTTGCTATCAGCGAGGCTGCACGTACTGCTCACGGAGTCGATTCTGAAGTACAAGATATGGCTATGCAGCTGCCTTCTAGCCTTCGCCTGAAGTATAGCGAAGCTGATGGTGGCGCGATTCACGGGAATTCTTCAACACTCACTTTATTACACAAGACGAAGAGGTCTGCTCCAAAGTCTGCAGAGACTTCGCAGCCAGTCGATGCTTTGACAGGTGTGCTTGAAAACGAGGCGAGTCAAGAGAGCACGTCGCAGGAACAGGACCCTACGCAGCAGCTTGCTGAATCGGCGTTGCGCATCGCACATTTGCTGACCCGTATCAACGCTGGAACGCTGTCAGCTTTCAGGAAGGAGACGGAAGACAGCTAATCGTATCGTGACTGCATCAAGCATCAATAGGGAGACCATAGCCCCAGCTCCAATCGAGATATGTATTACTATACCTGTACTGTCCACCAGGGTTTCTACACTCTATCCCTCTCGCTCATATCTCATGTCCCTTCTTCTCATCCACACCACTCGAATCCATCGAAGAATCATCCGAATCCGCATGACGATCCTGTATATGAAACGAGAAATCAATAACTCCCACCAATTTCTTCCCAATCCTAGTAGTGATAAGTAATCGTCAGCACTCCTCTCAACACATACACGGTACGGTATCCTGCGAATTTCGAACTCACCCCGTAAATCTTCACAGTATCATCACGAATACCCTGCGCACAAATCTGCAGCACTGCAAAAGCACTATCCTCCGGTCCCACAATATATATCTCACCATAGACAACAAAACCTCTGGATCCATCTTTTCTTCCTCCTCCTCCTCTTCACATGTCCTCGTCCCGGAACTTCCAAATACGGAGCACAAAGCTCTCGCATGCAACAACATACTCGCACTCAAGAGACGTCCATTTCCGCGACGTCATCGTGGAGCGTAAAGGGGGTAGAGATTTCCGGAAATCCTCATCCTCATCCTCATTTTTGTCTGAAGGAAAGAGAGACATGTGTGATGCGATGATGCGGAAGAAAAATTCCGAAAAAAGAAAGATGTATATATATATATATATATATATAATTGCAACCACGCGTTCGATGGGCTTCGACGAGGAAATTTTTCTTTCCGCCGACGCGGAGTTGGAAAATTTTGAGGAAGGCGGAATTTTGTTTGGAGGGTTGGTGAGGAGGGAGAGGAGTTTTGTGAAGACTTTTTGACGGGAATTTTTTTTTCGAGGTAGTGGGCACGGGTACGGACGTTGGTGGTGGTTCTTTTTTTGGAGGAGGAGGAGGATGTGGGATTTGACGGTTTCGTGGGTTAATGGAGGTTAGGTTTGCGAGGAGGTAGAGGGAGGCACCGATGTCTTTGCGGAGTTCGGTGGATTCGGAGACTGGGCAGGGGAATATTGTCCAGATGTAGGCGACGGCGAGACCGCCGCAGACGGTGGCGAGACGGTAGGGGGCTAAGAGGTAGGGTTTCGTAGGCGGGTTGGCCGTTGCTTTCTGAGGCTTGGATTCCGACGACTTCGACTTGGAGTTCGTAGCCGATGATTAGGATGGCGGTGACGATGGAGATGACGCCGATTATATTATGAGGTTTTTGAATTTGATCGGGATGTAGAATGCTAGGAAGATCCAGAGCCAGAGGAAGACAATTACACCGGGAGTCTTTTCGTCGACGATGTAGAAGATTACGTACGAAGCAATCATGGCGAGGAGAGTTCCGAGGATGCGTAAGATGAATAATGATTGAGTGCTTTGCCCGGCAGTCCTGGTCATGCTGATTGGAACCATGATCATCGCCCACAGGATTCTGTTGCGGAGGAACCATGTCTGCGTGTCGCGCAAAAAGCATATTATAGCGACTGTCATGGTTGCGGCCACAACCCTGAGACCGAATGCTGAATGATCGCTTCTCAAAGCTCGAGGGATAAGTCGAATGACTTCACCGAATCGTTCCCAAGCATTGCGAGGCTCTTCGTGTTCGGGATCTCTACGTTTTCCATACGACTCGCGTTCCGGCAGAGTCAAGATCTGCAGTATAGTTGTCCTCATCGTGGTAGTCTTCTCTTCCGAAAGCTGCGTAGGCCCACTTCTTCAACGTCTTTGTCCCAGGCACTATCAAGCGTGTTTTCGATAGAGCACCCTCCTGCTTCTTCTTGTCCGCAAATAGTACGAGCTCAAGTGCTGCCTGGCCTGCTCTGTGAAGCAGGTGATCGATGTAGAGAGCGAAGAAGAGCTGTCTTTGATCTCCCTCCCTGGCATGCTCGTCGGTGACAGAGAGCTGCTCGGGTGTGATGAAGGTCGATTTAAAGAAGCCTGCAGGCAGATCGATCTCGTGCTGTGCACACCACTCGCGAAGGGTCTGTTTCTTGCGTTGGAAGATGTCCTCCAGTCGCTTTCGATAGGCTTCGGCAAAGCCCGGGCTACCTGGAAGTTGCTCGCCGGCTTGATTCTCCTCGTCTGACTTCTTCTTTGGCGCTTTGGTGAGCTCCAATACGATGAGAGCATGCTGAAACGCCAAGTTGATATTGCCACTCATATTCTGAACAGGCTTCTGCAGCTTCTTCATTAATTGATGTAGATTGTCAATTTGGCGTCGGCGCGCCTTCAGGTTGATCTCGTCGGGATGCTCTTCTGACCAGCCAGCAGATTCTGCTCGTCTTTGAAGATTGTCTATCACGGAGCTGAGACCCACGACTGGAATCAAGGTCACTCTCATCTTCTTCCATAGCTCGGTGATGTCTTTCGCAGATAGCATTCCAATCGCAATCTCTCGCTTGGCAAAATTGATGTCCGTAGGTAGCATATATCTTAAGCAGCAAAGCCTTCAAAGCTTTCCCTTGGGGCGTGACCATCATGATCTTGAATTCGCCTGGAGAGGTCGAGCCTTTGTGGTCCTTCTTCTTCTTCTCGCGCTCAGCGTGTTCATGCTGGATTGCCTGCTCAGGATCCCAAGTCTCAAGACTTTCCAAGTGAGCAGCTTGCGCTTTCAGCAGTCCTCCCATCAAGTTGAGATATCCTGCCATCTGCTTGAAGACCACCGTTCTGCAAGACATCGGTATCACGAAAAGGCTGACTCCAGTGGCCAAAGCGAAACCCATGAGAAATGCCTCGAGGAGTCGTTCCATGAATGAGATGGCATAAGTCACAGTGAGGAACTGGGTGCCGTAGGTCATTGACACGCAAGTAAAGATCATGTAGATTATTACTGGAAACTGGAATTGGGGTAGAGCACTTCGAAGCGAGTTGACCAGATACGTTTGGAAGATAAGCCAGACTGCCAGAACCGCCGACGCACTTGAGTTGTATCCAGTGGGAGGGGCACCAGGAGCAGTAGTATGCGCTCGAGCTTGTGTAGCGCAGTACAATGCAAGCAGATTCACTGATGCAGCTACACCAACCGACAGGCAATTGAGTAGCCTGAGCGAGATTAGCCTACAATTGAAATCCACTACTTTGATACATTCGGTTGGCCGTATATTTAATTTTTTTTGTAAAAACTTTTTAAACTATCTATAATAAACATCATTAAGAAAATAATGTTTATATATAGTAGAATTAACTTACAGTATAATGTTTGTAAGTAATACATATATAATAAGTTATGGAGTTAATAACTTAATTGGTAAAGTACTTTCTTGTCGAGAAAGGAGATATCGGATCGTGGCCGGTTTAACTCGTTTATATGGTTTGAATATGATAATTATTATAGTATGTGTTTAAAGGAAAAGTCGCCATAGGTAAGGCAAGATATTTGCTAAATATTGTGTTTATGCACCTGGATGTTCAAATCATCTCTTTTCCGAATTTTCAGTATTATTATACAAACAAATAATAAGTAGTATTATAAACATGTTTGTAATCGATAAAGAGTATAGTTTAATTGGCAAAATAGGAAGCTTCAAACTTCAAATTCTCAGTTCAAATCTGAGTGCTCTTGTTATCTTTTTTATTATTTTAAACTTAAAGTAATATAGATTCCTTAACTTAATAGGTAAAGTGTACTTTTGATAAGAGTGTGTTCGATGTTCAAGTCATCGAGGAATCAATAATTATTATATATATATATTTACATGTATTTATATATATACTTATAAGAGAATTGGCTGAGTGGTTTATAGCGGTAAGCTTGAAACTTACTTTAGTAAAATATACTAACATCCGTTCGAATCGGATATTCTCTGATGAAAGCATTAATTTTTTACAAAAATACTGCTGCGCAGAAGAAAGAAATTTATAAGAATAACAATAATAAAATAGGTATATATATGTGGACGCACAATAGCACAGGAAGCAAGTATGTAGGTTCTTCTATAAATCTGTCCCAGAGATTTGTTAAATATTTTTCTATACCTAGTTTGAAAAGTGAAATAATAAGAAATAAGAGTAGAATATACCGTGCTATACTTAAATATGGGATGGATGATTTTACATTAGAGATTATGGAGTATTGCGATTCAAATGTTCTTACAGAAAGAGAACAATTCTATCTAGATTCTATAAAACCTATAAAACCTATATATAACATATTAAGTATTGCAGGTTCTCGTGGTGGATTTAAACACAGTGAAGAAACAAAAGAGTTACAACGTGTATTTAAGTTAGGTTATAAGGTATCAAATACAACTAAATTAAAAATGTCTATTGCTAATACTAAAGCAAAAAGTGTTACTGTAAAGAATATTCTAACAGAAGAAATATTTGAATTTATTAGTGTTAGAAAAGCCGCTCAGTTTTTTAAAAGTTCACATTCTCAAATAATAATATATATCAAAAACGGTAAACCATTTAGAAACGTTTATAAAATATATTATAAAAAAAAGTAATAATAAGTTATAATGAAGTTTATATTTTTCTTCTAGATATATTTATTAAGACTATTATAATATTAAACATAAGTTAATGTATTTACCTATTATTTTTAATATTAATAAACGGTATATATTTGAATGGCTTATTACTATACTAATGGTTATTATTAATAATATATAAAAAGTATATTTTTATACAGACATATATACTGCAAAAAATTTTTTTTATCATGTAAATACCTATTTGCTTAATGGTAGAGCATAATACTCCTAATATTAAAGTCTGAGTCAAATCTCAGATAGGTATCAAAAGATATTAACTAATATATATACATGTATAAAAAGTATTGAATAATATTAATTATATATACATGTATAAAAAGTATTGAATAATATTAATTATATATACATGTATTAAAAGTATTTAAAAATATTAACATATATAAATATATAAAAAATAATAGCATTATATTAATAGTTTATTGCTAAGTAAATAAATAATAAATTAAACAAACTAATTATTAATATGTAATGTAAAATTTTATCGATTTTATTAAAAAAAAACGATATAAGTATATAAAGAAACTATTATGGATGAATTGCTATATATCATAAAGAAAATATTATATATAAACCCGTACGGGTTTATAAAAACATTGTTAATTTACTTTAGCAATTGTGAATCTAGGATAAATCCAACTATTTAACGAAGTGAATTGAAATATCTTATTAACTTCAGGAAAAAAAATCAAATGAGATTGTTATTCACTTAAAATGAAATATAAAAGTCTTTAAAGTAAAACGTAAACAATATGTTTGAATATAGGGAAACCTTTCTCTCAGACTAAATAATGATATATGATAAGCAACAGAACATTAGTACCGTAAGGGAAATATCTGAAATAGTAGTTTTATAAGCAGCTCAAATTTAAATTAAAAAATTAACGAGAGCGTACCTTTTGCATAATGGGTCAGCAAGTTAATATTAGATGCGAGATTTTTAAGAAAAATCTTATCCCAGATAAAGCAATTATTAAATAATGAATAAGTATCTAGTATTAGACCCGAAGCCTAGTGATCTTACCATGATCAGGGTTATAAAAGCTCGAACAGGTTATCGTTGTAAAGATATCTGATGAATTGTGGTAAGTTAGTGAAAGACAAAACTGACTAGGATAGCTGGTTTTCCGCGAAACCTATATAAGTAGGTAGTTTAATTTAAAAGTTATAATTTTTTTTTAGTAATGGTAGAAATATTATTTTTTAGTAATAAAATATTATTTTTAAGTAATAAAAATATTATTTTTTATTGCCGAGTTTTAATGAACAATAGACTTACGTTTAGTACTACTATTGTGAAATTAAGCTGGGTTTATATATATTATTTAATGCAAGTAATGGTTAGCGATACGTCTGTAATTTTTTCTATTAATCAAGTATTGATAAGTGATTATTATTATTATAGTAACTATATAGATATCTTACCCTTTTTAACTAATAGCCTTAACTTATTAGTTAATTTTAGCCTAGACTCATTTAATCTTTTAATATACGATAACAGTGTTTTAAAAGGTATGGATAAATTTTCTTTAGCTCATGAGTTTAATTACAACAGTTTTTTACGTTCTCTTAATTTTAAAATACAATATGTATTGAGCCATAATAGTCATATAAATACTGTGGAAAGTTATTCTTTCAGTAAGAATTCTTCTATTTTTAATTTAAATATGACTAGTTTTTGAGTAAAGTACACCTATTTAATATACAGTTATATTAAATCTCATTTAGCATATTATATACTATTAATTTATATGCTAATAATGCATTTTTGTGGTAGTTTGTCCTCTCTTACTGCACATTTTAATAGAGTTTTTATTTATATATTATTATTAATTATTCAGGCAAAACCAGCAATGGGTCTAAGTTTTAAATCAGCAAATATATTAATATCTGGTTTAGGTTGAGTTTTTTATGTTAATCTTATGGCGGTATATGATATTCTATATAAAAATATTAAGTTTAAGCATCAATCTGTTAATATGGTTAGAAATGGAAAACTTAATTTTAAATTTTTACGAGAAAGGACACTTTTAGGTATTATTTTTCTTTTTGTAATAAATACCGGCGTTTTATTTAGCAATTCATTTTATAACGCAATTATCTCTTTATTGACCTTAAAATATAAGCTAATTTCTATAGTTCTTTCTCTAAAAATTGCTAGCATAGCAAGTATGGCTTGATTATACTTTAATAGATTAATCTTAGGTTATAATATAAAAAGTTGACTACTATCTTATATAAGATCAATTATTGAGTCAATATCTTTCGTTTTTTTAAGTTTTGCTAATTATATTATTTGGTCATTACTGCCAGCGACTTTTCTTGTACATTTACTTACATTTACTATAGGATTAATTTCATATTTTTTTTTCTCATACTTTCAGATAACGTTTGAAACTAATGTAGATAGTTCGTTTACATATGGACTAATTTATGATTTTGTGTTTACCTCACTATCACTATCATCTAGCGGACTCTTTTTTTTAATAGATTTTATAAACATGAATATTTGGTTAAAAGTTATATTCGTTAAATTATGTTTTATTATTATAGTAATATTGCCATTAGAAGTTTATAGATTTAAGCCCACTGTAAATACATTAGGTGAAGTAAATAATAATAATTTAGTTACTTATTTAGCAAAAAAGTTTAATACAAGTCATCATATAGTTAATTATTTTATAGCAATGTTGCATCAGCTAATTGTATTTTTTAGTTTTGCAATTTCAACATTTATATTATTAGATTTATTGAGTCTAACTATTTAATAGTATAAATTATACTGATATAATACTACACTTATTGTACAAAATAAAAAAAAAAATTGTTTTTATTAGCTAAGGAACATAAGTCTTTTTTTTTACAAATAATCATGTTACTTATTCTCTTATTATTAATACCTTTAGTAGGTATATTTATGATTAGTAGTGTTTCGTGCACTAATAAAACAAAAGTATACTCATTATCAGCTTTAAATCAAATTAAAATAATAGGTTTGTCTACCTCAATAGTAAATTTTTTCGTATCTCTAATTGTTTTTATGTTATTTAATTTTAGTAGCAATCAATTTCAATTTGTGCAAGAATATCATAAAATAAGCAGCTTTGATTTTTATTTAGGAGTAGACGGTATAAGCATATACTTTGTACTTTTAACTACAATTATTATGCCTATATCTTTATTAAGTAACTGAAGCTCAATATCGGAGAATGTAAAATCTTATGTTGTAATTATATTACTATTGGAAACATTGTTATTGGCAGTATTTTTAGTATTGGATATTTTATTATTTTATATTTTTTTTGAAAGTATTTTACCTCCTTTATTTATATTAATAGGATTATTTGGATCTAGCAACAGAGTAAGGGCTAGTTTTTATTTATTTTTATATACTTTACTAGGATCTTTATTTCTACTATTATCGATATTAAGTATGGCATCTATAATGGGAACTACTGATTTTGACGCATTATTATAAAACGTATCTCTATTATATATATTAGGATGCTATTTTACGGTATTTTTATAGCTTTTGCTGTAAAAACTCCTACAATTTTTTTAAACACTTGATTATTATCGTTAGGAATAACGGGCCCTACTACGAGACGCCTAATATAATCCTTAGTTTCGTACGCACTCTATAATAGTTAGAGCAAGCGAGAGGAGGAGGCTTATACGAGATAAGCTTACCGGCGGGTAGCTTAGCCTCGTTAAGTAGTTCTAACCTCCCGCCTAGCTATTCTCGTCGTAGTAACCTTATTTACTACGGCGATGCGCTATATATCCCTAAGGACTACGTATTGCGTACGTAGCTAATACGTATACACTACGACGACCCTTTAGCTAGACACTTTAGTATAGCTAAAACTATAGACCTAATACGCCGAAAGTACTTCTAGCCGAAGATAGCCGAGGACATTACGGCCTATATCCGCACCTATAGAATTTGTTAACGGTCGAAGGCGAAGCGCTATCGCCTATATAGCGAGCTCGCTGCTCTACCTATACCGACCCGACCTTAGTAAGAATTGACGATAGACTTTATTACCGATCTCCCGCCGAGCAAGCTCGGTACCTACGTATATACTACGATCCTCGTAATAGTCGACCGCTATACGAAGATAAGCCTCTTTATCCTAACGACGAAGAAGTGTATAGCAGTAGAACTCGCGGATATCCTTTAAAGGGAGGTAATTAGGCGTTTTAGAGTGCTATTAGGCATTATTAGCGATCGTAGATCGCTTTTTACTAGCTAGTTTTAGAGCGACTTCTGCTTCGAAGCGTATATAAAGCGTAGGCTTAGTATAGCCTTCTATCCTTAGACTAATAGGCAAACCGAACGCGCGAACTAGACCCTCGAGCAATACCTACGATACTATTGCTCTAAGAACTAGGATAATTAGGCTAAGATATTGCCTTAGGCGGAGTTTGCCTATAACAATAGCGTTTATCCTGCGTTACGTATAAGTCCCTTTAAGATGCTCTACGGCTTTAACCCTAATTTAATGCCGAGCGCAAATAAGCTACTAGCTCGGGACGAGCTAACTAAGGGAAGGGCACTAGTAGCTATCGACGCTACGGAGCGACTACGACAAGTATATAAAACGCTTGCGGAACGCTAGTAGAAAGCAGCAGAATACTAGGCAAAGCAATACAATACATACTACACTGCTAAGACATATAGTATAGGTAACCTAGTCTTACTGTCGACAAAGAATATTAGCTTAGATATCCTAAAGAAGAAACTTAGCCCGAAGTATATAGGGCCTTTCCGTATTATTAACGCAGTTAGAGCGCAGGCGTACCGCCTAGCACTACCGTTAAGCACGAAGATCTACAATGTTTTCTATATTTCCCTCCTCGAGCCTTAGTATAGGCGCGATAGCGAGGAGCATAAGGTAAGCATGCCCGTCGCTAAAGGCAATAAGTAGTAGGTAGAAACAATCGTAGCAAAGAAGATAAAGAAGCGGAAGGCGTACTACCTTATTAAGTAGCGAGGATAGCCTAAAGAATACAACACTTAGGAGCTAGCTGTTTATATTAAAGATTCTATAGCGTTAGACGAGTTCGAAGCTTAAGCGAAGCGTAAGCGTAGGCAGTAATTAAAACAAAAGAAAATGAAACTTAAGAAAAAATAGTAGACACGTGCTCGTTTCGCTACTAAAAAAGGCCTATTAGCCTAGTATATATAAAGAAGGCGCTGCGTAGGCGCGGCGACAGCGGACCGCCTACCCTACTTATCTTTAGAATCCTTAGCCTCCTCCTCCTCTTCGATGCCTATAGCGGCATCGATAGCGGCGACGGCCTTAGCGCCGACGCGCTAAGCGAGGTTCTAGTACGGTTAGTATACGAAGCGCAAGTAAAACGAGGCTGCGGGAAAAAACTATACCTAACGACCGATCTCTACTAAACTAGCTAGGTTAGTATCGATATACTCGAGCGTACTAAGCAAGTTAACGTCCGTAAGGGACCCGCTAGCGGCCCCCTTGCGGGCTAGGGCTTTACTGCCGGGGGTTACCTTATTCTTGTTAGTATAAAAGACGTATAGCGTAGATAGGATAACTAACGTCGAGGTTAGTATACGAAGCGTAAGCGGAGCGTATAAGGAATATACGTACGACTATAGAGTCTAGCTCGGCCTAGAGTGCCTCTAAGGCCTCGTTAGACTCCTCGATAGAGTCGTAGCCGTCTAGGTCGTATAGGTCGCGTATAGAGCGTGCGGCGCGAATACGCGCTAGCAGCGACACTAGTAAGCGGGCCGTAAGCGGAGTATAGGTATAATAGCTGCCGCAGCAGCGATCGTAGTTACGCTTAGTAGCAGAGTCTATATTGCTACCTATATAAACCTTAGTTAGGTCTACTAAAGCGAGTTAGTTACGAAGCGTAAGCGCGTAGCAAGTAGCGAGAATACGTACTGTTAGCCGTTATATACTTAAAGCAACGGATATAGCCCTCTAGGACTTTTAGGGGGCGCTAGGCAGGCGTAGTAGGTATCGAGGGCGGAGCGCCTACGGCGCGCTTACCCGAGGCACGCGAAGGAGTAGATATACTAGTAATATTTTTTTAGATAGATGTTTAAAAAAGAAAAATCTTTGAATAATGCTAGGGGGGCGTAAGATACGAGTAGGCGGGGGGCAGGCGGGGGGTATTCGGAGCGCTTAGAAAAAGAAGAAGTTTTTAAGCGGGCTTCGAATGCTTTAAATACTTGCCTCGCTTTCGGATAGCTTACGTTCTCGCGTAGCTACCGCGTTCTTAGAAATTTAGGCAACTTCTAGTTAGTACTAGAAGTAGCCGCGCTTTAAATCTATAAACAAACAAGCAACTACGAGGCAGATTATAACGTGCCTAGCAACTATAGCCTAGCGATAGGTACGTATAAGACGCGCAAGTATAGCGCAGAGTATAAGAAATAGTATAATTTACTATATTGCCCTATAGCTAGGATAGCTATACCGGAGGAAGGAGATAATTATAAGAACCTAAGCAAGTAAAGTCTCCTATCCTACCTTAGCAAGCCTATATAACAATTATGTAATGTTATTACGTATAGTACGATGCAGCCGCGCTAGCGATAAGCTTGCTTAGCGTATACGCGTAATGCTCGATTACTCGTACGGATATACTCGGTAGCCGGTACGGCAGATATGCTATCCGTGCTAGGCCTAGTTAATAGTAGTCGCTCTGCCCTGTTCTAAGAAAGGCACGGTTTAGTTCTACTTTCTACTACGGCGATTAGTAGAGGGTGTTCTATACGTTGCTACATACCCATTTCCTTATAAGGGGTGTCTTTTAGTGCAGTATATATATCTTGCTTCTCCCTTATATGCTTTACATTCTTTGACCTAGTAATCCCCTATATAATAGGAGCAGGTATTAGTTGTTTTTGTATACTTAGCTGCTAAGTGTCTATAGTGCTAATATTTGAAGTACTGTATTATCCTATAGTTGCTTCTATATATCTCTGTTTCTAATCTTTTAAAGTCCTAGAACAACCCCTAGTCTAGCACTATATTAGCTTGCTCTACACTCCCTATCTAGATAATTAGGGAAGACTGCTTCTTAGTCTCTTCGATTTTCCTTTTGATCTATACTACTTTTGTAATCTTTAGGCCTAGGCATATAGCTTAGTTTTGTCTCTATAGGCTCTTAATATCCTATTCTTCCTTAAAGCTTCTTGTTATACTATAGGCTATAATTATGAATTGCTATTAGGAGACCTTTACTGTTTTCCCTATCTTAGTTGTCTATTCTTTTTATGTTTCTAACTTCTTTTTGTCCTGCTCTTATACTATAAACAGCTTAATTACCCCTTTACCTTCGTTCCTAGCCCTAATTACCTCTTTAACTATAATTCTTTCTACAATCTCTTTCCCTATAAGTCCTTAGATTTCCTTTTACTCCTATAGGTCCGTAATATAGACTCTAACTACTGTCCTCGGGGGTTTTAGCGCTTCCTAACTAGCTACTGCTACCTAGGTACGGTAGTTTAGGCTTGTCTCCTATTGTTTCTTCGTAATCTTTGCTACGACTGTATTAGCTACCTTTGTAATTACGTAGCTTGCCTAGTTGTAGATTGCTTTTAGTCCTCTAAGGAGTTCTAAGATTATTATCCTATATGCCCTCTTAGGGGTTCTTCTATCTTCCGCCTTTAGTACCTCCTCTGCCCTAGTATATAGTGCTTTCTATTCGTCCTCCCTTCCTTCTTAACTGTCTTCCCTTCGTCTCTAATTGTTCGCTACCATTCCCTTTTCCCGATAAGATAAATAGGAGGCAAAGGACTAGTTATCCCGCGACGTATATAGTAACTAACTAAAATATATAGACTTTTAGACTTATAGCTTGTTTCTTCGTACTAAAATCTAGTATATTTAGTACTACTAATAATATATAGTTTAATTCGAGTAGAGACTTTCGAAAGCTACTAGTAATAGATCTCGATTAGTTTAAATATAATAAACTAAATTTCTAGTATTTTAGAAGAAAGCTAGTACTAGTAATAAAGTATTTTAGTACTAGTACTCTTAGCTAGTAGTATTTCGGTTTTAGTCGATTTAATAATAATAATATATACCTATAAACCCTTCTTACTAGTAATCTAGAATATATAAACGGTAGTAGGATTGCTATTTACTATACTATCTAGCTACTACTATTCGATTGTGTTTTTGTTTCTTTAGCCGATTAAGAGAGACTCCTTTTTCGATAGTCGATACCTAGCTATACTATACTACTACTATATAGTATCGTAGCGATAGGGATATTTATATTAGGGAAATAGTATACTAATAAAAGGGTTGTTTTAATTATATAAGGAAGAAATAATGTTTTCTTCTTATAGTAGAATAGTATACCGATATGTAAATGTTAGTTCTAGGGAGTGTAGGTAGTAGTAATTAAATTTTCTTTCTATCTATATAATAAAAGAGTTAAAAAGCAAATTATACTATTCTTCTCTATATAAATCCAAATTTATTCCGAGACCGTCGTCCTATGGTGTTTGTTTCCTTCTTTCCCCCCTATGTGAAAACACAACAATCCCAAGAAAAGTGTTGTGTGTAAGAATTGCCCTCCGAGTTCCGAGATAGATCAGCACTTGATCTTCTTCTGCTTTTTCTTCTACACAAAGAAAGTCAAGACAAGAATGACAAACGTCGTCAGAGATGATAGTCGGAGTGTTGATACTGCGGGTTGATGAGAGGCGGTCGAAGACGTCGCCACCGCAGACTCGACAAAAGTAGGTCCGCAGTTCATCTGGACTTGTTCGGCAGCTGGGACGTAATCCGTGCTCAGAGGCTGGGAGGAATTGCCTGCTGTTTCGGCAAAGATCCTCATCGTGTTCTGGAGACATGGTGTGCATGCGGGTCGTGATCCTCCGGGTAACTGCACGCCGAGAGGGAGGTAGTATATGTAACTGCTCGCTGGAGCCGAGATGTTGGTTGCTGCATTGGCGTAGCAGTAGTTTCCGCTGGAGTCGGTGAGGCAGCCGGCGTGGTATAAGGCGTTGTAAGCTTTGAAGCCGTTGAAGGCTTGAGTGACCATCGGGTTCAGCATTTGAAGATCCGGACCGCAATGGTCATTGGTTTGAATGTCTATTGCTAGCCCGGCCATGACGGCTGAGCACGTTTGAAAGTCGACTTGGCATGTTGCATCGAGTATTTGCGTGAGTCGGACCAAGGAGCTCGACGCAGTAAAGAAGCCATTCGAGGTCTGAAGGTTGAGGTATAGTCAGCGATGGTGTTGCATGAGTCATGTGCTGCAGATGTCTCACCTGAAGGAGCAATGAAAACGGCAAGCAATCTTTAAATGTCTGGTTGTTGAGAAAGTTGGTGAAGAATGTCGGGCATGTGGTGGTCGTGAAGTTATTGCCCAGATTGGTATCAAATGGCTGAGGAAGAGCTGTGGCAGTGTCTGTGGCAGTCTGTACACTGCTTTCTGTTGCCGTAGCTGAGCTGGAGACGTCGCTGGGTCGAATGGTGGTTGAAGGCAAGGCAGACGAGCTGTCTTGATCTTGCCTTTTGTCTAACAGCATTCGAGGAAGCGGAGGTGGTGGGCTTCCATCAAACAGAAGCTCGCGTGGAAACACCTCAGTCGCGGCATAGACCTGGCCAGCATTGGTTCCTCGACAGAAGATGAGTAGGCAGAATATGAGCGAAAGTGTGAAGCTTTGCACAAAGCCGAGTGGTGGAATGATCCATCGATCACGAGCCAAATGTTTTGATTGATTTCGGCGATGCCCTTCGGGTCGTGACCGAAGATGGTTACACACATTCGTGTTGGGTTCATTCCAGCGCGGTTCCTGATGCCGACGGCAGCGCCATTGCCGCACAGCAGCAAGTGGGGTGCGTGTTGAGCTGCAGGACGAGAACGCGCATGTGTCCGTTGTCATCGCACCTTGTCGGATGTGCTGTGTCGCGCTCGCATATCCAGTATGGTCCCGCAGGCTACAGGATTTGTCTGTAGGAAGATGGTACAGTTGTTGTCTTGAACAGATAGTTCAACACAATGTTCGACGTGGATCTAGACCTCAGACCCAGGCACTGGATGGCATCCCTTGCTTGCTGTGTCGGAATACGGGCCGGGATGTTGACGGTTTCTTTCTTTGAACGTCGCTGTCGTCGTGCCTCGTGTGGCCGTCAGCAAGGTAGAATGTTCGAAGCAGAGTCGACGATATGGAGAAATGAAGATAGACAGCAGATGTAGGGTTGTTAATAAGAGGTTCGACACCTTTCTGCAGGTGAGTGCGGCAGGGCACGGGTGCCTGCGAACGATTGGACTATGGAACTGATTGCACCACACCAAGGTGCTAGTCCGAGCGCCACGGGCGAGCGTACCAGCATACCACGAGGAGGGCATCGCTTTCGTGGCGCCCGCCAGCGGACTCGGGGAGTAAGGTAGAGAGTGAGCAGGGCAGGGCATTGACACGGTCTAGGCCTTGCCATGAACCATGGCGGAGCCACTCAATCATTTCGATAGATCAAATAATGCCTCCCAGATGCAGAGCCGGGGAGGTTGTCAAAGGAGGAGAGGAAAGCGGAGCGGAGCGGCTGAGGAGAAATTATTGGCAGCGTATGCTAGAATATGCATTGAGCCTCTAGTGTCCGTGGTTGTGCTTATGCTTCCGTCTTGGATGTGATAACTAATAACACTCCCGATGGTATGGCCGCAGCATGCAAGGTGCCGCGGACGCGGTGAAGCTGTGAGTGGAGTGGATGGAAGCACAAAGATTTATTGATTCTGTTCTCGTTCAATTGATATGAAGGCGGCCAATAAGCTAAAAGCGCCTCTCCCGTCTTATGCATGCAATGTAGCATGACATGCGCCTGGAAGGAAGACGTTTATTTCGTCCATCTTCGCTGAAGCATCCTTGTCCAATAGCCTACTATACTACTATTTAGTGTATACCTCAACACCATCATACCAGCTCGCTTGTGCTGCGTCTTCCCAGAACTACCCGATGGCTTGCGCTGACAGTGGAGATTCTGAACTGTTCTGTCAAATACGGTAGTTCTATGGCCATTCAATCTCTGGCATTGACCACTTACGAGCCAAAGAGCAGCAGAAGCAATTTCTCGTCAGTGCTTTGTGCTGGCGCTTGGGGCAGCGCCGCAAACCTTCATATGCCTTCTAAGAAGTGACGTGTGTTCTACTGGATGCGTGTCGCAGTCTTCAATTTCCTATTGCACCCAATGCACATGATCCCCAAATTCTACCCACCTTGACCAAGCAGTAAGCAGCAATATGAGTCTTTCAGCCCGGAGCGAGGAGGTGGAAGAAGACTCGAACCCATCTTGCAAAGCTCGTAGAAAGCTGCTGATAGCAATCTCTAAGCCTAAGAAGCTCCGCTCGACGGAAGGTATAGAATGCATTCACAATTTATTCCTTCTCTGCGCCGCGCTGTCCACTCGAACTCCTTCATCATCCTGCTCAGCGACAGAAAGATCCGGCATCTTCATCGGCATAATCCTCCTGGGTGTGCTTCCGGGTACCAGAGCGTACTTGCTGAAATCAGTGACCCCTTCATGCTCTCTCAAGAAATCCTCATCGAGCAATGTCTTGCCATTGACATCCTGAGCTGGCGCATTGATAATGGCGAGAATGGCATCTGAAAAGATCTCCGGCTTCCTCAATTGTTTTCGACCTTCTTGAGGAGGCCATGAGCGTGAGTTCTGAGTCGCTGCCGAGTCGATTGCCTTCATCTTGTCAGCATAAACAAACGTTTGAAAGCACTTCATCACGCCCACACTTACCACAGCAGGCCAAAGACTTGTAATAGCCAAACCCGTCCTCCCTTCCCTCTCCCAATCCACCGCAAGTCCTAGAGTAAGTGCACTCATTCCAAACTTGCCCTGAAAAAAAGAACTCATTAGCACAACCATCCCACCCAGCATATAGCTCAAAAAATCTCACTATAGCATAAGCAGCTTTCCCCTTCACAAACCTCGAATAAATCGGCGGACTAACAACTATAATCCTCCCCCTCTCCCTCCCCCCATCCGTACTCTTATAAAGATACGGCAAAGCAGCTTGCACAACCGCATACAAGCCCTCCAGATTAATCTGCTGCATTAACCGAAACCTCTTAAAATCCGTCCCTTCCACCGAACTCCACCAAATCGCCCCAGAATTATACACCACGACATCCACCCTGCCCCCAAACCTGTCCACTCCCTTCCGTACAGCTTCTTGAATCTGTTCATAAAACCTCACATCACAAGAAACAGCTTCCGCCTCGCCACCATATATCTCCGTAATCTCTCTCGCAACGGTGTTGATAGTTGAAGAGAAAGAGTTAGGATCTGGGGGGAAAGGGTGACAGTTTTGGGGATTGGAGGTAGTTTTCGCCGAGACGATGACTGAAGCACACACACACACAATTGTTTTAGTTTAATAGATATTTGTGAGGAGGTTGCATCTGATAATTTTTTTTTACCTCGGTATCCATTCCTCGCGAGATCGATTGCCACTTGTCTTCCTATTCCTCTTGAGGCGCCGATGACGAGAGCTACGGGTTTCGCTTTCGAGGACATTGTGAGAGGGAAAGAGAGGAGAATTATCAAAGGTCTACTGAAATAAAGATGGAATGCTAATGACAAGTGACGGTGGGCTCAAATTATTATATGCAATGCCTAGTCCTCGTCTACTAATCGTGAGCATTGCTCGATCCGAGGTTTTGGGCTTTGGTGGAAGCGGAGAACTCTAGTACCACCTTGATAGGTGATCACGTGGAAGGTCAAGTCAAGGGCATGCGATGGCGAGAGGACCGCAGAGAAAGAGATGAAAACAGCATCAGTGTTTAACGAATTCTTTCTTTGGTTTCAGAATTGTCAAATACTACAGTTACACAGAAGTCTTTCGTGAAACCCATGAATCCCCATGCTGATGCTTTCTCTTTCGCATCTTAGTCCAGACTCAGAAACGCCTGTAGCTTTCTTGTCTAGCCGTTATGCCAAAATCGCGTCATCCGTAAACACATTACAAGGCAACTCTGCTAAAGCGAAGCAATTAGTCGACCTCCTCCATCGCGCTCTCAGTGGCACCGTCTGCTGGTGCAGCAGCTGGTGCGGCAGCCTCCTCGGCAGTCTCGACGTCCTCGTCGACGTTGAGGCCGAGGGAGACGAGCTTGTGAATGCGCTCGGCGTAGTTAGCTGGCTCATCAATAGTGAAGCCAGAGACCAGCAGCGAGGTCTCGTAGAGAAGGGTGGTAATACTCTTGACGGTGCTGTCGTTCTCGCCGTCAGTCTCAACCTTCTTCTTGAGCTCCTTGATGATCGGGCTCTTGGGCGAGATCTCGAAGGTCTTCTTGCTGCTCATGTAGCTGGACATGGACGTGTCACGGAGAGCCTGAGCCTTCATGATACGCTCCATGTTGGCAGACCAACCGAACTGGCCGGTACGGATAGCACAAGGCGAGCCGACAAGCTTGTGAGAGACGACAACCTTCTCGACCTTGTCACCAAGAACGTTCTTGAGCGACTTGGCGAGAGCCTCATACTCCTTCTCCTCCGTCTCGCGCTGCTTCTTCTCTTCCTCAGTCTCCTCAAGCTCGAAGTCCTTAGTGATGTCGACAAGCTTCTTGCCGTCATACTCCTTGAGCTGGGTGAAGGCGTACTCGTCAATTGGATCAACGAGGAAGAGGACCTCAAAGTTCTTGGCCTTGAGGGCGTCAAGGAATGGCGATTTCTCAACAGCCTTGATGGACTCGCCGGTGATGTAGTACATCTGCTTCTGGTGCTCTGGCATGCGGGTGACGTAGTCGGCGAGGGAGGTAGTCTCCTCGGTGGACTTGGTGGAGTTGTAGCGGAGGAGCTTGGCAAGAGCCTGGCGGTTCTGGGTGTCCTCGTGGATACCGAGCTTGATGTTCTTGCTGAAAGCACTGTAGAACTTGTCGAACTGCTCCTTGTCTTCGGCAATCTCCTGGAAGAGCTCGAGAGTCTTCTTGACAATGTTCTTCTTGATGACCTTCATGATCTTGTTTTGTTGGAGAGTCTCACGGGACAGGTTGAGTGGGAGATCCTCAGAGTCGACGACACCCTTGACGAAGGAGAGCCACTCTGGGACGAGATCGGTGGCATCATCAGTGATGAAGACACGGCGTACGTAGAGCTTGATATTGTTCTTAGTCTTCTTCGTCTCGAAGAGGTCGAATGGTGCGCGCTTTGGAACGAAGAGGATGGCGCGGAATTCGAGCTGACCCTCAACGGAGAAGTGCTTGACTGCGAGGTGATCTTCCCAGTCATTGCTGAGCGACTTGTAGAAGGCGCCGTATTCTTCTTGCGAAATGTCTTGTGGGTTACGAGTCCAGATGGGCTTGGTCTTGTTGAGCTCTTCCTCCTCAATCTTGGACTCCTTGATCTTCTTGGTCTTCTTCTCCTTCTTCTCCTCTTCCTCGTCGTCAACTTCCTCGACCTTTGGCTTGTTGTCGGCGTCCTCTTCCTTGGTCTCCTCGGCCTCCTCATCAGGCACCTCCTTCTCGGTCTCCTTGAGCACGTGGAGGTAGATTGGGTAGGAGATGAATTCGGAGTGCTTCTTCACAACTTCCTTGATCTTGCTCTCGTTCAGGTAGTCAGTCTGCTCATCCTTGAGGTGGAGAATGATCTTGGTGCCACGGCCGAGTGGCTCGCCGTCGGTGTCTTGGGAGATGGAGAAAGTGCCACCAGCGGAAGACTCCCAGATGTACTGCTCGTCATCGTTGTGCTTTGAGACGACGGTCACGCGGTCTGCGACAAGGTATGCGGAGTAGAAACCGACACCGAATTGACCAATCATGGAAACATCAGCGCCAGCGGAGAGGGCCTCCATGAACTGCTTGGTGCCAGAGCGGGCGATGGTTCCGAGGTTGTTGACAAGGTCGGCCTTGGTCATACCGATACCAGTGTCGCGGATGGTGAGGGTCTTGGCCTCCTTGTTGGGGATGAGGTCGATGCGCAGGTCCTTGCCGGAGTCGAGCTTGCTGGGATCTGATAGAGCTTCATAGCGGATCTTGTCTAGTGCATCGGAGGAGTTGGAGATGATTTCTCGCAAGAAGATCTCCTTGTTGCTGTAGACGGTGTTGATGATCAAGGACAGAAGCTGCGAGATCTCCGCCTGGAACTCGAATGTCTCGGACGACATGCTGGGCGATGTGTGTGGTGTGCGCTTGTGGTGGGAGTGTTTGATTCTGCAATGATGGTCAGTGAAGTGCTCTTGGTGGGCGACAAGTGTGCGTTTGGTCGAGCGTGGAGCGTTGAGCAGGCTGCACTGTCGCTGAAGAGATTGCTCTGGCAACCAACGGCGGCGTCGACAAACGCTCAATGGCGGAGGCGGAGGGCTGACTTACAGATGGGACTGTCTAGAAGTGAAGTGGTCAAAGTACGCGCGGATGCAAGACCTGTGTTGCTGATGTGCAGTGGTCGGGGTATCTCAAAGTTCGAAGTGTGGTGGAAGAAGATCAAGTTCTGCAGCTGATATTTCTGTTGCTCAGACGCACAAGCACCTTCCTTCCGCGCTGAGCTTCGTTCTTGCCAGAAGCTTCCAGCGCAGGCACGACCGCCAAGGCCTAAGAAGAGCTTGGTCTCGGCCTGAGCCGACGGAGCCTCAAAATTAGTAGATGCTGACGCTGCCACCGAACAGTATAGAATTTCGTCCGACTCATGCATTCTTCTTGCTTGACATTGCTACTTCTTCCATCGGATTCTCAAGCACATCCCGAATGGCGCGTTGGTCCCGACCGACTTCTACCATGTGCGGAAAGCACTCGAAGTCCTCCGACTTGCTCAGGAGATCTTCAAAACATGTGCTATAACTCCGTGATGCGCACGTAATCCAAGTATTCACCTTAGGCAGAGGTCACATAGTTGCGGTTCGAACTAATGACCGATCACAGAGTCTGAGTTGTTCTCGAGCTCGCTACAGGCCAACAGACACCTTCTACACACCTCGTCGCAAGCTCCTCGAGTTACTACTAATTGCTACGCTCGACCAAATCCCCCGTTCAACCACCACGTGACTCCCCGGAGTTTGAAAGCTGAAGATCTGAATGGCTGAATTCTACAGAACTGCTGGGACGGCAGAACTCGACCTCCGAAGACAGAGCTTAGGCTTAGGCCTCATGCAAACCTCTCACCTCCTTCCAGAGATACTGCTACGACGACACGACAACGACAGCGCTGGCGACAAAGCCCGGTATAAGCCGACCGAACAAGAGTACCTCGCTACACCCGAATCGGGACTGCGGCTGCGCATTAAGGCGGTATAAGGCGGAAGCTTCGCTCGCACTTTGTAGGCACGCGGAGCCGCCTACAAGCACATATTTTGATTTTGACCAATCATAGAGCGCTAAGAAATCGACTTCAAACACCTTGGAAGGTTACTGCTCCACCCAAATTCTGGCCAGTAGGGATCTCTGCCAATTGAAATCGCCTTTTGCCTGGTCAAGCTTGAGCGATTTAGTCCTCCGAAACAGATACTCCGACGTGTTCAGACGTTGTAGCATAACCCTACGAGCGGGTTGACCTCAGCTACCTAACTTTTGCTACGCTTTGGGAGGTACCAGAGGTCGCCCGCTTCGCGAATGATCGTTGATCTCGGGGCCTATCGCTGATACGAATAATCTAAGCCCCACTCCGCGCGGAATTCCGATAGTCCGCAGGCTTGCTATAATCCATGATGAGCACACTTTAGGGCCTGTTCTCTTTCAGCTGCACCTCCACTGCAGGTCGTGGCACCTAGTATAGATTGAATTGGCACCAAACCAGGGCAGCATCAGCTATCTATCCCCTGTCAGAACTCGTACCTGCTCGGCGTTCGTCGGCAAAACTAGGATGTCGACTAGAGCGGTGATCTGATTGCACGAATCGATCAGATTTAAGCCGTATGTAGCGTTTAATAGCAATTCTTGCTCTACTTTAGTTCGTCGGACTTAACTAAGGAATTCGTTAAGGGGATAGACCTTTAGCGCTATCGCTTCTAATAGGCTATATAGTATGTACCTTTATATAACGTACCTGTTCGCTTTTTGAAGTTTTAGTAGTAGTTGTCCTTTATAGAATGCAACGAGAGCTAGATACTAGTTATATAGGCGCCTATATCTACTAGTAGTAGTGCCTATATAGGGCTTAGTAGGTAGATTTTACACTTCCCTAAGAATACGATAGATTCTTTACTTTCTACTATTGCTAATAATAGCAATAACGAGGTATATATATACTACGATATACGCTATAAAATTATTAAGATACGGCGCTTTAATTTGCCGTAAAAATTATTTCGATCTAATACCTCCTCGTTAAATAATAAATCGCGCAATTACTATAACTAAATCTACTCCTTAAGCTACCTCCGACGATACCTAGTTAGTACCTACTAGTATACTATCCGCTATATAGGTCGCCTTAATAGATAGCTAGCTTATTAATACTTAGGAAAATATTAGAGAGATTAGGAATATTACTACCCTATTATCTATAGGATAATATAGAGATCTAAGGCCGGTTCTAGTAATAAGGATACCTCTTCTAATAAAGAAGGTCCTAGTCGACTTATTTAGATAGCTAAGATAGAACAAATCCTCCTCGAGAACTTAACTCTTTAAATAGACCTTAATAACTACTATAACAGTTAATTAAAGCTATAGGCTCGCGAGGATATATTATCTAACGTATCTCGTTAAGTAAAGTAGTCTATCTCTTCAAGTTAGAAATAGTACTATACGAAGATACTATTCTATAAGGCTCTTTACGCTACCTCTATAGCTCTTAAATACGAGTCTAGCTTTAGTATTAGCTGTAATGCTAGTAGTACTATTACTACTATTAACTAACTCCTTTATAAATTATATAGAAGGACTACCTTACTAAGAAGGTCTATAAGAACGCAAAGCCTCTAAGAGATTACCCTATACTATACGTTGCCCTCTACGCTAAAATCTATAGTAATAAGACCGCTATAAGTAAGGCTTCTAAGGGCGGCACTAGTATCTTAAAGAAACGACTATCTACTAAAGCTAATATTAAAATAAGAAGCTTCCTTTTATTAAATAATAGCTTAGCGGCCCTATTATAGCTATTATCGGTATACGTATACTCGCGGCGGTCTAACTCTTCTTTATCGTATTACGCTATAGTAATATAGCTTACGAGGGCGGCTATATACTACTAGATACTAGTATTTATTATAGAGGGTCGGTTTTGCTTAGTATACTACTAGGACTTATTAAGTTAAAGAAGGTACTAAGAATACTATCGACGAAGAAGCGACGGTATATCTAAGTAATATTATAGGTTATATAGGGATACTATATAATATAGTAGTAGGAGGTTAAATTCTACCCGAAGGTATATAGCTCGAAATTAGGCTTCTATACGCTAAGGCCTTATATAAACTACGACTATAGGTCGCAATACTCTACTATACTAGTAAGATATATACGGAGTGCTCGAGTTTATCGTAGGTTCTTACCGTTAGTAATATCTTAGAGATAGTCTATAATATTAAATTATAGCGATCCTATAGACGGGATAATCGGTCTGTATTAGACGTTGGTCCTGGTAGTCCTAGCGATTAGGTCGATCGAGTAGATGCGATCGAGTGGTCTGGCCGAGTTGTCTTGGCAGTTGTCAAGATATCGAAGCCTGGGGTTGTTGTATTCTGGTGAGGGTCTTACCAAACCCCGAAGCGTTTGAATCTATACGTTCCGGGGAGGAAGGGCAGCATAGGTACACGTACGGGGGCCCCGAGTTGAACAGGAGTACGTTCTGCCAGTACGTCTTATAAAGTCCTGTCTCTTCCAAAAGCTCGGATCTGCCCATCTCTGCCTTTCCTTCTCCGCCCTAAGAGATGCCTCCACTCATACCCTTTTCACGTCTCAGCTGGAGCTGTCTTTCAGCTCTCAGCTGCAAGATCCTCCTCAACCTTCTCATCCTCACTTTGATGTCCTTACTGTGGCAAGTCACTTACTCCCTCCTATTTGACCCTCTTCGCAATATTCCTGGCCCTGTCCTTGCAAAATGCTCCTCGCTCTGGCTACGCTACCAACGCTGGCATGGTCAACTCTCCCTCACGGCCGACTCTCTTCTTGCCAAATACGATACCTCCATTCTTCGCTTGAGTCCGGACTTGGTCTTGATTAACGACTCCGAAGCTGTGGAAAAGGCTTTCAACCGGAGAGATCTCGATACGTCGCCGGAATCGATTCGTGCTTTGAGAGTAGGAGGACATGATTGGACTGTGACCTATCCGCAGTATGGCGTTGCGAGACAAAGGCGGCATCCTGTCATGATTGCAAGTACGACGAAGAACTTAAAAGCTCGGCATGATGTCTGGAGGGAGAACGTTCTAAAGATGGTCACGGATATCGACAGAAGCCAGGGAGAGAGGAGCGAGGATATCGTGAGACATTTGAGGATCTGTACGTTGAAAAGCTCGCAGGTCTTGATCGGAGGTCCTGGAGTGCAATTGGAGACAGAAGAGTTTCCGAGGATTGTGGGAGAGTATAATTTCCTTGTAGTATGGAGACTGTGTTTGCCAGAGTGGACATTTGAGTGGTTGAAGCATTTTTCACTCTTGGAGCGAGTTTGGTACCGAGTGAGATCCAGCGACATGTTGTTTGACCTTGGAGTGGATATTTGTCGGCAAGCCGAAGTCAACCGGGATGTTGAGGCGCCTAATGCTGCACCGAATGTTTACGAACTCTGTGTCGATCCTGATGCGAAATACCCAGCCCAATCTTGGACCAAAAACGAATTAGGCGCTGAGATGGCTGGACAAGTTCTCGCAGCTACCGAAACGACGTCTTCGGCATTGGCATTCATCTACTACGAGTTAGCCAAGAATGCAAGGCTACAGCAGGAGCTATATCAAGAATTGGCGAGAGCCGACACGGACGAAGAGCTGGACTCTCTGAAATTGCTCGACGCGTGTATCAAAGAAGGCCTCCGCTTTCGACCTCCCGTGGCGCTGACAGGCAGCCGACTGGTTCCTGCAGGTGGTGTGGAGGTGTGTGGCCACTATCTGCCTGAAGGTACCGTGATAACCACACAATCACTCTCCATGAGCAGGCAGCGACGCGATCTATTCCCGGACTACGACACATACAATGCACAGCGTTGGCTCATAGAGGATGGAAAGAGTGCGGAGAGAAAGCGTCTTCTCGTGCCGTTCGGTGTTGGATCTCGAAGGTGCCCTGGTGGGAACATGGCCCTGTATCAGATGCGCATGATTCTTTATCATACGATTCGAGCCTTTGACGTTCGACTTGCACCGGAGACGACGCCCGAGAAGATGGAGCCCTTCGAGGCCAATGGCTATCGGTCGAGGCACGATAGATGCGACTTGATTTTTGTTCCACGAAGCGTTGGAGGTGGAAAGTAAGGTAGCGGTAAATAGCCAGCACCGTAGTGGTTGTCGCGTGGTCGCAAATATAGGTGCCGAAGAATGAACCTCAGAGCGGGGCGGGGCGGGGCGGGGCGGGACGTCTCCGCTGGCGTGGCGTGGCGTGGCGTGGCTCAGGAATGTCGGTACGCAAGACATCGATAGCTTCTTGGCCTTGCCCACAAGACTTGTACCTTGTTGTCGTCCTCGAGCGCAGAAGTCATGAAGATCTGAATGATGACTAAGCTATGCGCAAAACACAGGGACCAGGATGCGAAGAGGCGATGTCTTGGTTGGCCCAGGCGACGAGTGTTGTGTCCGTGCGGCAGCCTGCACCTCAGAGTCTCCGACGAAGCTGACCGCCAGCGAAAGCGACAGCAGGAAACAGGCAGGCACACATGCATGCTTGGCTTCAGAACCACAACCACAACCACAACCACTGTTGCCGTGCCGAACTGCATCTTTGCCTACTCTCGCAACCTCCTCACCGCTCGCAATCGTTCAGCAGCATCATCATTGCTAGACGAGGCATTGCCGACGATGTCGCATTGATACCGTTCCAACCCCACCATACAGCTATCGTCGACCGCTTTGACGCGAGTACATCATCACTTGATCGCACACATGGCCGCATGAAAGCCCCCTATACCGGTAATTCGCATAGCGCCTCGAGCGCATCGTCCATTTTGACGGGACACTTTCTATCCGAGGTCGTCGCGGACGGCGGACGACGAACGACGAGGTCCAGATGGCACACGATGGCCTGTCCACCGCTGGCACGAGTGTCTATGACAGCAATACAATGTATGTGGGAGATGGGACATGGGATTCCGAAAGAAACACATTTCTGTTGCCGAACCTTCTTGGCTTGAATTTCGATACCATGCGATACAATGGCATGGGCAATCGCTTTCGAGGATTGCCACAGTACCACCGTCTGATAATTGGTCATGGAGTGGTGGCGGCTATCACATTCCTCGCCATCGTGCCGGCTGCCATATTCTTTGCGAGATTTTATCATGCAGAAGGCCGCTTCGCATACAAGGCGCATGTATACCTACAGATCATCACCGTCTTTCTGGCAACTGTGGTGTTCATACTGGGATTCTTCGCCGTCGGACCGGAAAGGAGCTTGTCAAATCCCCATCACGGAATTGGAGTCGCGATATATGTCTCCATCCTGGTGCAATTCATCTATGGTTGGTGGTGGTCGAGAAGAGAACGTAAGAGGACAAGACCGCATCCAACGATACCCCTAAAGGTGCACATACATCGGTTGTTTGGAAGAGCCATTGCTGTGCTGGCCTTTATACAGATCGCACTTGGCCTGACTTTGTACGGCTCGCCAAAAGTGCTCTTCATATTGTACGCACTGTGGGGAGCTTTGCTGCTCTTCTTGTACCTGACCTTGGAATATCGAGATAAGGGGAGGTCTGCAGGTATAGCACCTTCAGCTGCAAGATCTGATTACTACTCCGACTACACTGGAAGCTATCTAAGTGGAGATCAAACACAACTCACTCATGATAGGCGAAGCAGGAGGCGAAGTGGCAGCCATTGGGCACGCAATGCTTTGGCAGGCGCAGGACTCTTCGGCGCATATGAATGGTGGAAAAGGCGAGGCAAGAGGAAAGAACAAATCGAGGGCAGCGTTAGTGACTATCAAGAGAGCACTTCAAGACTTCACAGCAGACCACCGGGAGCTCCAGGACGGCCAGCGTCGTCTATCGGCCCACCAGGACCGAGACCATATACGCCATATGAACCAGGGCCACCATCTACAGGACCTCAGCGGTATGATACGCCCAGCAGACCTCCGCCGCCGGCATTTTATACCCCAGGACGACCTGCGCCACCACAAGATCGACACCGGCGGCATGACGAGACTGTAATGTCGCCACAGACGTGGGAACACGAATCCGAAATGGATGAGAAGTGGGATGATCGACCGCCGCAACAAAATACCTGGAGGGATCGCATTATTGGTGCAGGCGCTGGAATCGCAGCGTTCCAAGGAGTGAAGAGCCTGTTTGGTGGCAAGAAAAAAAGAAAGGATGGCTATGCCGAATCTGATGTCAGCTACCAACCCGGCCGGCACAGCATGGTGAGCCAGACAGACGTGTCGCGGGTTGAGGCAGGTCAAGCACCATTTTCACCAAACGACCCGAGGAGGAAACCGCGTCCCTTGAGATCTGACATGACGCCTGCAACCCCAACACGACCTGGAAGAAGGACGAGTCAAAGCTCATTATCTTATGATGACGAGTACAGCCATATGGGTCCAAGGCCAGTCTCTGGTGAGGGCCCTTCGTTGCGAGACAGCATCGCCACAATGGGCGCAATAGCTGGCTTCCGAGAATGGAACAAGCGACGAAAAGACCGGAACGAGCGACAACGATTAGATCGCATTCGTCAGCAGGAGCTTGAGAGCGAGGAGCAGTACAATCGCCGCAACTCTAATCGATACCCGCGGCCTCAAGACGCCAGTGGAAGAAGACAAAGCCTGTCTGGCACTATCTGGACAGGACCAGACCCAGCACTTGGCAGCAATCCACAGCTGTCGAGGACGAACTTCAGGCCTGACATCAACCAACCACCTTTGCCGGCCACAGCAGGCGCGATACCTATTAGTCCGAGCCGTCCTCCAGCAAGCACGGCTGGGCCTAGTGCTTTCCCGCCAAACGTGATGGAGCAGCAGCAACACCAGACACAAACATTCAATCTTCCTCCGCCTCCGCCCGGCCCTCCGCCGCCAGATGCGTTACGTCCTGCCGGATACCTACCTCCCGAGCCAGGATCACTTCAAATGCCTCAGGGTATGGTCAATCCAGATCCTTCGAGGTTGACAACAGAGCATCAATTACAAAGTCCGTATCAGGATGGCACTCACATCGCGGCAAACGAAGCTGCTGCCGCCGCGACGGGTCTTGCTGCAAGTCAGCGAGCAAAATCACTCTCGCCGTCGAGAAGAGGTGGTAGACGAGACTCTCGTTCCAGAATTCCGGGCGCTCGTCGCGGTAGTACCAGTGCTTCGATCTCGCAGCTTGATCCCGCTGGGCTTCCACCCGTTGGTGGCGTGCCCGAAAACAGTCAGAGTCCTCCTGTTAGTGTCAAGATGAAAGTCCATCCGGGTGGCCGACACGTCACGCTTCGGCGTCTGAATGAAGAGGAGGCTGCCGCAGAGCGAGCAGCGCGGCGGCGAGAGCGACGATCGAGAAGAGCTTCAAGCTTGACTGATAGTGTGGACGAAGCTGTAGCAGGCTCAAGTCGCTACCGCCGCAACAATGGAGCACAGATGCGAGACTCGAGCCAACAGCCAATTGCCGCAGTGCCTCCGCCACCGCCAGCTATGTCGAGCTCAGTTGGGAGAAGAGATTCAGAATTGAATCTTCCTCCAGGGCGAATACCTCAGGCTTCTTCGGCAGGTGGCAGTGCTCAAGCTGTACTTCCCGCAGCGGCAGGTCCTGCTGGGAGCGGTGCCGTCGGTAGCCCTGGTACTGTAGGAGGAGGAACCGAATTGGGTACGGGCACGGATGTCAGTGCTTTTGCAGACAATCGCAGAAGGAGAAGAGCAGAGCGAGCAAGGAAGCTAGAAGCTAGTAGGCAGGGGAACAGGGTGGAATTTGAATGATGGCTTTGATGACTTGATGAATGATGGTGAGGGGATGCTGTTCGGATTCTGTTCGGCGTTTTAGCGACGCATAGCAAGCGACATTGGGATGTCTTATTCTCTGGCTGGTGGGAGCGTAGCGTAGCTCCATGGCGAATTTTTCGCGGAAGCAGTGCTCTGCAATTGAGACTTCTCGAGAACGAGCAGATTTGGTGCCATGAATGAAGGCATTTTCACCAATATACCATTGACTTCAGTCTTCTGATTGTTTTGCACGTCACATTTTCCGGCGGACTTTATTCCCACGTGACTCTTTCCCGGCATTCCCCGAACCGACGCAAGCAACTTCAAGCTCCATCTCCTCGCAACCTGGCGCAGGCATTGGAAGCGAACATCACATCTCAACCCACCATGCAGTCACTTCGCGTTGCCCGGACTGCTCTCAGAGCCAGCCAAACCGCTTTCAAGGCCGCACCAGCTCTGCGACGTGGCTACGCCGATGTCGCGCCAGACAAGATTCAGTTGACTCTGGCTCTGCCTCACCAGGTATGTGTTCCCAGGCGGAGGAGGATGGTAGGAGGAGACGGATCGACTTGAGATTGGACAAATGAACATGAGATGGCATTGGGAAGCGTGATTGCGCTGACAATGCTGCGCAGGCCATCTACAAGTCTCAGGATGTGTACGTTCTGCCCAACCCTTTCCCGAGCGAACACCGACAAGCACGATCGCAGAAAAAAAGAGCGGTAGGACTAATAGGCATATAAACAGCGTTCAGGTCAACATCCCCGCTGAGTCCGGAGAGATGGGTGTTCTTGCCAGCCACGTTCCATCCATCGAGCAATTGAAGCCAGGCCTCGTGGAGGTCATCGAGGAGCAGGGTGGAAGCAAGCAGTTCTTCTGTACGTCAAAACAAAGACAAGACATGGAACTGGCTGGGAGAGTCCTATACTGATACTCGGTTACAGTGTCCGGTGGCTTCGCAACAGTGCAGCCAAACTCAGTCCTGAGCATCAACGCTGTTGAGGGATACCCACTTGAAGATTTCAGTGCAGAGGCTGTCAGGAACCAGATTGCTGAGGCACAGAAGATTGCAAGCGGTGGAGGCAGTGAGCAAGATGTTGCTGAGGCTAAGATTGAGCTTGAGGTATGTTCACCTTGAAGTTGAAACCACGAGTTTGCTAACGTCTTGGTCAGGTCCTTGAAAGCCTCCAGGCAAACTTGAAATAGAGTCCGAGTCTACGCGCCTGTATATACTGTCTACCATTTTGCGAGCTTTCTGACGACGTGAGAGTCGGCTTATCACAGAAAGCACGACTTGACCTGCTCGCAGTCTCCGCTTCTCCCTCGACCATTTCAAGTCAGGCACTTGCCACCATCACAGCAACCAGACTCCTTCCTTTCATGCCATGCTAGCACATCTGAGCGTCATAATATCCTCCGAGCCTGCCTTGGAAATAGTATGTGCTGCCATTCTGCAGCCCGCATTTCTCTCATTCAGACTAACATGCACCACCACTATTAATGTCTGCAGGTGCTATCAATGCTCTCCGCACTGCAAACAACGTTGTGCGGCCCTACTAGCCGTCCTACTCCGAATCGACGTCGATCTCATGTATCATCACACAATCTTCATATGGTCAAGGCCTCGTACAGAAACGATGCCAAAGTCAGCGAAGAAAGTGGTTCGTCTGCATGAATGATGCTACACAGCAAGCTCAACTAACCTCAACAGCGCAAAACGGACTCTCGTGTCACAATCGCGGACCCTGCGAAGCGGAAGGCTACGCTACCTACGGACGAAATATCCTCACCAGAAGGCTGCCCCAGGCCTCTCGGTCGCAAGTTGACTGGAGAGTTCAAGAGAAAGCGATCCATCTCAGACTCACTCAAGACATTATTCACGCTCAAAGACTACATCGAGGACGAGACTGGTTCGACGCGGTCTACGACCAACCTTTCCACGGCTGGCTCGGAGGACTCGCCTTTCGATATCGAACAGGCGAATGCGCAGGCCGATGCGCGAGCCAGGATTGCACCTCAGAGCCAAGGCCAATTCTCCACAGAACCGCCAGTCAGGAGTCAGGCACAAGAGGACTTCAATTATTGTGTGTCCGAGGATCCGAGACCAAGCAAACGGCAAAGATTCAAAGCGAAGTTGAGGCGCAGTTTGACGGCTTCGCGGACGACCTTTCGACGCACACGAAGCCAGCAAAGGTCAACGTAGCCGATCGCATCCGAGCATTTGAGCAGAGAGATAATAAGGTGATATTGTCGAGGCCAACACCAAGGTACAGGAAGACGAGAGCAGGGCTGGATGACGTTGGTGAAGATGAAGGCTCGGCAGGCGCGAATGAGAACGAGGAACGAGTGCCGCTGGTGTTTCCGCTTCATGTTCAGAAGTTCAAGAGGAGAGGGACGATGAGCAGTGCGAAGAGACCGGACACGCCACTATATCGAGCTCAGCCCGGCGAGGATGCAATAATCCATGCGCCTGCGCCACAAAGAACCATTCCACCCGTGAAGACGCCGATTGACGAGAATGTGGTTTCGCCTCTCAATGTCGCGCCTGTATCTGGTGATGTGCGGGCAAACAGCTCAGGGACTGTTGAAGTTGAGGCGAAGCCTGACGACTTGCGCAAGTCGAGCACTGATATGGAGAGAATATCGAGCAAGACAAGAACGAGGACATTCGATCCTGCCGCCCGCATTCCGCCTACAGCGCATCTACATGGAACGAGACAGCGCTGTGTTCGCCATAGGAGAAAGTCAAGCCAAGCTAATCCGCAAGACTTCAGTTCCAAACGCGACTTCTTCGAGAAAGGGCGAAATGGTGGGTGCTTTCATAGAGCTCTCTCTTGTGAGTGTCGCAGACACAGTGCTGATGATGTTGCAGCTCCGAAACACAACGATGCATGTCCTGACTGCGTCGCTGAGCTTGGCATCCGACGCCGTGAGATAACGCAAGCCGCGCCTGCTGAGATTGCTTTGTCTTTCAGAAGGTCGAACAGCAAGTTGGAGCAAGAAAGGCTCCTCTTCGGCTCTATATCTCCAGAGCCGATCATCAAGCCTCAACCAAAAGAAGTCTTCCCACACTTCGGTCGCGACGAGCCTATTGAAACAGTCGCGAAGCAGATGTCTCCTAGAAATTCTCCCGATACTACAGTCGCCACCTCGCTGGAAGTTCACCCACTAGTATCTGAGTCTTCTGATTCTGATGATGCCGACGAGTCACCAAGAAATGTACACTTCCGCAATCCGGTCAGCCCAGCCTCAAATGATGAAGGTCACGAGCTAAACTACGAAGACGATGGAGATGATGGAGGCGCGCTCATCACCACTTCTGATCTTGGCGATGGACTTGACGCCGTGATCCTCGAGCGTGGAGGTCGTCTGGAGCGTATCATCATGAACGAGAGAAATGGAACGCCAACTACAAAGACAATTGCCAGGATCTCACGCGAACTATATCAGATCTCGACCTCGCTTGCTACGACAGATCTAAGGCAGCGCATCTCAACAGATGGAACAGATTCATTGAGCGGCGATAGAACTATAGTGCTTGACACAAATCACAACAGTTCTCTCTCGGAGATCCTGGACGCCATCGACAACGCCACGCCTAGTTTCGCAATCATGCGAACCGACTCAGTTCGTATCCATACAAGCAGTCCAAGCGTGGAGCCAGTCAGTGCAGTTCGCGACTTCGCTTTCACGGATCACGAGCCACCGATGTTTGTTGAGGAGCGACCACTTTCTACTCCAGGTCAGCGCGTCGTTAATCTGCAGCGCATCGATGCAGACTACTTCCAGCTACACAAACAGTTCGGCAACAACGGTGCGGCAATGCATGACCTGGCCAAAGCAGATCATGGAGCACAAGGAAGGCTTGAAGCCAGAGCGGCTAGTTGGCTACTTTCGCGGACCACACCGCTCGGAGCTGGTGAGGATCCTTTAGCAAAATATGTGGCGACCGTGGATGCGTCAATGCTAGAGCCAACAAGTGCGAAGAAGCGGCCGAACTTTGGATCAGAGGATGTCGCTGTCAGGATTCACAGTCCAGCTATACCGGCAAAACGCAAGGACAAATTGCATGACTACCAAGCCGCCGTCCTACCTTCTCATATCCTCACCTCAGAAGACCTATCACCTCAACCTCCAACACCAACCTTCGCGTTGCCCGGTGGTGGTCTCAAAATCCCACACCCTTCTCCCACATTCTTCACGACTTCAACGTGTCCTTCCCTAGACAATAGTCCTACCAACCTCTCAAGCGTCAAGGATATCCCATCAACAATGGCTCGTGACAAGAACGCCGAACGAGAAGAAATGCCTTTCGCTTCTGATTTGTGGAAGTACTTTGCGACTACATCGAAACCTAATGACTCGAATTCCGCGATCAGAACGGCCATGCGTATGGATCGGGGTGATGCTGTTCAGCAGGCTGCGGCTATTGAGAGAGAGGTTAGAAGGAGGAAGATCAGAAGATCATGACTGGAGAAGCGAAGAGAGCGGTTGGTTAGTCTTGATTGGGAATAATACTCTTGTGGGAGACAAGTGTTGACACTCCTATTTTGGCTTCTGATCGTGAATTGGATGCTATCAAGGCGCTTTGGCATGGCAGCAGAGATGAAACAGTACCTAGGCAGACTATTAAGATTCTTTTGAGATCTCAAGAGGTTGTGTCATGGGTGTGAGATTCACGTCATCAAATCGCCACAATCTCCATGGCCGACAGTGGTTCCACGTCCTTGAGAGTTGGCCATCAAGAGAGGCTCTGAGTTTGACGACGAAGAGGAGTCAGCACTTGCAACCAATTATATTCCTTCCTAACGTCAACAAATTCTGTCAAAAGTTTGAAGAGCACGGTTGTAATTGCAACAGAACAACATACTGTAGAGTAGGAACTTAGGCTAGAGCCAAGTCAAACCCTGTCTACCCTAAGGCACCAAGGCCCTGGCTTCACTCGAGCCGGTCACATGCCTTTCACATGCCCCCTGGCTACCTAGAAGTCCCGATCCACTCCGAAAGAATCTATTGGTCCTGCAACAAAATTTACAGCCATCTTGTCTGGCTCGGCCTCTCATTTGGCCTTTCTACAGCCACTGTCGGGATGAAGCCCGCAGGTAGCAAGTGAGGAGGAGCCGGGGCCGGGGGACTTTACAAGCTAGTAGAGAATCAGTGTGATGGCGGGACTGTAATATTAATAAGAGAACTGACCTGCGTACCACCATCTTTTCTGGCTCGGCGTCACGTTTAACCTTCTCCCCAGATTGCGGGCGGGGCCTTAAAACATCTAGCTATTGGAGAATCAGTCTGATGGCGGTATTGTAATAATAATAATGAGATGAATCATCTGCTTACTACTGCATTTCGTGGCTCGGCGTCACGTTTAACCTTCTCCCCAGATTGCGGGCGGGGCCTTAAAACATCTAGCTATTGGAGAATCAGTCTGATGGCGGTATTGTAATAATAATGAGATGAATCATCTGCTTACTACTGCATTTCGTGGCTCGGCATCTCGTTTTGCTTTTTTGCAGCCACTCCACTGTCCAGTACCGCAGACAGCAACACTAACCCCGCCGGTGTTTGCGATCTATCAGAGCTGTAAATCAGTCTGATGGTCGGAATGATGAGTAACGATGATAAATTGATAATGATGATGATGATGATGATGACGAGTCAAATATCCTACTTACCATCGTCGTAGGAGCAGCAAGACCTTGGGTCGCAAAGAGGGCCAGGGCGGCCAAGATAATGGTCTTCATTGCGTCGTTCGAAGTGGAGCCCAGCGGTTGGTTGCTTGAATTATTTTCGAGATTCGACAGTGTTCTGGCGGCCTTATATGCTGTTCGGATGGCCTTCTACTGATGTTTTGACCGGGCGTGGCCAGGGCTGTGAAACGGCGAGAAACGCAAGATTTGTGGCGCCATTCGCACTAAATGTCGGAAAGCGATCACGCCCGGTACAGGCTGAGGGATTGACACCAGGGCAAGATCGGAATGAGCCAGACATGGCGTGTTTTGGGATCGCTGGGTCCGAGCCAAATTGGATAGCAAAGATGTGCGGACAAGATGGTACCGTCTGTGCAAAGGTTCTGTCGGAAGGCACCGATGCAGCATCACAGCATGCAAAATCTTCAGTTGTGCCTTGAAAGCCATTCCATCGACTGATCACGGAGCATTGACATCCTGATGTGAGGAAGCCGCTTCCAATTGTCTGTCATGCCATCAGAAATCAAGCCACGGGTCACATTGGAAGACCTGTAGTGTACGCACGTGCTGACGGCTCATCGACCTGGTCTCTTGGACTTTGTTTCCCGGATACGCCGATGCAAGCAAAGGCGGTCTCGAAGTCCCGTGTAACGATAGGTCATTGGATTAGTCTTGGCTGCTTTGTGGTTACCCTCGCCAAGACGATCTGATGTCTCTTGATTGCAGGGTGTCATGATTAGAATATGTCAGGGATCTCGGGAACAGCGGTGCGCTGAGACAATGCATCTGGATGGGCCCATCCGGTAAAAATCTATCTGTGTCTGCCTAACTGTCTATGGATATTTGCCAATTTGATTGGTTCTGGTATTGTCCTAGCCTCTACTTTCTGGTAACGGCTCCCCTTCTTATAGAGATATAGCTTGTGTCTAGATAGATAAAGTCGATTTGAATGCTATTTTTATTTATATATTTTGTTGTATTTAGTATGTATTCTAGCTCTGTTTGCTAAGCGAACTTTTCTAGTAATAGAACTAGATGGCTAGAATACTCGTTTGTAACTCTAGCAAAATATAAAATCTGCATTTAACATATAGGCAACGCTAGACATTTTTTCTTTTTTGTATAGCACACATATATAAACTTTTGTAAATTTAATTCTGGCAGATCTCGAGCTGTGTTGTAGTTGATACAGTGATGTAAGAAATAGAACTATATATTAGACAGAGAGAATGTCTATAGTTTCAAGCTAGCGTTAGCCCTATAACCACTTGTTAGCTACGACTGAAAACCAATTTACCTAAAGAAAAGGTTAGGAATAAAATCAAAAAGCGTAAAAAGAGTAATTAAAACTTACATGTTCTCGTGGAACCAGTTCAAAAGCAGGTTATAAGCCTTCTCATAATCCGCCTTGACAGCAGGATCCTTCAGATCGGCTCGTGCAGCCATGAAGCCATGTGCTTGGTTTGGCCACCACTGAACAATGTTCTTGACCTTGATAGCATTCTGCCACTTCTCCACATCTTCCTTCGGCTCATCCTTGGAAGGAAGCATGGCGAATGGAATTGTGATATTCGGGGCGTCGTTTGCGTCGACCATTGCTGGATGGCAGGCTGCTGCGGCCTTGAATGGTGTGCCCTTTTGTGAAGACAGGTTGGCGATCTTGCCGCCCCAGCAGTAGCCTAGAATGCCCCAGTCTTGGATAGCGGAGCGTTGCGACATGATTTCTGAGAGGACTTTGGGGATGCGCTCGAGGGTCTTTGGTGGTGCGCCTTTGATCTGAAAGAATTGTTAGAGGTCCATCTGAAGCGGACATCGTGAACTGAGGACGTACCTTAAGGAACTCTCGCAATTTCTTGCCCTTTTCTTCGGTGTCTGGTGGGTACCAGCTGTGATCTGCCGGTGATCCCTCGAAGAAATCTGCAGTTCGTCAGCGCCGAAACTGTGATTGGAAACTCCTCTATATTCTGACCTGGCATGAACACCTGGTATGGTCGCTCCTTGTCCCCGTGCGCAAGAATGTCGGCACCCTGGAGCGTCTGTGGGAAGAAACCGAAAATATCGTAGACGACCAGGAGAGCTTGCTTCGCATCCTTTGGTCCAGTTGCATATGTCTTCATGCCATCAATAGTGATCCACTCGCCCGTCTCTTTGTAGCCATCGGACACGATTGGAGGCACAGTGCAGCAACTAACAGTATGATCAGGCTCAGAGTCGCGCGCAGTGCTGCAGAAGATGGACAAGACTTACGCATGCGAGTGAGACATGTTTGCGTATGTTCGGATTCGTGTGATTGGTGGTGTGGTACAGTGTCTTGGAGTTGTAAAAGAGACAGCTTTTGAGAGTTGTGGTCGGGAAAGACTTCTACCCGCGGTGAAAGTGGTAGTAGGTCGAAGAAACATTTTTGGCTCGCAAGTGGGGTCGACGATGACATCCGAGGGGCAGGGCAGGCACAATGCAAATCTGGCGGTAGTACAAACGCTCGGTGACCTCTCACATGCCCTGCGCTATTCCGCTGTTCCTGGAATCTCAAATACTCTGCGTTGGGGAACCACGTGGGTGGGAATGTAGACTGTTGTTGATGACAGTGATGGTCCTTGGCTGTCAGAGAATCAGCAGCAAGACATTGACGGCCGGGCTCAGGTCCCTGTGATACCCGCCAATTGAAGGTGTTTAGAGCGACATCACTTGAAGATTGCCCGCAGAGCAGAGGAACATTTTGCATCTCATTCCTCTCAAATAAGCTCATGCGCGAAGCTAGTGTACAAGTGGAACGCAAGTGTCATCAATCCGGTCATTACATCCCAAACAGCGCTCATCAACTCCGAATCCATCTCATGCCTGGTGACTATGCTGTTCCGTTCCATCCCTAGAAGCTGCACTCTGTGTGCGAAGGAAAATGATCCATCAAGCTGGACCGAAAAGCTAGTCGGCTTAAAACATTGTACCGAAGTTCTCGTTGATGTCTGATAACGGTTTGCGCGGGCTCGAAGGGGCACCGTTGTCGTCGGTGGCTGGCTTGCGATGTCTAGAGCGGTGTAAGCGTTTCTGTTTGTGCGGATGGTCTGTGGGGCAACATACCTGAACGTGAAACCAACAAACAGTGACCGACCCATCTCGCCACCACGGTCGGCCATGCGCTCCAGTGCCTCCTGTTTCTCAAGCACCTCTTTGTATTTGGCCATGTCTTTCTCACTGCCGAAGTCATCAAAGTACCCAGCATCTGTTTCGGAGTCGAGCTCTGGCACGAATGGTGCACGGTCTTGTCTGATGCGATCCCAAGTGACTTCGCGGAAGTAGTCGTGTGCCTGGACCTGCTTGATGCCGCGCAGCCGGTTCTGCTTGACAGCAATAAGTCGTGTGATGAGATCCCACGTCCGGCGAGAGAGGAAGTAGTTTGGATCTTCATACTCTGGCTTGCGCAAGACGTGCTGCCAGCGCTTCAGATTCTGCCATGTCTCATCGACAGAAGCACCTGCGAATGGCGGATAGCCAGCGAGAGCCTCGAAGAGCATGCAGCCGAGTGACCAGTAATCGACAGTGAAGTCGTATTCCTCGCCCTTGAGAACTTCCGGCGCCATATAATCAGGCGAGCCGACGATAGACTTGGCATAGTTGACATCACGCTCACGCAGAGATCGGTATCCTTCTCGGCGCTCCTTGAGGGAACGCTCTTCCATGGGTCGACCGAATGGAATGGCATGAGCTGGAATATTTCCAGCTTCCTCCAGGCGGACACGCATGCTCTCGATTTTCGCGGGCGCGAGAAACCCAGCCGCAAGTCCGAAGTCAGTAAGCTTCACGTGTCCAGTGCCGTCGATAAGAAAATTCTCTGGCTTCAGATCCCGATGAATGTAGCCCAGCTGATGCAGGGCATCAACGCACAAGAACATCTCAGATATGTAGAATCGAGCGTGACGATTGTGCAGTACTCCAGTATTGTTCAGGAGAGTCCGGAAGTCTCCACCTGGAACATACTCCATGGCAAGGTATATGCTGCTGTCGTCTTGGAAGGCGTACAGGAGACGGGTAAGCCACTCGCTTTTGGCGTTGGTGAGAATATCTCGCTCAGTAAGAACGTGTCTGACTTCATCAAGCTTGTGCAGCAATTTCTTGCTCATGACTTTGAGGGCGCAAATCTCGCGAGTGTCCTTCTTCGATGCCAAGTAGACTTGTCCATAGCCACCTTGTCCGATCTGCGTAAGAATTTGAAAGTCGCCATGTCGTAGACGAGTGCGTCGCTGCCGGAGATTTGCGCGCTCGTGCCCAAGATACTGTGTCCACAGCTGATTGTAGCTGTCGACTTCTGCTGCGGCCATTGACGGAGTGGGCGAGGGATTGTGTGACTTGAATGCCTGGAGTCGTTTCTGTCGATTGTGGATGTACGAGAGAAGATCGTAGTAGTAGTCCAAAAAGTATAGCTGGGTCACGTTTGCCAATCTCTTAACACTCGGCTTTTGTAACTTCTCCACGTCTTCAGCAGTCAAACCTCCTGTTGCGATCTTGCTCTGACGGGTGGGCGAATGGTCCTCGCGTTGTCTATAAGGCTCCTGTCTGCTAGCAGCAGCCTGATTGATGAAACTCTGCGTCTGCTGTACTTGAGGGCGATGTGCGGGCGGAGTGTTCTCCTTGCCTGATTTCCTGGTTGGACTGCCTGGTGCTCCGGCTTTGGCGTCTTGAGCTGCAAACGGATCATAGTCAGCCTTGTTCGGTGTTGCGGTCCCTTGTTGCTTGGTATGGAGGGCGGAGTGAATGGGCTGTCCCTGTGTAGGCATGAGTTTCATGGCGTTGGAAAAAACATTGGGCAAGTCAAAGGCACCCGGCGGCATCTTGTTCTTGCTGGGACTGCCGTGGGGCGTGTGAGGTGGTGAGATGTATGCGGCATCGCGTTGGCCACCTGGAGTGCCTGGTGCGTCGTGCATATCGTTTGTCGAGCGAGTGTGTAGCAGTGGCGGAGGAATTGGCAGCGCGAACTCGTGAGGCGTGCCGGACGCCATCTTGTTTGGTTGGTCGTGCAAGGTCGGGCTGCGTAGCGTACGTAGCGGAGCGGAGCTTCGAGTTCAACCTGGTGCCTTAGAAGCTGCGATGGAAGTGCCTCGACGCTGCGGCAGCAGCTACAAAGGCAGCAGGGCAAACCTCAGTGATGTATGTGGTTGTGCGCTCAACAAGGAGAAGTTGCAGTTGACGCGTAAATTTGGATGCGGCTCTGCGGAATCTCAAACACGGAGACGTCTCCAGGTCAACGAACCAAGCTCCAAAGCTCCAGCCTCCACGTCGATCCATCTCGAACCTCACCAACATCATTCCTACATCTGCTGTGCTATTCCAGCTTTCCCATCAAGTCGACCTCCACGACATCAGACCGCACGAATTTTCGATCCCAGCCTGGCAAAGACGCCGAGATGTGATGCAGACCAAACATGACAGTGTCTTCCCCAGCAGGAGTCGTCTGCGAAAGGACTGAAGGCAAGAGTCGCACTCAGGTCTTTGGCCGTGACGTGTGACACCGGATATCACGAGCGCCTCCCATCCATAACTTTGACTGACGCAGAGACCGGCTTGCCCAGCCTGGTCCCGAATGAGCATCTCGCACCGCTACGGGAGCCTTACGCCGGCCTCAGACCATGACGTATGCTACGCTTCCGCTTCGCGAGCTTACATCTCGCCATGGCAGCCGTGAGCGGTGGGTAAGTGGTGAGCTTCCCTTTCCTCGTCACTAGCCACGTCTCAGTCAATTCGTGGTTGTACGACTCATCTATGGCAAAAGCTCGTTTCTCGCCGGCATTTGAGGATGATTTGGTGTTTGATCCCGACTGGACTGCGACCGGCTCAACCGACTACTTACTGGTCGAGAGACCAGGCCATGAGCCTGTCCCCCACTGCGTCCGGCGGCATTAGTGTGGAAGCCAGCGATGCTTGCTACGCTCGGCCGATCTAGAAATACTCGATTTCGTATACCGCCCGGCATTACACGCGTAAGACAGTGAGAAGCCGAGCGCCTACATCCGAACCAACGCCTCTCAAAGGCCATCGAGTATGTCAGGACGGATGCAAGCTGAAACATCTAGCTACTATGGCGCCGGTGTCTAGCGGCCTCGGCTCCGTCAAGAGCAACCATTCAAGAGCAGCAACTTTTAGAGAGATTGTCAAGAGAGTGGGTGGTTTGACTGGACCACAACCTCGTCAAGACTTGCTTTGAGTCTTGGTTGAGAAGCTCCGAAGGGTGAAGCCCAGCGCGCAATGGCATGGTTGGAAAGCAGCTAAGACACGAGGCCGCCGGTGGCCGTCGAAACTTTATCGATACAGCAACCGTGATGCAGTGCGCTCAGAATATTGTTCTTGCCAACCATCAGTGTCAGGTTGCCAGATACGGATACTCGGTCGATATCCTGAAACGAGGTAGCATTGCTCGGACCCAGCCATAATTTTGGTTGGAACCTCGATGCTTATGGTACCTCATCTTCATATGCACCGATCATTGAACAAGCAGGACAAGAGTCAGGGCTGTAAATCTGCATATGTTCATGACCAGCACGAATTAATTGCATGGTTGTGTTCTGCTGAAGACCGCGAAGGCACCGAGCATTGCATCGCTACCTCGGCCTGACCTTCACAGATGCATTCGCAGCCAATAGATCAAGATGCTTCCCTGGTGCAATGTTTCGCCCTGATCGGTACAAGATCAAGGTACCGTTATCACTTTGCTCTGGCCTCAGATACAGGTAGGGCGAGCTCACAGCCCTATCGTGCTTCCATGCCAAGTCACTCTGGGGTACTTGTCTCTACCGCGGAGTGGCACCGCTATGGAGAGATACAACACGTTTTGTAGATACCAAGTCCAAGATAAGCCTGATCAGTCCTTTCACCCGTTTACGATAGGCAGGCACCAGGAACACTCGCACCACGAGGACAAAAGCGCAGGGTTCGGACATTCGTCTTATGTCGTGCAGAAGGCGTCAATTGTGCATGGACACATTCCCCATTCGTTGGTGCCCATGGCGTGCCTTATCGCCATCATGGTGAAAGATACGTGATAGAAGATACGAAAAGTACAAGTATAAGCTTCTGTTCTCTTCTTCTTCGAGTCTCTACTCTCATTCGCACCATGGCCTTTCTCAACCCGACCGATCTCACGTGATCGTACGCGACTTTGACCAAGACATCACGACCCGTATGAGCAAGGGACTCCGCCGCTGGCTTATCTCGACCGTCGAAGGTGGTCTCCCGCCTCGCCTCACGACTTTCCGATGGACAGCAGAGGGTGAAAGCTTGGGAGCTGCTTGCACTCTGAGGTCACGGACTCACGGCCTTGCTACCTCATTCGGGAAACCCGAGCACATGATAGACCGGCAGATGCCGGCAATCGCGCTACAGCTTCTTCAATAATCTTCACAGCCCACCGTCCCAACTCTCAACGGTGACGCGCTCGCGTGGCCTGAGGAGTAGTAGTACCTAGGTCCTCCGTAGCCTGGAGCTACATGCAGCTTGACGTACAGGGAGGGCGACAACCCGCCGTGCGCATCGCGTCTGTGGGACATGCGTCCGTCTCACATCTTTCCTTCAGATTCTCATGCCCGGAAATCACCTGCTGGAGTGATGAGAAAGAGGGAGGATGTCAGCCTATATGTCGGACTTTTCCACGAAGCGAGGTGCACGAGACGAGACAGGAACTCATCCCACGCAATTCATCTGCCAGCGGCATACGAAGGAATCCTGGCTCGTTCTCCACTCTCAACTTCTCAAGATCTGAGTTTGAGTTTGCGCCCGCCGAATCCAATTCACACTGGCACTGCTCGAATACAACACCTTCATCACGCATCGGAAGGCTATCAGATTTTCCCCATTTTTGGCTAGCAAGGGTTTCAACCAATTGAATTCTCGGCTTGGCTGTTAAGCGCAAAGGTCATAGCCCTCCGATGCGCGAAGGCGCTGTAACAATTGGGCAAGACGCATGTGACAGTGCAGTGCTGACATACAGAGGCATGGCGAGAGGTTCCACAATCGTCTGATGAGGGTGTCGTACGCCCGGTGATATAGGAATTTGGCTTATGGCCGGCGAACGGTTGAGGGTCAGTATTGCGGGCAAGAGATCCACAGTCCGCATCTCATCAAGAGTAATGATGAGCGCGCGAGACAGCTTCGGTACGAGGTCTCGGATCAAGTCTATGAACCGCCGGCATGGCTCCGGCGCTTCTGGAACGCCTGAAATGCTGGTCATTATTTCCTGCTTGCGCCAACAGACGAGGCCACTCGACTTTTCGCCACAACGGACACCAATGCAGGTGAGAAATATGGAGAATAGTGGTAGGAGCAGAGACCCTGAATTCGTTGCGACAACGCAGAGTACATAGGTACTCCATATTTTCTGCTAAAAGGGAAGGCTGTTGGTGTGTCAAAGCATTATTAAGAAGACTCAAAATACAGGTATTCTTGTATGTCAGGAAATTTAGCGTACTACTGTTTGCAACAGTGGTTTACTTCCGGAGGGCGTTATCTACTAACTTAGTATAGTTTGCCTAGTAATCGACGGTGCTTTTCCTATTCTAGTACCGTATTAACTTTCTCGGTTATACTTCTAGTTCTAACCTTATCTCTATGCCCCTTTCTTATATATAGATCTAGCTCTTTCTATAATAGCTTAAATAGTACTTTCTAGTTGTTATTATTATCGCTATACTACCTATCTTATCTAAACTAGTGCCGCCGTTTAGGCCTAATCGTATACTATATAATATAATCGATATCTAAGAGTAGCTATTTAATATACCGTAGGGGTTAACGTACGAGCCTAAGCGCTTCGAGGTACTAAAGGCTTATATTAGTAACGTATATAAGGAGTCTCGGTCGTCGAGAACGAAGAATAGCTTCGAGTAGCGATTATACTAGTATTACCGTTATAGGCGCGATTAGTAGTAGAATAGGGTACTCTCGAAGGGCATTCGTAAGGCTAAATATAATAAAGAGCCGTATAACGCTATAATCGTAGTTATATCGCATTTCCGAAGCAAGGAAGAGTCTAATTTATACTAGATTAGTATCTGCTATTACTAAGTCGACCCTTCTATAGTAGAGGATAACCTATACTATTATAATCTAAAATATATAAATATTAGGTTAGCTAACAACGCGCTAAGGGTATTCCTCGAGGAGTTAATAGAATAGCGTAAATTTAACGTCGCTAAGGTGCTAGACTTTATTAAAAATAGCTTATTAAAGGACGAGTTTAGTAAGATTAGCAGATAGTATATAAAGGTTAGTACTATCGCCTAGTCGAAGATTAGGCCTAACCTAAAGAAGGTACGTAGTGCTAAGCGTAGAAATGCGACTATTTAGCTAGACGACCTTCCTACTATACTTAAAGGCCTTTATAATAATATAGATAGCAAAGAGCTCTAATACTAGGCGATTTCTAAGAGACTAAAGGGCAAGATAGAGCGTAGTATCGTCTTCTAAACCGACTAGTAGCGAGTGTTATTAAACAGTAAGGCAGGAGATATAAGTGCAGCTATTGTTATTAGTAGTACTATTGCTATAGAAGGTAGGCGTATAACTAAGCTTACGAGCTTGCGTTCTATTATTCTAACTACTAACTTTAAAAATTTAAAATATTACCAACTTATATATAATATAGTTGTTCTTGCTAGACGCAACTTATAAGACTACCGACCTTAGCTAGAGCCTTTTTACTATATATGTTCGCAATAGGTTAGGGTGTTAGTTGCTAGTAGGATATATGCTACTCGAATCTTAGAAAGCTAAGCTAGTAGAAGCCGGACTTCGAGTTATTAAATCGTAGTTACCGCACTAGAAGGCTATTATAGCTATAACCGACGACTCGGCCTTAGAATAGGCGGCTATTAATCTCTCCTTTAAAGAGCGACCTGTACTTATTTATCTCTGCTAGCGCTACGTTAAGGAGACCTTCCTTCGCTCGTTTCTAGAAGCCTATTATCCTAAGATTGTAAAGCGATTCTACTACGCAATCTACTATGCCTATAGCGTAGGAGAGGTTACTATCGATATAAATTAGATATAGGAGTAGTTAGGAGAGAAGAAGCCTATAGACTAGCAGAACAAGGTCTAATATATACGCTATAATTAGACTAGCGAGACGTTACGGAAATAGGCTACTTAGGCACGGCTCTATAGTCTATTATTGCTACAAATAAGAACAACTTTGCCTCTCGAGGGTTACTACTATACTATTAAGTATAACCGCAATAAGCGGAACCTCGTATTCTACAACCTATATAGTACAATTCTCGAGGTTCTTAAGGTAGACGATAGGCTAGTATATAAGGCACAACTAGCTAGCTATAGGGTTAGCAAAGGCATACAATATTAGTACTAAAAGGGCCTTCTAAGCTTCGAGTCTCTATAACTACCGGCCGCTTAAGATCGCCTTCGAGAATAGGTAGATATTGCTATTAAATTAGAAGCTAAGGCAGCGCATATATATAAGGGCATACTACGCAGTTATAACTATATAACTCCGGCTCGCTACAACTACCTCGCATAGTTTTAAACCCGCCTACCTTATTACTATATTCTACGAGACTACCTATTTAATAGACTAGAAATTAGTAAGCTATAACAGCGACGATATATCGAGCTGTTTCTAGGCCTTAACGTTATATTTGCTTACGAATACTAGCGCGTTCTCGATACTTAGCAACTCGTAATCGAAGGTTACGAAGAAGACGCCGTTTCCTTAGTATAAATACCTTAATTAAGAGACCTTCGAGGCTACTTTAAGGAGGCCGTAGAAACACTAAATCTAAAGTATTAGCGGATAAAGGACGACCCTTCTATTAACCCTTCTATTAAGGACTTATTCTATGCCTTCTACGTGCGGAAGGTAAAGGACTTCTTAGACAGTTGCTATGCACTAAATATTAACTAGTTTATCGCTAACCTATAAGAGGTCCTATTTATAGGTAAAACCGAGCGACAGTAGACAACTTAGCTACCTTCTAAACTAGCGACACTAACTCGCTCTCGATTGCTACTAACAACACTAGAAACGTACTATATCTATACTAATATAACCCTCCGACTGTTACCTTTAAAACGCCGCGTTTAGTCGTTACCTACTCGATAACCTATATTCTTATTACCTCCGCTAGGTAACCTTACTCCGAGGCTATTTCCGCGCCTTCTACCTCTTCTACTATATATACCGCGCCGCGAGACAATATTAGATATATAGTCCTTATAACCGCTCGATATAGACGATATTAAAGAGGTAGATTTAATAGGGGATATAACAGTGCGAGGTCTACCTACGCCGCTAGACCTTCGCTATTTAACTAACTACTAGTATTAGGGTAAGCTATTATAGGTCTATATATACGGTATTTAAGAGGTTAACGGCTACGCTATAGACGACTATTACTTCGCCGATAAAGGCCTCTCTTCCCCCTTTAAGCTTCTTATCTTCTATAACGTAGACGACGACCTTATTAAGACAATAATAGACTATATAAAGGAAGACGATATCGAGCGAGCCGCTAGGCGATTAACTAGCTAGATAATAGACAACTCGGACGACGACGCTACTAATAACTTACCTAGTAACGAGCGAGTTAGACGAGAAATAAGAGGTATAAGGACATATAGTAACCGCTAGTTAACCGCTAGTAGTAAGGCGACAATAACTCGTATAAGACTACGTAATATATAATAACGAGGCCGAAGAGATAGTAACTAGCGAGGGCAAGCCTTCTACTATAGTCGTAGAAGGAGGTAATTTTATAGCGATTCTATAGCAATAATAGTATATTTAATCTTAGTCTATATAATAGTCTTATCTACTACAAAATAGCCGCTTCTATAATAGTCTCTTCTACTGCAAAATAGCTGCTTCTATAATAGTCTCTTCTACTGTAAAATAGCTACTTCTTATAGCCGATAGGCTCGAGAGAGGCGCCCTTCTTAACCTAAATCGTTACTAACCCGAGTAGTTCTAAACGCTACTAAATTAGAGGATTGCGGGTAGCTTATTACCTAGTAATTACTAGTAAAAGACTGTGTCTATAACTCCGCTCTAGGTTTAGCTAAAACTTACTAAATTTCCTAACATGTAGTAGTAATCCAAAATATAGCAAACGTATAATAATGATTAGCGTCGTCTTTATTAGCGGCTAGCGAGTCGCAAGCTAGAGATTTAGGTATTACTGTTTAGTTATACTAGGATCGCATCTATTACGTCGGTAAAAACTCGGGTACTAAAGGATACCTAGCAGCCGCAGTCGTATATAAGCAAGGCGAATTAATTATATTATTAATGCAGGTAAACGTTTCTCCTTTCGTAGAGATTCGTTGCTAGACGGTACATTATTATTAATACTCGGTTAGCTGCAGTAATCGAAAAGGTTAACTTGCGTAGTTAGAATTTGCCTAACGTCCCGTTTCCTTAACGTAACGCTTCTACTACGCAACTTGGCAGGTACATTATCGATGAGTGCTAAAAGCCGTAGCTATAGAACTTAGAGTGTGTATCTAGGTGTTAGGGTCTATTACGTGCCTAATGCCTAAGGCTATAACTGCCGCACTTTATCTTTAGACTTTCCGTAGATAGTCCTTCTTCTAAATACATTAGTTACATTAAGTAGTTATAAGCCCCCTGCGTTTCTAACGCATATAACACGTATTCTAATAGTTACTCCGATAGCTGCGTAGCTAGCGCTCGTTACCAAAAATTACGCCGATACTAATACCGTCGCCGCCGCCGCCCTCGAGTATTCTAGTAGGTACTAGACTCGAGTCGGTCACTATTAGTATTAGCTGTCCGCTACACCCGTTCCTAATATTAGTGTTAGCTGTCCGCTATACTAAAATATAGGCGCGCCTATCGGCCGCCCCTTAAGACAAATCTATAGTCTCTTTCTATATCGCCTTCGCTATCCGTAATAGCTCCCCCTACAACTACTAACGCTTATATAAGCAACATCCCTAAGCTAAAGAACAAGGAGAATTATCTAGTATAGGCCTATGCCGCTAAGGGTGCCCTTAAAGGTATGTCGGTATAGCGCTATATATAAGGCACCCGCTAGCGTAGACCCCGCAGTAGTTCGGTTTCCGAACTACTAAACGTATATAGTTTGGTTTCTTAGCGGCGAACTAGCTCCCTGGTTCCGGTTTGGTTTTTTCGAACTATATAGATTCCTAGTTTGAACTAGAGACTGTATTAGTTTTACTATAAGGACACTCTTATTCGACTACCGGCTACGATTGCCGGCTATAATAGTAACTCTGTTACATTTACTACGCTCTTTTGCCGTTACTAGGGCGTAGTTGCCGTTGCTAGGGCGTAGTTGCCGTTACTAGGGCGTGGTTTTGCTATAAGGACACTCTTATTCGACTACCGGCTACGATTGCCGGCTATAATAGTTACTAGGTTGTATTTACTACGCTTTATTACCGTTGCTAGGGCGTAGTTGCCGTTGCTAGGGCGTAGTTGCCGTTACTAGGGCGTAGTTGCTATTGCCGGGGCGTAGTTACTATAGTTGCGAAAGCTTACCTATATAACGTTACGTAGGCGGCAACAATTAGGGCTTTGCGATATTCTTATACTTTTAACTTCTTCCTCTATACCTATACCGACAATAACTACTATACGCTACGCCCCCGCCCCTTTCCCTTACAATAGTAAGAGAGAAGCGCGCCGCGCGCTAAACAGAAGATAGAACTAAAGACCGCGAGTTTGTTTTGCCTAAGCGTCTAACTAAAAAGCGTAAGACTAAAGAGGAGTACTCTACGAAGAAGAATTCCGTATAAGACCGCGAGAGAAAGGACAAGATAGATAAGGATAAAAGAGCTAAGGATAAGAGAAGAAAGGCGCGGAATAAGGCATTCTATCGATAGCTAGCGCCTATAGAAAAAAGTAAAGGTTAGAATAAGAAGACAACCTAAGAGAAGGCTAAGAGGAGGAAAGAATTGCGGCTAGTTTTCGAGCGTAAAGTTCTAGCAGCGTAAGTCAATCTAGCTAGCGGCCGTAGCTAGTAGCTATAGCCGGCAGCCGTAGCCGGCAGCTATAGCCGGTATATTTTTCTTTAATACGTTAACTAATAGCATTTAGACCTATAGCCGCTATCTCTATCGATACGACCGATAGTAACGGAGATGTTCAGATAGCCGAGAACAACAATGCTAGAGTTTAGGATGCCGCGATAGAGCTTAATACTGCGAATAAAGGAACTAAAAAAAGCGAGGAGATACTATACGTCGATCTAGTAACAGGTACAGTCTTAGGGCCTAACGCTATAGACGATAAGCGCTAGGAGTAGATCGAGTATAGTCAAAGAGACGAGATACTAGTAAAGGGCTAAGGCATAAGTCCTATCAATCTAGAAAATTATAGTTAAAGCTACTACGAAAAGCTAGTAAGGATTAGAATCGAGACTAGTCGTCTTTATATCCTCGATATAGAGTAGAAGTTTCTTTATTAGTATTAGAGCGAAGCCTTTACGTCTATAAAGGCAAAGTAGCTTGCGATTAATGCGATCGGGGCTAGGTATCTAGGGACGGTAGAAGTGTTACTATAGGAGGAAGGGGTATAGGTAATTATTCTATACTCGGCATATATAGCCGGCGTTCGTAGCCGGCAGATACTAACAGTTAAATAGAAAGCGTTTCTCGAAGGCAGAGTGCTACTACTATATAAAATCTTTACTAAGGCAGAGAGGGCTTATATCCGGAATCTAAGCTACTAGTAGGATAGGTTAGCGTTAGAATTCTCTAAATCTCTATATAAGCCTCCGAAGGATTACCTATTTTAGCGATACGGCTTTATCTCGACTACTCCGTAGGCATCCGAAGAAGCTCGAGCGCTCTTTAAGGTCTTTACTAAGAAGCGGAAGGAGTTCGAGGATTAGGATTAGTTAATAGAGCTATTAGTTAGTCTTAGGTTTCGTAGTTAGACTCGGCCTAAGCATTTGCTTATCGAGTGTCTTATACCGAAAGAGGATAGATTAAGACTAAAAACGAGCTTAGATTCGTTAGGTATAGTAGCTCGGTTCCGTTAGTAGGAGAGAGCCGCCGTATAGAAGGCAAAATTCAGGTAGTTAGGGTAGCTAGGAAAGAAATTCTAGTAGTTAGGCTAGCTAGGGTAGCTAGGAAAAAAAATCTAGTAGTTAGGTAGCTAGGAAACAAAAAAAAAAGGTAGCTAGCTATTTACTGCCTAGCTGTTCCTAACGATACGATGCTATAAAAGAAAGGGTGTTTCTCTACAGCTACTAGTATACATCTACTACTCCTAAGTCCTTACTACTTAATGTAAACTGTGATGTATTCAGAAGAGGGCTAATCTATAGGAAGCCTAAAGATGAAGTGCGTAGTTTTAGCCTTAGGCATTATGCACGTGATACCACACACACTACACACTTCAAGTTACCCCCTTATCGCGTACATATAGCTAAACAAAGCAAATAAAGGGGTATTAGGTGTAGAAACAACTAGACCACTTTTAGGCTATTATAACAAAGCAATCTAACAAACAAACAAACATGTCGCCGACCTTTAACTTAATATAAACTATAATGTATTTAGAAGAGGGCTAATCTATAGGAAGCCTAAAGATAAAGTGCGCAGTTTCAGCCTTAGGCATTATGCACGTAATACTACACACACTATATACTTTAAGTTACCCCCTTATCGCGTATATATAGCTAAACAAAGCAAACAAAGGGGTATTAGGTATAGAAACAACTAGACCACTTTCAGGCTATTGTAACAAAGCAATCTAACAAACAAACAAATATGTCGCCGACCTTCTAAAGTCGACCTAGGACTAATGCTACCCCCGGGGTGTTATTAGCAAACTATCTATTTAGTACTTAGTAGTAGGCTAAGCGGCGCTCTTAATCGCAGCCTTACAATCCACTAAGTTCAACTGCTAAACAAAGCGACTATGCTTAAGCTTGTTAAGCGGCTTAGTAAAGCTATTAGCGATCTAGTCGTACGTACTAATCTAGGTAATAGCGACAGTGCTATTAGCGATCTTCTTACGGATATAGTAGACTCTAGCGTCTATATGCTTAGTGCGGCTATTATTTGTTAACTCGGACTAAGTAATAGCAATTGCGGACTAATTGTCCTTATATAGCGTAACAGGCTTAACAGTGCCTTTGTAACTAATTTCCTCTAACAATCGAGCTAGTATAATAGCTTCCTTAGCGCTAGTTGTTAACTAAATATACTTAGCCTCTATAGACGACAGAGTAACTAAGGTCTAGCGGCCTAACTTGTACAGCAGTGGTCTACTAGCGAGTGTAAAGTAGAAGCCGCCTATAGAGCGGCGAGTAACTAGATCGTTAGCCTACGAGGCATTATAATAACTAGCTAGATTGAGCTCATCCTTACTCTATGTGCCTTAAAAGCGCATACCTCGCCTAAGTGTACTAACTAGGTACTTAATAAGCTACAGGAGAGCGTAATAGTGTTCCTTAGTTAGATTAGCAATAAAGCGAGACAGGAGACTAGCCGTGTAATAGGCGTCTAGTCGAGTAATTATTGCTAGCTATAGTAACTTACTAATCCCCTCCTAATACTTGGTCTTAAAGGCAGCACTAGTAGTATAGCCCTTAGGGGCACGCTGAATAGCCGTCTTGATATAGCGTAGTGCTATTAGTATAGCAGGTGCTATACGGCCCTATATGCTATACTTCTCGGATAGGCGGTTCAAATAGGCGTCTTGTACTACGTAGATAGTACGGTCCTGTCGGTTGCGAATAATACGCATGCCTAGATAGTAGTAAAGGTCGCTAAGTTCTCGTATACTAAAACGGTCCTTAAGTAACTAAGCGACTGCCTGTAAAGCAGCTATTAAGTGTGCAATAATAATTATATTATCTACGTAAATGACGATAATTGAGTTGCTAAGCGTGTATTTGAACATATACACGTCGCTTATTATAGGGATGAAATTAAGGCTCTTTAAGTACTTGCGGAGCTCTTCGTACTATAGTATAGGTAACTACTTCAAGCTATACAGAGCCTTTAGCAACAGGCAAACTATGCCCTCGCTACTACGGTCTTTAAAGCCGTATAGTTGCTTAACGTAGATCTTGTGCTTGTCGCTAATTATAGCGTTTAAGAAGGCAGTAAGAATGTTAAACTGCTAGGCTTCTAGGTTATAATAAGCAATAAGGGCGAATAGGGCTCGAAGAGTTAATAGCTTAGCAACAGTAGTATAAGTCTTATTATAATCCTTACCCTCAACTTGAGTGAAGCCCCTTACAACCTAACGGGCCTTAAAACGGCTGATCTTGCTATTAGCATTACGCTTAATAGTAAACACCTATCTACTACGGACAACCTTGCGGCCTATAGGTACATCTTGCTTAGCAACGTAGACCTAGGTTGCGTTGTCGATAAGTGACTTATATTCAGTCTTACAGGCCTCTTTCTACTATAGCTAGTATAGTGATTCCTTAGCAGCCTTGAAGCTCTTTAGAATAGGAATGTCGTTAGCAGGATTATCGGCCTGTTTAGCAATATAACAGGCAGCTATAAAGCCCTTTATATAGGCTATTAGCATGTTAGCTAGTAAACGACGAGTTAATCGCTTAACGCTAGCATCGGCCAAATATCTACGCGACAACTTACGAGCTAACTTGTTACTACGTGTCTTGCGTATAGAACGATTGCCTGTCTCAGTTAGTCGCTTAAACTTAGGCAACTAGCTAGGCTCGCCCTTCTTAGCCTGCGGGTCGTATACTAGCTGTTCTTTAGCGGACTAGAAACCATCTTTATTACTTAAGGGCGGCTAAACAGCTAGAAGGTCATCCTTAAGCGGTAATGGATTAACAACCTTATTAGCTAACTTAATACCCTATATAGGTTCTTCTTCCTCCTACTAAGCTAGAATGTGCTAGACTACACTAGCGGCCTCCGCTTATAGTAGAGCCTCGTTGCTTATAGAATTGAACAAAGCCGGTATAACAGACTCGAGTATAACAAACTCGTTCTTAGCTAGGTTATTAGGATTGGCGTATAGATTTATGCCCTCTAGAAGCGACAACTTGTCGTCTCCTAACTTAATAAACTAGACATCCTTCGAGGTAACAACCTTGTATTCGTCGGACAAGTAGATTATGTATTTGCTAGAGTCTACTAAGTCCTTCGCATAACTAACTAGTTTACTAAGCCTGCTACGAGCGTCAAACTTCTTGCTACGAGCTACACTATAGTCGTAGACAATAGCAGTACAGCTATAGGCTCGAAGGTGCTATAGGCGTAGCTGTGTTCGTAACTAATTAAGCTCCTTAGCTATAATAGTATATAGGCTTCCTCCGTTAGCGGTTAGCGTAATATTAAGGACCTATATAGCGGAGGCTATAGCATATAGCTACAGAGACTTTAGAAGGTTAGCGTATAGCATCATTTTTCTCGTAGTCGTATATACGATGTAATTGCTAACCTTAGCAAGGCTATTCTAAGTTAAAGAATGAGGTGCAGCAACTTGTAGTATAATGCCCTAATTACGAGCCTAGCTTAACAGCTAATTTCCGCCGTACTTACCCCCTCTATCGAGGCGGTAGATTGGGATTGAGTAACTAGTCTATATACGAACATATACACGATAGTCCTTAATAGCTACTACAGCCCCTAACTTAAGCGTGCTAGCATATTCGTATCGATAGGCTAACTTAGCGCATATAAACAACGTGAAGTAGCGTTCTTGTAGTAGACTAGGGTTAGTAATAGTGACTACATCTACACAGACAATATAGTAAATAGTAGATAGTCGCAGTCGTAGCAATCGGTTGTATTCCTTATATAACGTTGCTATACGACAAGCGATACAGTTTCGGAAGTTACTCTTGTTCTTATTGCTAGTAATAACAATCTGACCCTTAGCTTCTATTCGCAATAGCTTGCGGTAATGTATATAGCTATATCGTAGATGCCATTCTTCTATCGTACCTGTTAGCACCCCCTTCTTCGATAGAAGCGCAACAACCTAGCCGTTAGGACTAGAGGTTGGTATATACAGATAGGGGAGACCATTCTTTCGGTATGTCTAAGCAATAGTAACCTTAGAGCCGTTAACAACAGTAAACAGTACACGCTTGTTATTCCGATAGAAACAGCCCTTATCGGCTAGCTTCTTAGTAGATAGGAGGTTAGCTGCTAGACCTAGTATATACAGTGTCTCTAACAACTTTATATTGCTAATACTATGCTTATTAACTACCTCTGTCTAAGCAACGCCTACTATTGTTGCGTGCTTCGTATTGCTACTAAATCGAACAGAAATGTAACAGCCTTTATACTTAAGAAGTAGGGTAGGGTCGTTGACTATATATATACTAGTACTAGAGTCCACAACCTAGTTAGTAGTACGAGTCGCTGCAGTAAGCGCTGTAGATGCCGCATTACTAACAGTAATCGCATTAAAGGCATAGTTGCCGCCTAAACTAGGTGCTAAATCCGGACGTAGATTGTTATAGAATAAGAGTAGTGTATTCTTAGCAAACAGGCCTTGCGTACTAGGCTAGGGTTGCTGTTGTTGCTATATAGTTAGTCTACGCTGCTGCTACTGCTATTGCTGCACCCCCTTCTTCTTAGCCTTCTGCTGCTTACGGCGTAGTCGGTCTTCCTCCTTTAGATAAGGGTACTTATTATAGCAGCGGTTAGAAGGATGTAACCCCTAACAATAGGCGCATTTCTTACGGTTAGACTAATAACTATTCTAGTTACTTCTACCGCGGCCCCGACCGTTGTTATTGTTATTGTTTCCGCGGCCACTACGGCCGCCTCGGTTCGAGTTACCTCGACTATTGCTATTGCCTTGTAGTTGCTAGCGCTAGAGACCGAAGAAACTATTATACTAGGCCTAGTTCAATTAAGCTATATTCTTATTAAGCAACGCGCTAATAATGTTGTTAAGGGTGCTATTATTAATAGTATACTCTAAGGCTCGCATTTGCTCTCGGCGTATCTATACGAAAGACTCGTAGAACGATGCAATTTGCATAATAAACATATAGATAGCCTGATATTAGCTAATAGCTAATTTAGTGTCCTTTAAGGCACCGAGCTTCTTCTTGTATTTATTACAGAACTTCTCGACATCCTTGCTATCGTAGCGAAGGGTAATATAGTCCTAGAAGAGCATAAATTCAGTAGACCTACCTTTACTAGTGTACTTCTTATATAGATAACTCTATACTGCCTAGGAGGTGTCGAGTCTAAGCAACGACTACTAAATCTCCGATATATAGTTAGCGAATATCTACGTACGCGCTAACTAGTCCTTTGCCTCCTATTTATCTTAGCGGTCTTTAAATTGCTCCTATATTTTAGTAGACGACAGCTTGACTTTAGGCTTTAGGCGGGTCCCCTAGATATAGCGCTATACCTGCATGCCTTTAAGGGCACCCTTAGCGGCGTAGGCCTATACTAGATAATTCTCCTTGTTCTTCAGCTTAGGAATATTGCTTATATAAGCGTTAGCGGTAGTAGGGGGAGCTATTGCTAATAGCGACGGCGAGGATGTAGAAAGAGACTTTAGACTTGTCTTAAGGGGCGGCCGATAGGCGCGCCTATATTGTATAGCGGATAGCCGACACTATTGTTATGTAACCGACTCGAGTCGGACTAGTACCTACTAGAACACTCGAAGGGCGGCGAGGGTAGCGGCGACGATAATAGTGTCGGCGCAATTTTTAGTAACGAGTGCTAGCTACGCAGCAGTCGGAGTAACTATTAGAATACGTAGTAAACGTGTTGTGTACGTTGGAAACGTAGGGGGCTTATAACCACTTAATATAAACTGTAATGTATTTAGAAGAGGGCTAATCTATAGGAAGCCTAAAGATAAAGTGCGCAGTTTTAGCCTTAGGCATTATATACGTAATACTATATACACTACACACTTTAAGTTTACCTTACCGTACGAAACCTCAAAACATACCGACCGACATTGTATATACACTAGGCGCTATACTAGGAAGGGTAATAACGAGACGATAGTCGAAACAGTCTAGTATACGAGCGAGATTACGATAACGTCGAGAGGAGGTCGTATACTTACCTTCGAGCCTATCGAGTCCTAGACTACGATTAGGGCTAGATTCATCCTCTCCGAATCCTAGTAGTAGGAATTTATTATAGGGTACTACTACCTAGTCCTTACCTTTACGGAGTCTAAGTAGAAGGTTATTCGGAGATATAAGAACATCGAGTATTAACCCGGAAATCTTCGAAAAGGCTAGCTAGGCGTATCTTTAGAAACCCGAGTATATAGAGCAGTTTAATTAATAGGTCTATAAGATATAGTTCCCTTTATACTTACGTTCGAAGGAGTGTAAACTCCGGAAGTACTCGATACGATAGGGGAGTAAGGAGCGAACGGATACATTCTAGAAGTTCTTTATAGAGGGGGCATTGCACCGTTATACGACTTCTCGACTTAAAGGTTAACTAGTAATTATCTACAACTTCTACGGTTTAATCTTGAAATACCCGAAACTAGAGGATAGGAACTTATCGCCTACGAACTATCTCTATTCTAAACAGTATCGGGAATCTTAAGGAAAGAGGAGAGTTAATATAGATACAGCGTTCTAGAAAGAGGTATGTCTTCTAAAATGCCGGCTATAGCTGCCGGCTATAGCTGCCGGCTACAGATTCCGGCTACCTAAATCAACCGTAGAGATCTAGCTAATTATTATAGGCTACGCTTAAGGAAGCTCTAGGATTAAAGGCTACCGATTTCTCCCCCGAAGACTTTAAGCAACTAGTAAACGAAATGCTAGCTACAAACGGTCTTCCGGAAGACTTCTACGAAAGGGAGTCTATATAGAAGATATACCTATATCTTACAAACTACCCTCCCCTATTTCTCGGCGCGACAACCTAGCGTATTATATTCGAAAAGAACAAAGAGGCTACGTTAGACGATATTCGGGAGATCCTCCGTAATACTCGCCGAGTAGCTATTGCTATCGATAGCTAGTTAAGCCGGACTATAAGAGCCTCCTTCCTCTCGATTATACTAATACTTTATTAATTCGGATTAGAAACTCTAGGAACTTATAATCGGATTCCCTAAAATTCTAGGTTCCTATACTAGTAAGGATATAGCGAAGCTTGTCTATACGGCAATAGATAGGGTTAGCGTAACAACGAAACTAATCTCGATTACTACGGACAACGCTAGTAATAATCGAACATTGTATAAGGCGTTATATATACAATTCACTCGTATATATCTTTAAAATTACTAATTGTATCGATAGGGTCGAGTACGTAGAGGAGATTACAAGGTCTACAATCTAGCTTAATCTTCCGAATATTAAGCTCGCTACGATTCCGGATACGCACGACAATACGCACGATAATAACGATAAAGAGGAGCCTATTAATAGCCCTAGCCCTATTAAATCGGAGCCGACGTCGTTGCTAGTTGCATCTCTATAGAAGTTTCCCTACCTTGCTTATATAGTTTAAATCGCGATCCGAGCCCTCTTTAAGACGCTTAAAATTGCACTATTAAACGACGACTAATAGAAGATCCTAGATAAGGATAAAGCAAAGTCGAAAGTCGAGAAACTTATTGCAGTAATAAGACGGGATAAGGCAGAGAGCCTCGCTCTCGTTTTGTATAAGGTATAACTTTTATCCGTAGCCGGTACCTATAGCCGGCAACCTAGTATAGTTCTAACTCTTTTTCTCTAGCTTCGTCGTCTAGCAATATATACGAACTCGAGCTTATAGAGATATAACCGATTCGAGGCTATTTAAAAGAACCTAATCGAGCGCCCTAAAACCGATGCCTAGAATATCGTATAGAATAAGCGATAGCAAAAGCGGCCTCCTTAGCGCCTACTCCGTTTTACCTAAGACGTTAAGACTCGGTTCGATTCGACTTTCTATATAGTTACGAGGGGATGTACTTTATATACCGCTCTCGAGATCTATTAGAGTTCCGAGGGTATTAAGTAGCTCGGCCTTACCGCCGCCGAATAGCGCTAAGTAGAGTATCTCGTCGATATTAGTAAGTATTACGCGAAGGTTACTACTACGATTAGAAGAACCCGAGGACCGACGATCTACCTTGTCTTTACGTACTACAACTAGCTCTTTAACGAGCTCGAGGAAACCGTAGCTAAGCTAGCTAAGAAGAGCGTTCCCTAGAAAGTAGCTATAACGAAAGCTATAGACACCTCCTATACTAAGTTGTATAAATATTATAGTGCTACCTTTAACTCGTTCGGGGATATCTATAGCGTTACGTACTTGCTTAACCCGGTAGAAAAGGATATATACTAGTAGAGGCCGGAATAGAAGGCGGACGAGGTATAGCCGAAGCATTACTAGACTATTTTAGAAAAGATATTCTACGAGCGTCGGAAAGAAACTAGTCTAAATGCAGCTCCTATAAAGAAAAAGAAGGTTTAGAAGGCTCCGATATTATACCTGTTTCGTAGGTAGGAAGTAGAGGTAGAAGAGGAAGCAACTACTAAAGTAAATAAAGAAGAGTTCGATCTCTATCGGCGCGCGAGTAAGTATAAACCCGTAGGCTCGGAAAGAGGGCTAATAATCTCTAGATCTTACCGGTCTTCTAGACGAATTCGGAGACGATATTCTCGCTATATAGCAGCGGTTAGAGCCTAAGTTTCTAACGATAGCGTCGGTCGCTCGGGACGTCCTCGCTATCCCGAGCGTAGGTATAGGCTATAAGAGGTCTTTTAGTATCGCTCGTTACT